GACAGGAGGATCCAGCGAGTCTGATTTTGATTTGTCACACTACAGGACAGTTTTTCATTTTGCATTAGTCCATCCAGAATGAGCTCTCACCAGAGAAGTTGATTTTTATACATGGTTCCATCTTTGCATGAGGTTTTGAGTCAATGCAGTGATTCCCACTACAGAGTCATATCTGTTTTAGCAGGGTGCAGCCTGAGTGACTTGAAGATGTCTTAATGATTTCATGCACAAAAGATGATAAATGTAAACTATCAATAATTTACACAGCATATCTAGTGGTCTAATGCTGCGTTCCAGTTACCTCAGAAGTCGGATGTCGGAGCTGGGACGGCGTTCCAGGTAACAAGTTGGAAAACCAAGATGGACGCCTACAGTTAGCTGTTTTTAGCTGTTGTTTACAATTGTCAGCTGTCGTTAGCCTTTGTCAGTTGTTGTTAGCCGTTGTCCGCGGTTATTAGTTGTTGTTAGTTCTTGTTAGCTATACCAGTCGTAAACAACACATAACACAGTATTTTATTTTTACAAACACCATAGCACCGTGTTCACAGTCAGACGTTGGGCAGTACAACATAAATCACTCATTCAATTTCACTAAAACAAAACAGAAGTGCTAATAAGCTTTCGCTATTACTCTTTACTGTTGATGCACTGCGCTGCCTTCTTGAATTTGATGTTGTCGTGAACTCTCAGTTGGTGAGGATTGTCCAACTTTCCGAATCGGAAATCCGACTTCGGGAGTGCATTCCAGATGAATTTCCGACTCGTAGCTTGGAAATTCCGACTTCCGAGTACAATTGGAATGCACCATAAATTCCCTAATAATGAGGTTGCCCCACATTTAATACTTGAGTCCTTGCAAAAGTCCTTGCCCCCCCCCAAAATAACTTTAAATAATGAAGCTCCAAAGTGCCAAAAACTTTGGTGTTTATCAGGAAATGTATTTTTTTACTTTAGCCTCTACATTTAACCGAAATTCTAAGTAACCTGACAGAAATAGACGTGCAGATGTTTTCCTTGACATTGTTTTTGTCAAAGACGTCCTTGTGTACAGCTCTGACAGACTCAGCGGGGTCTCTTTAGAAAGACAAGGCGTCCCCGAGGACACGCTCAGCTCCTCCTCACTATATCTCTCTTTCTCTACAAGCTTGTCACAAAACATGTGCACAGGATCAATCAGGTGATCATATAAAATGAAAGGTCAGTAAACAATTACAGCGAGCGTCCGGAGCAACATCTTCACCTCCAGAAGTCATGTGATGTCACTTGACTGGCAGCTGCCGGCCTGATCCAGGATGACCTTACATCTGCCTAAAATAGAGTAAGGCGGTATTTGCAAGTTCACGTCTCATACTTATAACCCCACAGGATGTGTGTGTGCATTCCTGTGTGTGTCTGTTTTTGTGAAAGCATGTGCAGCAGACACAAGAAACAAGATGACCCGCTCTCTCATGTGAGGTGTCATCCCTGGAATTTACGACAGACCGAGGGAGTCGATTTAACCCGTAACGTCACTCCTGAAAACTCCACGGCAGAGGAGAGCCCCTGCAGTCAGCGTCTGAAATGCAGAGAAGTTGGCACTAAGGTGTAAATGACCGGACGATGGGTGATGCATAGACTGCTGTTGGTGATACTACAAGCTAATATTAGTTACTGAAGATGACACTCAGATTCGCCCCCTGAGACTCTAGTTTTTAGTTTACATGTTGCCATGCCGACTGTGACATTCACATTATCCATAGACTGTACATCAGTGAACGTAGCCCCCATGATGTCACCCACTGGTTTATCTGGAGTTCAGCAGAATGATATGCTGGCATTTTGAAGGAAGTGACCATATTTGGACGGTTCAGTAGTGGCGCCGAAGAGAAAGGAGGGGTTTACATACCAGTTTGTCAACACAGACTGGATTGTAGCTAATTCATTAGCCTCTTTGAGTGATCTCCTGGGCTTTCAGAGTCAATCTAAACTGGGCACTCCAGGAACCGTGTTTATTATAGTCCCTACATACTGACTTACTGACTTCAACTGAAAGGTGCTGATTGGCCGAATGAACCATAGCAGGTCTGCTTTAACAGAATTTGTTTTCGTCTCAGACTGTAAACATGTTTATTTCTGCTGGAAAGTTGGATTTTTCACATAGGACTTAATAGGGATTGACTCACTTTTAGAGTTGGCCTCAAGTGGCCACATGAGGAACTGCAACTATCACTCAACCAAACAGTCATTTGACCTCTGTGTCTTTACTGTATTTTTGTATATTATCGAAGCAGAATGAGATTATACATAAGAAAACACTTTCTGCATATGGAAGGGACTTGATCGGTAAAGAGGTGAGACCTATCACTTTGTCCAGAGGGGGCGCCAAAATTTACACAGACATAAAGTTCCTCACCGGAGTTTTATTTATACCTTTCAGTGAACCCCATAATTCAGTAATTGTACATTTTTGCAAGATTGCACCAGATTTTTCAAGGAAGTTTTGATTTTCACACCATCTTTGTGTTGGTCTTTGGTGTTGCCCATTACTCTAATGTTTGTGAGATAAAACGCTGCTAAATGAGTGACTGGGGTTTAAGTCAAGCCAATAGACAGCACGTAACAATGTGGTTCTTGCCTCATGTTTTGCCTCACATTGAGATTAGGATTGAGAAAATGTGTCTCGTATAGAATTATGTCACTGGAGTTTGAGAAATCAGGCCTGTCTGTATCCATGTGAGAGAGGACGTAAGCAACCCAGTTTATCAACACCAACCCTGACATGCAGCCACCAGCAGTGACACTGACTAATGTAATGGGTTTCTGTTACAGCTGGGATGACGTGGTCTGTTATGCAGGATGATGCTGGAACTGCTGCTGAGCCACTTTGGTTTGTGGATCTGTTTCCAGGTTTTCTGTGACCGGCTGAGTGCCGCCCTACACTTTGACCTGTTTCCCCCTCTGACATAAACTTCATATTTAATTTCAGACAGATATTCACATAATTTACCTCGTATGAACAGAGAGGCTGTTTTGTGCTTGATAATAAATCATATTCTCACTCTCATCACTATGACGTCATCATATCGTATTACTTTATCTAAGCTGTAAACTGTCTGAACCTCAGTTTGACAAATACTTTCCATTTCACCTCTCTGATTGATGAGCAGCAAAAAAAGACCATAATGAGTTAAACTAAGGTGAGATTTTGTTTAATTATAAGGGTATGACACCAAGCACATGTAAAATTATCTACTCGCTTAATTCGCATAAATCTAGACGCGTGAATGAATAGTATTTACTTGCTTCATTCGCGCGTCAGCGTTAATTTCAACAGTAATCCCTGCCAATTCAACCGGCGGGATCAAGTGATAGACAATTTTTTTCACAATTTACCAAGTGATCCAACCTCCTCACTCACTTGTCTCCAGGCGAGCTCTTTATTTATATTGAAAGAAAAGGTATCATATAATTCTGGGGACCCACATACCGACACGATCAGTTTGTCCTCCATCTTAGATACCAGTGAACAACCGTCCATTTTTATACATCACCTGGCAACCTTTGCACTGATTAGTTTTTGTGACGCGACTATCTGCTCAAGTTGAGACATTTTAGCTCCCGCCCAATTTGCGTCATTCATGCCGCCAGAGTAGTAGGAGCGTCTAATCGCGTCTTTGCATTGACATAACATGTAATTCATTCGCGCGAATGATTTTACTTGCGCACAGTAACAGTTACAGTTTCCATATCGGTAATGCTGACTCAACCTAACTTTTGGTTGACCTATCTGAGGCAGGACTTAAAATGGCTACAATGTGCCTGTCTGTCTGTCAAGTCAGCTGTGCTTCTAATTCGTCGATCTCAAAACTCGGGTATCTTCAAAACAAATGCATCACAAACTGATTCACTCCTCCTACAGGGGTGTCGTAGGAGCCATGAGCTAGTCAGACCAAAACCACATTTTCAATCAGGCTGCCGGTTTAATTTTTGGCTTTGCTCCTGCAGCCTCAAGTGGACACTCAGGGAACTGCAGTTTTTAGTCGTTGGGAGTGACCCTGTACCTGCAACCTTCAGTTGAATTCTTGCCTGGTCGTTGTACTTCACAGGTCAGAAAGGTCACTCCTTACAACATAACAGATAACACCAATGAAGTATTTCAACATCATCAAGTTAGCCTGAAAATAGACAATATAGATGCTAATGCTTCCAAAACAAACACGCATGTGCACATGCACAAAATTCAACTAACAACTAATTAAGTTGGATTCCAAATACAGCACAAGTGATTCAAAACTGAGCGGACACAAGACTTATTATCTCTTGTTATCATAATTACAGAGGCAGAGATTTCCTGTCTTATATTTTATGATCACTTTTCTTTGATTTTCACTTCTCCTCTGCCCCACTCTGGTATCTTTCAGTTGTTTTTCTTCATCCCCACCCCGAGCTCACACACATATATTCTGTCCTCACATGTTTATTTTGGTGGACTGACTGACTGACTGACTGACTGACTGATCTGGAAGCCGGAACCATGACAGGGAGAGTAGGAGGGGAGTGGGAGGGACCTGGAAAACACAGGGAGAGAGAGTGCGTGTGGGTAGTGAGCTGCTATAAAAGGACGTGCTGGAGCTGTCGCTGGCATTAGACTCAGCAGACTGAGAATCACACAGAGCAAACAGCAGAGAGAGAGAGAGAGAGAGAGAGAGGAGACACTGGGGACAGGCAGAGTCGAAACAGAAGCACTCAGTGAGAAGTGAGGAGCAGAGGATCAGCAGAGCGGCTTCAAAACAGCTGTGCTCCAAGATTTCGATGTGCCTAAACGAGGAGGTTTGAGGAGTGTTTGTCCAGCTTGATTTTTGGTGAACTCTTGCTTTGCATCCTTTAAAAAAAAAAGACTCATCTTCAAGCAGGAGAAGGCGTCAGAAAGAGCAAGAAAAAACAGCTTCAAAGGAGACTTCTTCCAGCCGTGTTCACTTTTAAAAACAGACTTTATTTTCACTCTTGTGGATCTGTCGCCAATGGCTGCTGTACGTCAGATGGTTATGGAGGCCTCTGGGTTCCACGTCCTGCCGGCTCACCTTATGGCCTCAGCGATGGAAGAGTTCCCCCAGCAGCTGCCGGTCCCAAAGGGCCCAGCGAGGGGCAAGAGCCGCTCCCGCCGGTCAAGAGAGGCTCGCTTCAAAACCCAGCCGGTCACCTTCGCCGAGATCGCGGAGGTTGAAGAAGAAGGTTCCTCACCCCTGGAGGAGGAGAGGGCACGCCGCTCCTTCTTACAGTCCCTGGAGAACCTGCGGCGGAGCACACAGACTCTCCACTGCCCTCCAGCCGCTCACCACAGCTGCACCCCCACCTCCACACAGGCCAGTCTGGACTCCAGTGACTCCGACTCCACGCAGTGAAGGGTGCTGGTCCTCAGGCGCTCATGTTCCTCGCTTTGCCTTGACGCCGCTTCGAATGGAGGCCGACTGAACTGAACTGAACCAAACTGGCCTTCCTGCCAGCCTGCCTGTGTGTGAGCTGCTGCTGTCAAACAGAAGTCTATATTTAATATGTACTAACATGCCCACATACACCACATAGCTGAAGATGCACCTGATGCATACCTGTAAAGGAGTGCAGCCGTGCCGCAGGCTGCCGGTGACTCTGCTGATGTATAGATGTGATGATGATGATGATGATGATGATGATGATGATGATGAGTTTAACGTTAGCACAGATGACTCCGTGTTGAACATTCTTCAGATTTATTCCTTTTCTACTTTAGAGCTCTATGAGGAAAACTTGAACCGTGAAAGTTTGCTGATATTTTTCCACTTTGAAGATGTATAGATATTTTTATGATTGTATTCAAAGTTTTCTATTCGACCAGTCACCACAGAGAGGAGGACTGTTAAACAAACACAAACTTAACAGGCTGTAAATGCTCTGACTAAAAAAAGAGAATAAACATTTAAAGTGACCTGGACATCTCTAAAGGTTCATGTCCGCTTCAAACAATGTTTTTATTTATTCTTCTGTTCCGTTTGTAACCAAGTGGAGTCGTAGATATGTGAAATGTCTCTTTCTGACTTCTAAAGTCACCTTGACTTTCAAAGGAAATAACCTTCATGCTGTATATTTGTTCCACTTTATACATGTATATGTTTCAAGTTTTGTTATAAACTTTAATAAATATTTTTAAGGATCATGAGCGTTTCCTCGTTCTTTCTGATCTGCAAAGGATTATGGTTTTAGCAACACTTTGTTTTAAATTTAGTCAAGATCTGAGGAACTATTTTTAATCAACTTTTACTCCAGTCTCACATCAGTCAAACTTTGTAATTAATTGATGCTGAAAAGAAGATTAACATCCCTCATGCAGTTTGAGTTAAAGTGTGTTTTAGTTATCAGAGGCAGTCAGGTTTCATCTGCACCAGGCCGGTATTTTGGGGCAAGGGCCATAATGGCATGACATTTTCACCCTATGTTCATCGAGTGATAACCGTGTTATCATGAGTATGAAGCCTGCTTTAAGTCAAATAAAGTAAGACACAAACCAGCAACACAAACCTTAATATATCACACCCAATAGTTTTTAATTTGCAACCGTAAGTGCAAAGACAAAGACGCTCCACATGCATGTTCACTATGTTCTTCTGTGTAGCTGTATTTGTGTGGCTGTAACCTTTGACCCCAGATGAAAGACAGAGTAGTGTAATAACCATAGACTGTATGTAGAATGGACGCCGTCTGCCTCCGCGCTTGGTGAAACCACTCCAAGAACAGCACCCTCTGGTGACAGCCTGCATTATACATCATAAATCCCGCGTCCATCTTATTTTTCCGACTTGTTTACTGGAACGTCGTCAACGCCGGTGTCGCATTATTCCTAGCTCCAACTTCCGAGTCAACTGGGACGCAGCATAATAACCTAACATAACTGGGTTTTGAACTAATCACCCAAACATTACAAAGTTATCTTGGGAGACTTTGCTGAAACAGCATGAATAGTCCAGACCTTTTTTGTGGTCTAACGAAGGACCTGGTAACACTGGGCAACTTTGTCAAGGAAAAACTTCCCTTAAACAAGCAGAAACTTCCAGAAAAAAAACAGATTAATTGGTGCACAGCCAGCTGCAGTGATTACTTGAGAAAATGGGACAGAAAAGCAGGGAGGCAGAGAGTTTAGGATAACATCAGGAACAATCAAAGAGGAAGGTTAGAGGCGATCGGAGGTGAAGTCTGGCCTTTACTGGCCGTCTGTCTGCTGTTCTTGTTAAAGCAAACAGACAGGCTCGTATGTAAACACTCAGCTCTGCGCTTCTGACTCCGTGCTCGCTCTGCTGGTGACGCACTTTCAGTAATGACAGATTTCCACCAGCAAACTCAGCCGCAGAAACCACCAGCCTGCCGTCAGGATCACCCTCAGCTGCTGCAGCTCCAGAGGACCCTCCTCTCTCCTAATCCACTCGATGACAAGTGAAACGTGATGCACGACTCCCATCCCAGAGCAAGTCAGCTGTGTGTTAAAAGACTGAGACAACACTGCAGAGGCTTAAGTGGGGAACCTGCTGGGGTTGCAGACTAAAAATAGACCCTGATTAAGTAAATCTGTAAGAGGGGGGAGATGTTCCCTCCAGAGGTATGATGGCTTCAGTGTCAGGGTGTGATGTGAGTGTTGTAAGGGGGTGTAATCTCAGATGGACACGGATACCGGATCAGTGTTTAAGAGGAGGACAGGGACAGCCAAGGAAGTAAGCAAAGACGAGGATCGGCCATGAGACGCTAGACCTGGACACAAGAATATGAAACTCTACAGTGTATAAGTCTTCAAAAACAAGATACAATTATGGACTGTTGTGGTCTCAGGGGGTTGGCAAACACAACTCTGCAGACCCAACTTACTTAGACCGAGCAAATCTCATAGTTAAGATCGGGTATCAATAGAGACAAAAGTTTTTAAAAGGAACTCAGACTTTGTGTGACCACCTACTTTGACTTTGACTCTGAACCGCCAACATTTTGTCCCCCAGTGTGTTCGTTCTCTGGACTTCAAGTTACCACATCTGGACCAGGCAAATCCATCAACCAGTGTCCAATGAACCCTGGTAAATTTAACAGAGTTTGCACTTTTCAGGACTTCCATTTTGGGTGCTTTCTTTGTTTTACACAGTTTTAGTAGGAGAAAAAAAATGGTTGTTTCCTACGATAGTAACGCATGACTACCAGGATGTCGACTGAGGATGTCCCTTAGACTTGTGTGCTTTGCTCAGGTTGTAGGGCAGCAGTCTAACCCCCAATTTCCACCACATCTGGAACAGCTCTGCTACGGAACGGTGGCAATTTTCACCATCCACCAAATTCCTACCGGATGTGTTTGTGAGGTGAATTTCATGGCAGATTTGGGACAAACGAGAATCGCGAGAACTCACAAGATCCCGCAGATTCACATGCAATCGTTGGATAAAGAGTTGTCTCTATAAAGACAGCAACATAACCATACAAGCAGTAGATTGTGTTCTTCCAGAGGAGGAAATCAACTTCTCGACTTCTAGAATCAGCATCTCCTCATCCATGGTGTCATCGGGGTGAAACTGCATCTGAAAACCTTTCACATGTTCGCCCCTGCCCACGTTTGTATGGTGTGAAATACGATCTGCCTGAAACACGTCGTGTTTTATTTTGAAAAGAAGACGGATGTTTTATTTTGTGTCTGTGCCCGACTCCAGAAAAAATAGAACTATGGTGATCGGCTGTAGAGTCCGCTGAACGGCAGTGGAACGGAAAGAAGCTGGTGGAGTTTGACACATTAACTTGAATGGAAACAATCAGCTGTGATCGGCGCATACAACCTTTTCGCTGCCGTTCTGGATGCGAAGGAAATTGGGGGTGACTCCTCCTGTGAGATCGCTCGGCATTCCCAGACCAGACTGGATATATAACAACCCTTCCAGTGGACTCTGGGCCTTCCTTTAAGGCCTCCTTCCAGCTGAAACTCATCCAGAAGGAGGTGTCCAGGAAACACACCTTTTGTTCCAGTTTTTCCACATTCGTCATCATCAGAAACGTGACGACTTACGTCATCATCATTGTCACAGGCTCTTTTGTTTAAAATCAAAGGAACCTTCTCCAGTCACAGACCAATGGGAAAGATGAGCACCGACCAGCTGTTAGTCCACAGACAGGTCTTCATACCTCCCTCTTCATCTCTCAAACAAACACATTAGTCATTGTTTGTCTAGTGCTTGAAGAGCTGTCACACTTCACCACATCCACAGCATAATAACCACCTGCTTTTTAGTGTGACAGCGCCGCTCTGGTGGGGATTGTGTCACTCAGGAGAGACGCACTTTACATTAGAGATACATTTGAGATGCATTAGAAAGCTGTTACTGTGAGGTCTCCACTAACAGAGCCCAGTGTTCTCCATGAACAAAAATTTTCATTATTTCAAGTATCTGATCTCCAGTTTTCAACCAAATTTCAGACAGAATAACAGAAAAAAGTCATTGTACACCATCATTAGGGACCTTGAAAACAAGATTGAAACTCCAAGACTGCACTCCAGTTTATAAGAGGTTAATTCTTCATCCCTTCAAACATCTATGGCAGGTACTAGACTCGGATAAGCCACAAAAACAACTCTTGTAATCTTAAAATCAACAGGAAAGCAGTGCAGAGGAGTTTAAGGAGAGTCATGTGACCCAGTGACGCGCATGGTGTGTTTGTGAACAACCTGGCAGCCGGCAGAGAAACAGTCCAATCATCTGTTAAAGGGGAACAAACCGTTCTGTGCGGCCTGCTCACATGTAAGAACCTTAAAAGCAGCAAAGAGGCGCAGCAGCTGAAAATACCCGCTCTCACTGAAGTGCTCTTTTTCTTCTGCCGCTGTGGGAGTGATGATAGGGAGGCTGGAGAGCACGTCACAGCTGTAAGTGCACGATCCTGATGATTATACCGCAACGAGACAGGAAACAGACATGAATGCAGCTCCTCTCCCATACTGAGCAAGTCTGTATTAAGATATATAAATAAGTGCAAAGTAATGACTCACAGATCTATGCGGGAAACTGTGCAGGATTATAATAATTAACAAATATAGTCCACCTATGCCCACATCTACATATATATATCATGTTCTGAAAATGTTCTGACGCATGTATGGACATTCAACATTGTGTTATAGTTCTGCATGTCTGCGAGGGTCTCCTTTAAAATGTTGAAGGACACATTTACAGGAACAGAGGAAAAATGTCATGTCGTTATTCATTCAACTTTATATATTTTTTAACTTTTTTTTTTCAAGATTTTATTTTAAAGAACTTTGCGATGAATATATGATAGGTATTAAATCAGAGCCTACTCTTGTAATATAAATGTTCACCAGGTGAAATAAGTGAAAGAGGAACTTTGTAACCTAATCACAGACATTAAATAAACTGAGACATTAAACTGCTCTGAGATGGATAACCACGTCACTCTTTGTTTGCATTATTGTCTTTTATTGTGACTCATAGGGCCTTACTCTAAACTGATGCCTGTATCACGTCATTGAACAAAACTGTATCAATATTTACTTTACTAGAGCTGTTTTATTTTTAAAAGCTTTTTTAATTTGTCCACAAATTTGAGAAATTAACTTTAAGATTATCTAGTACATCGCTGTTTGTATTTATCTCGCTGGTATGACCCTAAAGTTAGGTCTTTAAACCTCTTTCAGGTGTTTTTCCTCTTAAAAACACCCACTACATGTCTATTTCTTCATCTGTTCAAAACAAAGTGATCTGTTTGAAATAAATTAGGGAGCAGAACAAGAAGAAAATGTTCCAAAGGATAACAGAGAGGCCTGTTTGCTTCCTTCAGCAACATTAGTATGAGCTCTCTCCATGTTCCTCGGCTGTCCCCTCCAGAAATTGCCAAAAAAGGCAGAAATGACAAATATAATCTTCTGTTTTGATGAAATGTCCCCAAATCAAGCGCCAGGGCTCCGCCTTGTTTGTAATCCAAACAGAAGTCTAAGGAACAGTCTGACAGAAGGGTTTATTTTTAGGGTCGGTTCAGGAATGTTTTCAGGGTGGCCCTGAATGAAGACTGTCCCGCTTCAGTGACGTTTAGGAGACTTCATTTACATCTTGGCTCGGCTGCTGTAATGATGAGCTCTCATACGCAGGTCACCATGAATAATATCTGGTACAATCCTCTGAAAGCATCTGCTCAGTGATTCCTCCCACAGCCTGCAGAACATTATGCTAAACAGCAGCCCGTCGTTACTCCTGTGTGTTTGTTCTGCTCCTGTCTGAGCTCACATCTGCACACTCGCCCTCATTACATCTTGATGAATCTGTTGACGTGAGCTGAACGGATCTATGACGGTCTCTGTGAGGTGTGAGCTACGCAGGGAACTCCAGAGTGACCCACCAAACCCTCCGATGTTTAAGAAATAAAACAAATGTGAAGGTCTGAGGTCAAATAAACAATGTGGGCGGGACGGAGAGCCGAGAGGCGACTGTTTACTAAAACTAACTGGTTACAATAAACAAGAGGGTTCAACAACAGGACAACAGCCTTTCTAGGACACATGCACACTGCTGGAGCCGCACAGACACACAAACAAACAGACTTTTTAAAAATGTATTTAGGTTATTTTCTTATTTGCTTCATGTTATGTTTACAGCATACACCATGTACGGTGGCCCTGAAAGGTCAACTGTACAAACATTTCAAGAAACAAAAGATATTCAAGAAACAGTCAAAGATATCAAAAAACACAACAAGAATTTCCCAAAGTGTAAAAACATATTTCATGATATACAAAAAGCAAAAAGCAAAACAATATTTCCTTAAATTCACAAGACCTTTTTAACAAAATGTAAAAAAATATAGCATAAAATTTAAAGTATAAATGAAAAACTAAAAAAAATAACACTTTTCCAAAAAAGAAAATATTTCATAAAACATTTAAAAATATTCCATAAAATGCAGAAGACAGTTTATGTAATTTAAAAGTTAGAAAATGAAAAATACTTTTACCTAAAAAAAATGTTTCGCAAAGCAAAAAAAGTATTTAACACACAAATATGATATTTTTTATTACATTTTACACTAAATTCTTTTTTTGCACTTGCTGATTTTTTATTATAACATGAAATGTTTGTGCAATTAACCTTTTAGGCCACTACAGCAAGTAGTTAGAATACTCCGGTGAGTTTTTAGTTGACTATATCAGCCTGAGATTCTCTCAGAAAAGCAATCTGCAGTGAGTAACAGTCTTGTTTAAAAATGATATTACAAGAAAGTGGATATCTTTGTCAGATTTCAGGGATGAAGGTAAAATAATAACCAATTGATTTTCAGATGCCTGATAATCTCCTCACTCTGCCTCTATACCTCCCTGTTTACCTGCGGTCCACCTGCGCACTCTGCCTTCCTGTGATATATTTACACATCAGTTTTTCACTAGAGCTTCAAAGCTTACTGCACAAGAATGACTAATAAATGCCGTTTGATATTCTGAACTATGTCAGTGAGGATCCATACTCACAGAGGCAGTGTATGGTCATTGTTTAGGGGAGGTGGCTTTAACATTTATCCCCATGTTTCAAAATCTAGATTAATCCTCTCATCTTTCAAAATTACTCACAAAAGCTTTAATGTGTAACTGAGGAACTTTACAACTACTGTAAATGTTACTAATTTAAACCATAACATACTTTATGAACTTTGACCCCTGTTACTCTAATACTTTATACCAAGGGTTACCTACATTGGTAGGAGTGCATGCATATTCCTCAGGTATGTGTTTGTAGTCTCAGCAGCAGCTGCTCTTGAAAGCATCTCTGACCTACATCCTGGTCTCATGACTGGAGGACAGAGAAAGCAGAGTCTGGAACATTCAGCAGGTTCTTTTCATCCCTCTCTAGTTCAGGGCTTTTTTTAAGCTCTTCATCTCCCCCTGGTGCTGCAAAAAAAGAGGTGATTACGGATGCAAAACATAAGGTGACCCACATACCTCGTCTCCCAGTGCTCCATTTCCTGAAATCCGTCTTTTTCTGGTTTGCCCTCCAGCCCTGAGAATTGAGAAGATTACCTTATCATGCACAGCTATGAAAAAACAATATAATCTTGATGTGAAATACAAAGATTAAAGTTTATTCTTTATCTTAAATGATTCTTAAAATATCATGTACAGGTTAAAAAAGACTCATCATGGGCCTCCAGCTGAAGGACACCTGTACTCTTTGGTTTATAGACAAGAGTAAAAGCATTAAGGGACCTGTCTATAACTAGTGATAGGGCCCAGACCCTGAGATGGAAAGCCAAATGTTGCTCTGAATTAAAGCTTTTCCATTTTAGGCAGTGAGAGACAGGATGGTTGAGGATGCCAAGCTCTCCTTCTCACTGCTTTACTTGGCACGTTACAGCATCAGTGCTGGTGGACAAACAAAATAAAGAAAATGTTTATCTTGAAGCACAAAATCCCACTGAACACACCATTTTACTACTATTAGAAACTGCAGCCTGTACATATTCTAACTAGGGCTGCACTGTTTATACAGACATAAATCAAGGTATTTACCACCTGTTTGCAGTAATGAAAGCAAGGAAGTAGCCTATAAGTTTGCAATAATAATCTGCTAAAACTATAAAGTAAAGCCACAACGATGGTGAATTAACTCTTACATAATTACACTATACAAACACACAAATGCTAACTTGCTAACTTTTAAAAATGTCAAACTAGCTTTTAAAAGTTAAAGGAAAGTGGGCGGGGCCTGTCAATCACGTAGCAGAGTCCGTGTTGATTCACGTGCTTCTCGAAAGGTCGGAATTCTTAACGTGTGTTCACAACTGTCGTATTTCCACCTACTCTTCCATTTTACTGAACGAAAACAAAATCTTTTACAACATAACAACTTCTTGCCAACAATAAATGCAAACATACAATCGAAATACGTGTATTAGTAAAAGTTTTCTTTTGTTTTTAACCATAAGGCAAGTACACTGAATTGTCTGCATGTTTGTCCACATACGGTAGCTTACAGTTTCCTTCATTGTGTCCTTTTACATTCAATGATATTATCGTTGGAAGTTTCGTTGATTTTCTGGATTATTTTCATAGTTACTTACACAGCTCGTGAATGAACATTTTGCTCGTAAAGGTTTCACATCATCGTCCAACTCGGTCCGGATTTGATTGACAGTACATCAGCCCAATCAAAAGTTAAAGTGACACTTGTTGCGCGTCGTCACACACCTCAAAGTTCATTTTGGGCCAATTGAGTAGCGGGCTGTAAGAAGATTCAACCAATCAAAGCGGAGGGGCGGGCTGTGATTCAAGGAGCGCGAACGTTAGAGCAGACCGATGGAAAATGGCGATTGTTGTGGCGTTTTAATGCAAAGTTTGGGCAGTCTGAGTTAGCCCTCAGCTATTTTTAAGTATATTTCCGGTGATTAAAGCTGAAATATAATATTCGGTTATGTAAATTGGTGCGGTTGTTCGTGTTGTGGTAGTAGTAGTGAACATTAAATGCTCTACTGTTAGCTGCTGTAAATGGCGTCACCGTGTCCTCTCATAGTGAACAGCCCGTTAGTGTAAATGTGATGGCAGCGTGCTTCAAGTTAGTCCTATATTCACGGATTTTCCACGACAGTTGAGGGTATGGCTTTAATGCTACACAACTTGGTTTTTGTCATCGATGTGGATTATGGAGACACCTGCGGCGACCAAGTGGAAGTCAGGAATACTTTCTTAAAACGAGGAATACTTCAGATTCTGCTGCATTTCAGCTGCAAATACGGATTAGATAAAGTCCGGTGGGGTTATAAATTCTTCCAATCCAAGACTGGTCGTAACTCTACCTTCATTTCGAGGGGGTCAGACTTCAAGGAGCTCCGCCACAAAACTTTTGAGGACTTTGAAATCGAGTTTGAATCCAGATTTGACCTTAAAGATAAACCATGTCTCTCTCAGCAGAAACAGCCATCCTCTCAGTCTGTGTCTGTCCAGAATGCTCTCAGAGAAACCCTCCTGGACTTCCAATGGGACAGACCAGACATCACCTCCCCCACCAAACTGTCCCTGAGACCCAGAAAGTCGAACTATGTAGGAAGGTCCAGTGTCACCCAGGAGGAGGAGGCTTCAAATACGGGGAAAAACCTGGTGTTTGTTGTCTCCGAGTGTCCACGCTCCAGGATGCAGCTTGTGGACTACCTTTCAGTGGGAAAACACGACCTTGGTGTGGACCTGTCAGAGCAGATCGTATCCAGGGGTCTCCATGACATGCTGGTGCAGAAACAGGTGGTGCTGCACTGGATTGACAGTAGACCACATGTACAGGTGAGGGCAACATGAATATCACAGTTTTTCTCTTAAAAGAGCTTCTCATCAATACAGGTGTCAGAAAATGGTGCATGTGTTTGCAGAGGGTTGTCTTAGACTTGTACGTGCATAGGAGAGAGTGGGGTAAGTTGAGCCACCCCCTGTTTCTTGGAAATGTTAAAGAAATTGATCATGTGACCAAATATTTAGGAGATGGGCATCAATTCATGGAGTCTGTGAATGTTAGAAGTACATGGGTGAAGAGGTTAGACATTTATTTACAAAAATATAACATTTTCCACTCTGTAAGGTGACTTTAGTCAGTCATAAGTTTGATTAGAATTGTGTTCAGACCAAAAAAGATCATTTTAAATTTGTTTTATACATCAATTGTGGTATCTATGAGCAACAACATGAGGTCAAAAACCTAACACAAAAGTCCACCATCTTAGTTTAAAGGACTAATAAAGTCATCATAGTAGTTCAGGGGTAACTGAGAAAGTAAAGGAGTCTGATGAGAGGATCAGAGTTTCAGTTCAGATTGTTGCTCTTTTTCTCTTTAAACATGTTTGATTTCCAGGTTGAGTGTCTTCTGGAATAACAGAGCTGTAGGACTCCTTCTAAAATAGTTCACCTTGTTTTACTGACTCGAGTAACTCTGATCTTTGTCTAACTGCAGGTCACACAAAGTGAGGATCACCTCGGCTTTGACAGCCTGTCTGAGGTTTTATCTCAGACAGGTGGAAGAGTCATCCCTGTGGTTGCACTGCTGGATCTGTGCAGCACTCAGAAGCTGGATTTAAACTTTGGGAGAGACGCCTTTACACTCAAGTCAAGTGTCGGATACCTGTTGTCCTCTGAGAGGCTGTATCGCCTGGCTTTCCCCCTCATGGGTGGTGTGGTACAATGGGAGCAAGGTCAGAAACACAAAACATTTTAGACGTTTGTTGTGTTGTGTTTCCTGTAGTATTGTCCAGTCTCGTTCTTCATTTGTGTTGTTGTTTCTTCACTTGACCAGGTGATGAGTTACAGAGCTGTGGGATCACGGTTGAACCGGTGTCTCGCGGACAGAAGCTTCTCCCAGAGTCAGTAGACGTGGTTCTTAAAGGAGTTCTGCAGGGCTGGGAGACCTCCTCACTTTTAGAGTCCAACTCTGAGTCCTGGGTGCTTCAGTGCTCCAGCAGCAGTGATCAGGAAGCTGCTGCTCTCCAGCATCTCCTGAGGGAACTGTCCGCTCGTGGTTTACACATGGTGAGACATCCAAACACAACAATGCATACACAGGTGAACTGAGGTTAGGGTTAGGGTTTCTCTGCTTACAGCTTAATGATCTGATCAAAGAATCTGATAAAACTGATCAGTTCATACAGAGCTGCTGTTAAAGTATCTGTCCGTGTTATTGAATAAGTTACTTGTTAATTGCAGCAGCTTATTTAATTACTGGAGGGAGAGACTGAAGAGCAATAACATGAAATATGAACAAACTAGTTATTCTGCACCGATGCAAAATCAAGAACCGACCACAGGGTGAGAAAACCATCTTTATTATTCAGGAAGATGTCCCTCAAAAACTGTGATTACATGAGACACCTGACATACAAATACCTCGACTTCTCCTCATAATGATGTAAAGGCAGTGTGTGTGTGTGTGTTAGATTCTCTTCCATCACATTTTAAACTCACCTTTTATGCGTTTCTCTCTCTTCAAATGTCCCTGCAGCTCTCTGAGGTGAATGACGGCAGCCTGGTTTGCTCCGCAGTCCTCTCACCCTTGTCCCAGTCTACAGCTCTGCTCTCAATCCTCCGCTCTGGAATCACTCAGAGCCAGCAGTTCCCCTCTGCAGAAATAATCGACCCCGCGACGACTGAAACCTCAGCTGAACTTCCCGAGGTGGTGAGCAGCGTTCTGGGAGTCGTGTATGACATCATGGAGGAGGAGGAGGACAATGACGGTGTGGACGGTATGGATGAAGAGTCATTTCTCACTTTAAAACATGTTGCTTGGAAGAAAACACAGAAATGATTGAGTCAGGAAAAAGCTGTTCTGCTACTGGAAGGTTTTACGAATGTTGTTCTCCATCCTGCATCTGTTTTTGACACTCTTAACAATCCAAATTGCAAATATTAGAAGTAATAAAACTTCAATTTGATCTTTTTTTCCCCCCAGACGATTTAAAGGATCATCAGATTCCTGAATGGGCTCAGCAGGAAGTCAATCACCACCCTCTGACAACAGGCGTGTTGGAGAACTGGTTCCCTCAGTCCGATCAGGCAGGAGTCAGTTCTCATCTGATGGAGTCGATGAGGTAAAGAGATCACTCCGATTTCTGCTCCTGTCCTTTTTATCCTCAAACACAGAGAGATCATTATTCTTTCCACCTCTGACTCATGTTTTGAAAGTTCATGAAGATTCACAAACTTGAACAAACTTAATTCATACACAGAAGAAGGATTTGGTTGTGATGCTTTACCTGCTGTGTCGATTAGGTTGCTTCATGCTGTGCCAGAGCAGAAAGAAGAGGAGGAGTCATCTCTGTTACAGCAGGAGCTGATCACTGGCCTGGCTGAGTTGTATCAAACATCCCGAGGAACTGATGACAAAAGGGGCAAAAAACGTGAGAAAATTGACTCTAATTTTTGTTTATATTTGGAGTTTTATGTGAAGAAGCGGTCAAATGTTGGATTTTCTAGCATCATTATACCAGGAGATCTAAAATATGAAATAAAATGTTTCCCTATTTTCTGTCTTTGGTCTGCAGGTGGCACCCAGCGCACACCGGTGAAACAGAAGATGAAGACCATGAGCCGCTCCCTGCAGATGCTGAATGTAGCACGACTGAATGTCAAAGCCCAGAAGAGTCAGGCTGACGCTGAGCAGCCGGGACCTGAGGGCAGGGGACCAGACAGGCAGGGGAAGAGACGGTCGAGTGACAGGAAGAAATCTGAAAGAGCAAAGAGCATCAGTGAGCGACACGGTTCAGACTTCACTCACTCTTTCTCCACCAGAAGGGAAATGAGCATGTTGTTAAACTCTTCTTCTCTCTTTGTCAGGTTTTACCACCGAGGCAGAGCTGCTGTCCCATCTGAAGTCCAGTTATGAGCAGACTGTGGCTGAAAGAGACTCATCCCTCCTCACCTCTGTCCAACTGCTCCTGTCTGCAGTCAAATCCTTCCTGCCGGCAGAATCAGACCTGAAAGTAAGACGTGATGGCGTGTTTTGAGATCCTGACCTGTCCCTCTCTTATCTTTAAGATTAGATCGACTTTAAGTTTCTTTAACCACGAGGACAAAAGAAACGTAGAAACAGACTCAGCAGATCCAACAGGCAACCATGAATCAAGCAAAACTTTAAAACCTCAAAGCTCAAACCAAAATAAGCAGAAGAGCGTCCATGTGAATGCTGAGGTTGTGGTTGATTTGCTAATCTGTGAGTTTTCGTGCAGGTAAAAACCTCCCAGTTTGTCCAGCAGCATCTCTTCAAGACCAGCAAATCCATCAGGCAGCAGTACGGCTCCACTGCTGATGTAGACGGCAAAGTCAGAGAGTGAGTAGTAGATCAACCGACCTCTTAAACACCAGGCTGTGGTGATAGTCGCTCCTCACTGAGTGTGAACTTGTGTACAGTAGCATCGTGGTTTCACTCCTTGTGGCAGAACTCGTGTGCCCACCCTGTTAGTGAAATAAAGATTAGATTCCTCTTTCTCAGGCTCTCAGTAATTCATGTTTTGTCCTCTAGGTGTCAGCTTCAGGCCTTGTTGAGGCTGGACTTGTGTAAACTTTTCTCCTCACAGCAATCAGACTCTCTGGATGTTGATCAGATGGCAGAGGAGGTAAGATGATCACCGTTTAGTCCTTTTGGTCGTTGATTTTTCTGTGTTTTTATACTTGAAGGTGAAGCAGAGGAATTGATTGATTGTCTATGATCATAACCACAAGATTCAAAGATATCCACTGATATTAATCTAATATAGATCAAAGTTTTACGTCTGATCTCTCTTCTTCTCCTCCTCAGGTGGCAGAAATGCTCAGGATCATCTCCCGAACTAAAGATCCTGTTTGTATGACAAGATTCCTCCAAGATGAGGTCTTCCCGGGGTGAGTCAGTGTGGAGCTCTTTTTTTTTTTTTTAACCTGAAAGTGAACTTTGCTCTCTTACTGCCATTCATCTTAACGTTTATACAAACATGATGACAAATTGATTTGTTATTTGAAACCAGTTTTAGTTGAGTCGTATATTTCCTGTCCTGTAAAAATCTGAACGTATTGGTCTGTCTTCTCGCAGGTTCCTGATGGCGGTGCCCAGAGTTCTCGCAGACGTCTACCACAGTCTGGGCACACAGCTCCCTGAAGTTCTGGTCGCGGTTCTTCCTGCCGACTTCTTCAGCGACGATTCAGTCGCCAAAGACAGCGTCTCTCCGTCAGCCTCCTCTCCTCCCCTCTCACACAGCCTGGCTTCAGAGGGCGGAGGTCTGCAGGACCTACGAAATCGCTCGGCCAACAAGCGGAGGTAAGAGGAGGGTTCGAGTTTACTCAGGGACGCAGTTTGGTGAAGAAGAGCGAGAAATCAAAGAGAGGAGTTCATTCAAGAGAGCTTTTTCATATTTGTCTTTTTGCAGGAGTGGGATGCTGACTCGTCATCGCAGTACGACTGAATCGTCACAGAGTCTTCGCCAAATAGAGATCCCCAAAAAGACCACCAGAGCTGTAAGATCACGTTCGCTGGTTCAGCCTTTCATTGTGCTGAAGCAGATCTCTGTTTGTCTTCCTGATGATCAGACTTCTCGAACGGTCGCTGTTAGATCATGAAAAGACACATACAATAAGTCATGAGTGTTTTATCTGCGTTTTCTGGATTACTTGACCTTCTTTTTGTGTTTTCATCAGTCCAAGTCAAAGACCTTCAGTGCTTTGGAGAAACCGGTCCCAGAACCCCAACCTCAGAAACAGGAGACTCAAGGTATGTTGAGTCTAACAGGGAAAGCCCAAATTCATCATCCAGCAAGAAAACTGGATTTTCTTTGTGTTTAAAATATGGATTCAGGAAGTTTTGGTTTTTCTTCTTTAATGACTGGGAACAGCTTCAAATTCATGACAATCGTAGTTCCGGCTTGTAAAAGACCTTTGAGGCTCTCCTCCTCTCTCCGTTTCCGATTTTGTAAAGAGGCACCGGTGCAAAAGCTTCCTCTGAATCCTCTTATCAAACCCCAAAAAGAAAAACAGTACTTTGTGGACACATCCCCACGCTGATCTAAAACACAGACTGTTCTGATCGTCCACAGAGGTGACCAAAGTGAGAAGAAACCTCTTCACACAGGAAGTCTTGTCCCCCTCAAAGAAAGCCAAGCTGCCGAGGAGCCAGTCTGTGTCTGCTGTGGAGGGACTGAAACGCAAAAGATCTCATGAAGCTGAAGGTACATTTATCCTAAATTGATCAGAATAAAGGAGCAAAAGCAAAAATTGTTCAAGAAAGTTTTCCTCACTTTGTATCCGGCTCTTAATCTCCAGACCTTTTCCTTTCAGAGAGACACAAACTTCTGACGAGGACCGTGTGTGAAACCCCCCACCACAAACAGGTGTCCAGTCGCCTCCTGTACCGGCAGAGAGTGGGGAGGTACGTCTAACATCTCATCAGTCAGCTCCAAACTTGTTACCTCTTTTGCAGAAATGTTGAAGTTTGTGTTTCTGTCTGATGTTTCGAAGGAGATCTGCCCCGACGGAGGACTGCATTGTGGAGGAGTCACCAGTTAAACCTGCAGAAGGTATTTTTTTACTGAAACCAGGTCTTCCTCCTCTCTGATTCGTTCACTCATTTGAAAGAATCTTTTATTTTTTTTGGTGGTCACAAAAAGAGCGTTGTTTTCTTTTTCCTTTAGACCTCAGAAGGAGTCCAAGGATCCAGAATTTTGCTCGGAGACACTCGAACACCTTCTACTCCAGCTCTCAGCCTCGCTCACGTAACCTGGAGAGAGCTCTGTCTGCGTCCCAGCTCACGCTCAGCGAGGGCAAAATCAGCGAGCTCAACGTTAAGACCATCCGCTCGCCAATGCGGCTTCTTTTCGGTGCCCCCGAATCCCCGAGTCGTCTTTCAGATCCGTCACGTGCGACCAGGTCCACCAGGTCACGGCTGTTCACAGACTCGAGTGTCTTTGAGGTAAGCGGTCTTATACCCCCTGACAGCTAAGACGGCGGTCTTTCCAAAACTAAACAACGACATCACTAACGAGGCGACTTTTGTTTGTTTCAGAGTCCAAATAAAACACCAACAAAGTCACCAGCTAAACATGAACGCACCAACCAAGGGACCCCGAGAACACCAAAGACCCCCAGAACCAGAGGATCTCCAAAAACCCCGCCCACATCCAGACTGCTTCAGAGTCCGGCTGCAGGCAGCTCTGGTGGGCCCGGTATGTCTCTGAGAGGAAGTCCGTTCAGATCTCCAGCCAGAAAGACTCTCATTGTCGAGACGCCGACAAAGCAAAGCCCCATGAGGAGCCCGCTGAAGGGGATCCTCCGGACCCCGATCAAAGCCTTGGTTGACTCCTCTGGATCGCACATGCTCAGTAGTCCAGTTTCAAGGACGCCTAAAAAGAGTGTCACGTGGTCTCCTTCCCCTCGGAAGTCCAGATTGGTCGAGAGCAGCGGACTCTTCAAGGTGCCGGAGTCTCCCCGGTTTGGGTCCCGCACTTCTCCCAGACTGACGAACACACCCAACAAGTTCAGCAGTCCGGTCAGAAACACTAAGAGGGACATTTTCAAGACCCCAGAAAAGACTGGAGGACCACGCCTGGTGAGGGAGTCTGAAAAGGAAAACCATCAGAGATCATCTGTAGAAGTTCAAACCAATAAAACACCAGAAAAAAGTCACACGGTGATAAAAACGTCTCCTCCACAGTCAACACCACCTCAGAGCCGTCCCCCCTCACCCAAACTGAACACTAAAACTCAAACCAAGACCCCCAGCCCCACTCACCCCATGGTTACCCGCTCTGGACGAACTCCAGATAAAAGCTCAGATGTTGCGTCTCCATGTAAGCTGCTTTCTACACCACCAGGGGGCGCTGCTGCTGCTTCAGAGGGATCAGATACTTCGGTAAAGTCTCCAGCAAAGTCCCCGAGGAGAAAAAGGTCTGGTCAGGGCGCTAGAACCTTCAGACAGAAGTTAAGATCTCACTCTGGGGAGAACCTTCATGACAAACCAGACCCGGTCCCACCTGAGACCACGAGGGAAGATCCACCAGAGGAGGAACGCGCTGATCACTCCCAAACTTCTGAAGGCAACTCAAGTTCAGACTCACAGCAGCTCGACTCTTCACGGTTCAACTCTGCGACCACAGACGATGACAGTCTGGACATCGTGAACGCGTCAGTGGTGAAGACCCAGTTTAGCGGAGGTCTGAAGATGAACATCAGCTTTTCACGCAAGCCCTCAAAGTCCGGCGAGGACTTCCTGGCAGACGCTTTGTCTCCTAAACCGCGACTACTTAACCAGGGCACGCCCAGCCGGAGCTACGGCTTCAGGCAGACCCCTGATCGCCAGCAGAGGGAGGCCGCCGCTCGCCTCGGTACTGACCCCCCTCGGTTTTCAACTCCAAGAGGCCCTGCCAAAGGGAGTCAGCGGAAGGGAGCGGGCTCTCAGACTCCGCTCTCTTACCAAGTCGAGATGGAGATGCAAACGTCAGGACTTCCCAAACTCAAATTCAGACGCACAGACTCCATGAACGCAGGTGAGGTGGTCTCAGGTGGAGCTCAGAGTCCTTTGGTTGTTGTGAGACCTCCTCAGATAGAAAGCCCCTTAGCTCTGCGCTCCAAACACAGAGAACCTGGATGTGTGTCCCCGTCTGTCTGCACTCACGTCACCCCCGCCAAGAGCACACCGGGGAAGAGCGTCCAGACTTACATCTGCCAGTCTTACACCCCCACACGTCATCATGCAGTACCCGTGTCTCCAGATCTCATCCCTCTCACTCCCTCCCCTCAGAGTCTGGGTAAAGTGACCCCTGACAACCTGAACAGCTGGCCGCGCAGGAAGAGGGCTCAGGTGGGAGTGGGCGGAGGTAAGGATCGTGGCCTGAAGGGGGAGCCGTTGCTGGCGGAGCTGCTGGAGGAAGCGGAGCTGGGTGTCAGCAGACTGCAGGACATGGAGGACATGGATGAGCCGTCAAACGTTAAACCTGCAGATGGATGTCCCCAGTCTCCAGGTGAGAGTCTGATCTGGATGGAGAGACTGTCTGAGCAGACGGACCGCGCTGATCCTCAGAGAGCAGAAGAAGAAAACATCTGGGGGGTGGACAGTGAGGATGGAAAGTCAGGTGAGTGTCTAAGATACTTTCATTGGTGACTTAAACGGCGTCAGTGTTCAGAGATACAAGGGAAGCAGATGCAAACATGTGACCAACCCGTGACTGCAGAATGACCCAGATTACTGCCACTTTAAATCGTTGCAGGACGCATCATTTCGAGGTGTCACTCAGAGGTTCTAGAGTTTAGAGTTTCGTCTTCAGTATCTCAAAACTGTTGAGTCATTTTTGTTTCTTTTGTCGTCTTTGTTTTCATAGCGGCGACTCCTCCCAGCTCAAAGAAGAGGAAGCCGGTGACACCGAGCGGGATCCTGGCGCTCACTCACTCCCCAATGTTATTCAAGGGGAGAACCAGCTCTGTGAGCAAGAGAGCGCCGAATTTTAAAGGTAAGATGGAGCGTCAGCCTGACAGCCAATAAGAGGCGCTATCTACAGTCTACAGCCAAAAACAAACAGGATCTGTGTTGAGCTCGTTCCGTCAGCGTTGCGTCTCTGCTTTGTAGAGCAGCGCTGTCTAACGCCCACAGGATCAGCGTATTTGGAGCGTAGCAGCAGCGTAGTGCAGCTCCTGGTCAGCTGGGCTCAGTCTAGAGGAAACAAGCTCACAACAGGTTGTTTTTCCTTTCTGTGGTCGATTTCCTGCTTTGGATATAATTCAGTGACTGTAAAGTTTCTGCTTTCTGTGAAAAAGCTTTAAGTGATTTTCCAGTTTGTGTTTTTTCAGGTTTATTCGTGTTTAATAAAGTAAACTCTGTTCCTTTATGCTGTTACCTTCAGACAGAGTTAGCAGTTCAAAGTCCTGTTGGGGTCCACATGGATCAGGGATTGACCATCGGATTGTTCTGTGTTACTGATAAATCCAGAACCAGGAAGGATTTCTCATCTACACCAACTGATACACAGTTGGGAGTTTGCATATGGTGTTTTATTTTGAAATTTACCAAATGACATGCACAGTTTTCGTGATTGACTTCCTGTCTAGAACGATTTTCTCTGTGTGGATTGAATCACAGTCTGTGTGTGCTGCCCTTCTTGATCTCATGGCCTGTTATATTTGTGTAGTCAAAGCTTATTGATGGATGATTGATAAATACAACTTGGACTAAACCAAAACCAGAACCTCTCTGGTACACGACCCTGATTCCACGCCTACTGATTCAGCATTTTTCTGCAGGTCTCGTTGATTTTTCTTCTCCACCTGCCTCTCAGTTTCTCTTCGTCTTGACTCTTTTATCGGTTCATTTTTGTTTACTATACTGCTCCAAACTCTACTAACAGTAGACTTATTTATGAGTGATCATAGGCCACATCTGAACTCTGCCGGTGCTGGATCAGGAACTCCCAGGACTGACTTTGTGTGATCGCTTTGAGTCAAATTAAAGATATCGAATTTTTCCTTCACTTCCTCGTCACATCCCTTAAACTCACAATAACCCTCATTTCCTTTCCTTTGTAGATGAGGCTGCGTCGGGGAGGAGGGCGGAGGTTGATGGTGTCGAGCTCTCTCCCTTCAGCCAGCCAATCAGACGCTCAACCACCGGGAAGAGCTACAGCAGGAAAAGGCTGCTCCACTGACCGTGAGAGCAGCTGGCATGAAAAGCTCAAGTATTCAGGTTCATTCAGGGTGACACTGTGAAGTTTTGGCCTCTCTGGATTTCTTTTGATGGCAGGTCTGTAAAAATGTCTTTCAAGCACCATCTGGGAGGCTTTTCTGGACCCACAGTGCCTCCTTTAGTCTCCTCCACCTCCTCTTTGACCCTGAAGTTTCCTGTTCAGACCAGAAGATTTAGTTTTGAGAGTAAAACTGAGTTTATAAGCGCCCAAACTCTTCCTCTTCAGGACTTGATCTCTTCAGAGGTGGCGTGTTTGGAGCTGACGTCTCTGTGAGGATGATGGATTATGTCGTCACTGATTTCCAAACTTGTCATCAGCCTTTTACCAATCAAGTCTGACGCCTAAGTTTCGTGACTGAAATCCTTTTTTTGTGTTTATTTATACGTGTTTGTGTCATAAAGTTGATTTGAAGTAAAGGGAAGGACGAACAGTTGAGTCATGTTGTAAATATCTGATGTTTCTAGAGTTTTATGTAAATAAATATACTTTTTTGAATCAAGTGAATGGGAATATTTCTGTTTTTAGATCCTACTTTGTCAGGATTGAACCTGATTTCAAAATCAAGAAAGAAAGAATGATTAACCTGCACCTTAACCCGACCCATATCTCTTTGTCTTACTGCCAGATTTCTGTTTGAATGTGACTTTTATGGCTCCAGTTAATCAAACATGAGGAACTTGATCCCACTGCTCTCAGTGTTATAACTGTGTGTAATTTGAGAGCGTGTTGGAGCTACGTGAAGTTAGACACGAGGGATATGACATTTCTGGAGCAGCTTGGCAGGGCTGTCACCCCTCCAATCAGGAAGTTGGTTGTTTCCACAGAATTACTGGTGGTTAATCATTACCTCTGAGTTTGGCACCAGGTGTTGGCATAAAGTCATAGACAGGTACACACCTCTGTTTGTGTGCGGCAGGTCAGTAACCACAGAGTAAGATCACATGTTAATAAGATTCTTATGACAACATTCATACTCTCAAATCTGCTGGAGCTCTTTATGAAGTTTTATAAGTTTTAAACTGTGACTTGCCTTTTCTGCAGCTTTAACGTTGTTGTATTTTCAGAGGCCTCTCGCGTCTCTCCTCTACAGTATGGAGCTGCTGACCTCATGTTGACCTCATGTCGACCTCAGTCTCCAAAGTCCCATTTCTATAAAACCGGCCTGCTTGTAATAATCTGAAGAGTACTGAGTCGACCAGCGTCTGGATGTGAGTGAATCTGACCCTTACTTCCTCACCCCAGTGAGACAGTCATGATCATGAAGTAGGTTACACTAATCTTTGATCGATGGTGAAGAAGTGATGTTTTTATTATTCATGATTATTGACATAGAAATAGACCTAGTTACACCCACCAGGTTTGAAGCATGTGATAAAACAATTCCTCCTTTGAAACCTCACAGTTAGATCAGGTTAAGTAGAGCAGTGCTTCAGTATTTGTTCTAATTCATCTTGTGTGTCGTAAACTAATTCCACGTCCTGCAGAAGCACAATGTGAACTTTGATCCGAGTACTGTATGACCTTAATTTCCTCTTTAATAATCCAGATTACTGAATGATCCTTCATAAGGAGCTCAGGCTCTGAAAAATCAACAGTAACACCTCTGTCTGGAAGCTAAGACCTGAAGTAGACACCTGGAAGTGAACGCGTCGGATTATTCACAAAATCACAGGAACAGAAAAGTTAGCAAGACAAAAATCAACCACAGCTAACTTTTACGAACCTGTTATTACCCTGAACTACTAATGCAGGAAAAACAGAGCAGACGATTCAAAAACTTAACAGGTTTTTAAGGAGATATGGTGACAATGCAGAGTCAGAAAACTGAAAACTCTGAAGAGATGTCAGATACAAGTCGAAGAAATTAAATATAAGTTTATCAAGCTGTACTCTCAGATCAAGAGAGACCTGGTATTCATGATAACGATTATGACTGACATTTAGAAACTATTCATGAGAAACTGCAGCTACAATCTGAGTGAAAACATCACATCAGACACTTCAAAATAAATAAAAAAACAACAGTTAACCATGTGCAAACTACAAACTGAAACACTATGACTGGTTTACTGATGAAAATAAATTAATCTTCAATTAAATGAGGATTTGAAATGATTAGTAAACCATTGATTGGGTCATACTATTCTATTCTACATGAATTTAGTAACTGGAGTTCCCTCATAAAAACCTCTGAATTGACCTCTAAAAGTAGCTTTATCATGCTGATGAACATAAAAACATCAAACACAACAAACTGTGTCTTTCCTGCTATTTTTGCTTAAAAAAAAAACTGTCCATCCTGCAAAAGTCCTTTATTATCAAAAATAAAACAGCTCTCCCTACATCAATTCTTAGATTTGTCCATTAAAGAAAGTATAAACACAACCTTGTGATTCATGCAAACTTAAATAATAATAATAATGATAATTAAAAATGACATCCTACAGGTGTGGGGAGAAATAGTTAACTTGTCTTTGTGTTACCTTAGCTGATCTGCAGTAGAGTGACCCTTTATTAGAGGGAGACACTGGAAAAAAAAAACAGAAAACAGGAGGGTTAGAGCCCAGGTAAGTTTCACCATCAATCTTTCCAAAAAATATACAGACAAGCCCAAAATTATTCATACCCCTGGCAAATTTTGACTTAAAGTTACTTTTATCCAACCAGCAAGTTTTTTATTAACTGGAAAAGACATGCATCTCCCAGAATATAAGAAGATGATGTACAAGAGGCATCATTGTGGAAAGAAATATTTCAAAGCTTTTATTTACATTTGAACGAAAAGTGGCATGTCCAAAATTATTCATACCCTTCTCAATAACCAATAGAAAAGCCTTCATTGGCTGTTACAGCAATCAAGTGCTTCCTATCATTGCTGACCAGCTTTTTGCATGTCTCCACTGGTATTTTCGCCCCTTTTATCTTTAGTGATGAGCTCCAACTCTTTCAGGTTGGAGGTCCTCCTTGCCATCACTCTGATCTTAAGCTCCTTCCACAGATTCTCTGTTGGATTCAGGTCAGGACTCTGGCTGGAACACTGCAAAACGTTCATGTTTTTGTCTGCTAACCATTTCTTCACTTCTTTTGCCGTGTGTTTTGGGTCGTTGTCGTGCTGAAATGTCCACTGGTGCCCAAGGCCAAGTTTCTCTGCAGACTGCTTGATGTTGTTGTTGAGAATCTTGATGTATTATTCTTTTTTCATGGTGCCATTTACTGTGATTAGGTTCCCTGGTCCATTGGCTGAAAAACACCCCCAAAGTATTAGATTCCCCCACCATGTTTGACAGTGCGGATTTTGTTCTTAGGGTTGAAGGCTTCTCCTACATCATTGTGGCCAAACAAGTCCATTTTTGTTTCATCTGACCACAAAACTGAAGACCAGACGTCTTCTTCTTTGTCCAGATGAGCTTTTTCAAAGGCCAAGCGGGCTTTCGTGTGCCTTATCTGGAGAAGTGGCATCCTCCTTGGTCTGCGTTCCTGTAACCCAGCAGTGTGCAGTGTCCGTTGGACTGTCTGCCTTGAGATGTTGCCATGAGCAGAGCCCAGATTCACCAGGATGGCCTTGGCTGTGATCCTTGGATTCTTTTTCACCTCTCTCACTATCCTCCTGGCCAGCACAGGTGTCACTTTAGGTTTCCGACCACATCCTCTGAGATTTTCCACAGTGCAGAATGTCTTGTATTTTTAATAACACTTTGCACTGTAGCCACTGGAACTTGAAAACATTTAGATATGGCCTTACAGCCGCAGGTCCTCAGTGAGCTCCTTTGTCTAAGACATGACTGTCCAAAACCCAGCTGCAGAGAACAGCTGTTTTTCACCTGTTGAGTTGATTAAAACAGCTGTTCCCAATGAATCAGGCTAATTGGGATGCTTTAGAACAGCTTGGACTATTTGGAATGGTACAGAACTTTGGATTCTCCCATAGACTGTGACAGTATGAATATTTTGGACATGCCACTTTTCGTTTAAATATAAATAAAAGCTTTGAAATATTTCTTTCCACAATGATGCCTCTTGTACATCATCTTATTATCTTCTGGGAGATGCCTGCTGTGTCATTTCCAATTAATAAAAAACTTGCAGGTTGATTAAAAGTAACTTTAAGTCAAAGTTTCCACTGCATGGAGGCCATAATACTCAGGCACTGAGGCTGAGGTCTGCAGCAGTCTTACACCCCGGAGATGCTCACCACAGCTGCAGGACTTTTTATGGTTTGAATGAATTCATTAACCTTGTGGAAAGTTTGAGAGTAAGAATGACTTCTCTGTTATCCAAACTATTTTTTAAAAAAATGTGAAAAATAAGTTTGCAGAGTGTTTGTGTTTTAGGGATGGAGGGTGAGAGGTCGTGATGAGAAAGCTCTCAGAGCTGCAGCCTCATATCCACGGACGACCTTCAGTATTCTCCACACGCGCTCCTTAAGAACTGTTAAGTCAGCAAAAATTAGCAGGGTAACTTCCGGTACGATCAAAACTTCACAACAAAATCAACAAGTAGAAAATATTCTTTAAAAAAAATCAACATTTTACTACTCTTTCTCAGCCGTTAATTTGATTAGATAAACCATTTTTGATTGATTGATTGTAGTTTATTTTGAATATGCAAACCAAAAATATAAAAAATAAAACAAGAAAAGTGAGGTAAAACATTTAAACAGAAAACAGAAATACATATTTGAACACTTAGTGCTACCCAACACCTTCCCCATCCCTGTACCTCTTAAAAATAGTGTCTTTAAACCTCATTTGAAACTGTGTAAACATGTTTGAACATCGCTTTAACTCCATGGAAAACATGTGTCATAGTCTAGAATTTAAGTTTATCCATGATACAGATCTGAGCTTTTATTTTGAAAGTGTATTTCCGTTCTGTTCTGGTCTCCTCTCTCTCTCTCTCTCTCTCTCTCATTCCACCACAGTCATCCACTCCTCATCACCGACTCTCACTCATCCACCTGTCCCACCCTTCTTCTTCTTTCTCCTGAGGAAATTACTTCTTTTTTTCTCCACCTTTAAGGAAAATTTACAGAATGGCCAGCAGCTTCTCCAGAATCCTCTCCTCGCAGCGGAAAATCGGGCTCCTGTCGTTTGTCGGAGGTTCGGTAACGGCTGGATTTCTGCTCCACCGGGAACATGTCAGAGCGGGAGTCCCGGTCCGCAGGAGTTACCCCGCCAGGTACCGTCACCCCACCGGGCCGTTGGTCCGTTATCTGCACTCAGGGAACCATGTTTGTGTTTTTTCTCTTTGTTTTTAAGTATATGTTTAATTTTCTGTGTTGAAAATGTCGTTTTTTGATGTAATTGTTGGAAAATGGCGCGGTGTGAAACATAGAAGTAACCTTGGTATCGGAGCTGAGTTTCTAGAAGAGGGCATCTAAGGTAACGGCAGCTTAAAGAGGAACGACATGGAGGGGTGTGCTACATCAATTATTAGAATTAAAATGAATACTTATTAAAAATGAGAGTTAGATTATTGAAATATGATATCATATCTCAGGAATTTAAAGAGTAAAATAATTAAAATGTCATTTTTGTATCAACAAAGACGTAAATGAGCTAATACTGTGAACACACCATTACAGACATTATCTGTAAAATGGTTTGGGGTTTAAATAAGGGGGCAAATTAACCAAATTTTTGCAAATTTTGGGCTTTTTACCTACAGAAGGGAACTGCAGAGCACACTCCCAGATTATAGCACATCACCCTTGAAAAGCAGAAGGTGAATTATGACAAAAACTCTGACAGTAATGCTTATTTTTAAGTCTTTTCTTTCATTTGTAGAGAAATTTAAGACTGTCCTTAACTGCACCTGATTTCAGAGGACGAAAAAATGTGCTACGTGGAGGATTATGGTTATAAATGGTGTGGTTAAAGCTATAGAGCAGGAAAATGAAAGTCACAGAGTGGTTGGGGTGATGGTGTGTACGTGGTCCACAACACGCAGGCTTGCTTTATACGGCAGCGCATAGACACATAAAGATCAGTAAAACCTTATCTGCAGCTCAGATATCAACCCCAGCCCTGAGTGTTACGTAACTGTCACACTAAACGTTCACCTGCAGCAGCAGAATGATTCAGATGCAGAAATAAATTCATCAACAAAGACATAAACACCAGTTTGCAGATTTGTCTTTAAGCTCAGTTGCTCTCTCCTTTTTCTGGGGTCACCTCAGGCAAGCCATTTTTAACCCCTTAGTGTCCAAAGACCCTTTTTTATGATTTACTCTGATTAGGAGAAAGCCAAATTGTTGGTCCTGATGGGCCCATGGTCTGAAAACTGGTTCACACACACAGAGTTAGGGTGTGACCAGAAAGCCATCCCAGATGCCAACAATCTGAGGGATGTAACAATGTCTAAATCTGATAACATGAGTGAACCTTAATAACAGACCCAGCTGCATATTTATTGTGGTATTCAGAAATAAAAAAGGAGAATTTGTCCTGATGCCTCTTTGTGTCCTAACCTTCTGAATCCATTGTTGTCGATCACAAAAACGGTCGTAGGTCTTGAGCTGAGTATTTAATGCTCTCATGAGGAAGTGAATGAATATTAACAGGGTAACAAGTGGCCAAGTGTCTCACATATCACTCTTATCACCCTGATGAGTGGGTCACTGCACTCTGACAGTGTGTGCACGTAGTCTCCTGCTCTCCCCGCCTGCAGATGGAGAAGAGAGGCATGAGTAATGACCGTCCAAAAATATTGTAGATATGCTGTTTTCTCCTGTCGAAGTTTATCTCTGTAGTATTATTGAGTAATTGTTTTTCTCAGCCTTTCTTATCAGTCCTTATCAGTATAACTAACAGGAATCTCAGGGAGGAGTATATAAACCTCCTCAGCTCTTTTGGATCATACTGAATGCTTTAAGCCAGTAAAAGGAGGATAGTGTCAGGTTTGCAACACTATGACTCCTTTTATTAAAACAGTGAGAGTTTCATCATTTTCACTGCATCGCCCTGCATGACAGTTCACAAGTGACCAGTGAGTCATCCTTCCATCGTTCCTGTGAGGGAAAAAAGAAAAACTGTACCCCTTTGCAGGCAGCTTGTTGGTTTTATTAAATCCTGCACCAAAAGCAGAAACTGAGGCACACTGCATCATGTGGACATATTGGAGCACACTCAGTGGGATGACACCTGCAGCAGCCACCTGTGTTTTTTCTGGCTCTGATAGGTGCTCACAGTCATCACTGTTGATCTTCCTCAGTTTCTGCAGTCTTTGCTTATTAATGATTCTAAAAGAAGAACCTCCATAAGAGCTGATAGTGAGTTTGTGTCCCTCCATGACTGTCATTTCTAAAGTTCTCTTTTTTTATTCCCCATATGTTCATCAGTTGCTCCATGATAGGACACGTCTTGTCCATTGTTATCTCTTGGCAGCCAGCAGGAAACTTGAACTCCTGAGAGACTGAGTCTGTGCTGTCTCTGCAGTTGAACTCTCGTCACAACAAAAGCCAATTTCATTTCGTTTCGTTTCATTTCATTCCGGTTTGGCTGGAAGCCTAAATAATTCACTTGAATATAAAGCTTCACTTCTATAGTTTATTCAGCAGCATTATTTGACAGTATGAGGAGAAATCTAAAAGCTTTCTCCTCCACTTTTAAAGCACAGTGTGTGAAATCCACAGGCATGTAGAACAGACTTGTAGGAATGAAATTTACCGCTAAGTATGTTCGATTTACTGTATAATCATCAGAACATGTAAATCGTGTATATCTATGTATATCTCCATAGGATGTTTCTACAGAAACACAGAATGGACAAACTAGTTACATGCATGTTTTTGTATTTTTGAGGAATGGACGACAAAAATGAAAACGAGGAGAGGGGAGTGGTTGTTGTTGTTTTGTGCAAAATTATTGTATTGATGCTAAAAAATTGACAAATGACGGATTAAATTTATCATACATCACAGGAGCTTTTTGTCCTTGAAGGCCACCATCTCTTCACCAACAGGAGCGGTGAACAAAGGAGCATTTTCATCTAGAATGAGACTTTGAGATATCACAAAATATATTCATTTCTATAGCCTGTGCTTTTATTTATTTATTTATTTCCAGCTTGTTGGCAGCAAAGGTCAGCTGCCATCAATGTGTTTTGCATAGCAACAGATATAAATACTCTTTTCAAGCTTCCTGCTTCAGATTCCAGTGTTAGTATATGAGTAATACCTGTACCATAGTACCTCAGACACAGACGGATCAGTATATTTTCAGGTGTAGAATCACTGGTTACTGATATCCTGACATTAAACCAGCAGTGAGCCGTTGCTTTTTGTTTTCTACTTAAAAAAAAAAGATGGATAGGTCAGACGATTAATGGCATTTTGAAATAATCTGCTTCACGTCCACATCCACCATCATCTTATCTAAAGATCTCCTCCTACATGACGCCAGATCAAATCTAAAACAGTCACTGCCAAGTTTTTAAAGTTACTGTGAGGAGCTTTCAGTTTCACTCAATTTTGGCGCCCCCTGTGGACAACGCCGTAGCTAATTTTGTCCTCCGCATGCTTAAAAAAAATCATCTCGCTTAATTCATGTCACTCAAATATATCATTTATTGTGCGTACACTTGACAATCGTAAGAACAGGGCAGTACTTGAGCTGTCTCAGGCATTAAAAGTAACTGTGTGAAAATAGTCTGTTTTGTTGCTGTTGGTCTTATTTCGTAAAAATCGTAAAAAAGCATCAACATGAATTCATACATGTCAAAAAACTCCTCACTGTAGCTTTAATATTGATTCTACTGTGATTTTCTAAATGAAAATGATGAATGAAAATGTTCAACCACTAATAGTGATAATGTGATCATTGAAATGAAACCAGTTTATTTTTTTGTGCGTATATATCCTACACAGTTTGGATCATGGTGTTAGAAATGATCACTGACTGTTTGTCTCAGTTTCGGCCTCATTTGAAGCTGATATCCTCACTGCTGCTCCTCCTGTCTGGTCTTTCTGAGGGAAAATGCTGTGATGGCATGTTGGAAACTATTTGATCAAGAGAGCAGAAGGAAAAGTTTACGAATCAGAGTTTGACTGCAGCTGCATGCCAAGTAGTACCAGGCTCATGTCCCTGTGTCCTACATGTCTCCTGTCCACACACTCACAGGTTTGACCCAGGTTACCTTCAAACACACCAAACTGGAGGAGTGTCCTTCATGACTAACTCAGCCCACCCCCTCAGAGGGCACGGCTCCACTCCTGACATCATGCGCCCACTCTGTCCACTCAAAACCTTTCCCCTCTTTTCAAAGTTTGATGCACTAAAACGTTATCTCGCGTTTGTATTTGTACAGCGCGGAGTACCCTGACCTGCGCAAACACAACAACTGCATGGCCAGTCACCTGACACCTGCCGTCTACGCCAAGCTGTGCGATAAGGCCACTCCCAACGGTTACACACTGGACCAGGCCATCCAGACAGGCGTGGACAACCCCGGGCACCCCTTCATCAAGACCGTGGGCATGGTGGCAGGAGACGAGGAGTCCTATGAGGTCAGACATCAGATATGAGACAGAGGATTTTTGATGTAGAGTTATTAGATGTTGTACCGCTCTGTGAATGAATCTATGTCTGCTTTTGAACACGTGAACCTGTCGGGTTTGACTCACTTTCGGGGTCATTTGAAGAACTGAAGTTTTTGACACTTTCCCTTTAGTTTCACTTTCAGCCATCTGTCATCAACTTGTGCAATCTTCACCCGTACTCCCAGTTACTGTAAGAATAATTTCAACATACATGACGACTCAAAGAGCGCTGTCACCCATCCTCCCTGTCCTCACCCATCCTCCCTGTCCTCACCCATCCTCCCTGTCCTCCCTTTTTAAGAGGAAGGAGGTTTACAGAACAGGAGATGGAGAGTTTTGGATGAGGACGCCTCTTCTGGGAGACCTGTGTGTCTATCCATAGCGAGGGTCAAACTGTGTTTCTCCTGTTAACCGTCTTTTGTTGAGTAATCATGATGTGTCATTATTATCAGTCTCCATGTTGTATTTCATCAGAGAGGCCGAGTCATTAAGTCAACGTGTTTTCAACAATGTTCCTTATTTTAGAGAATATCCGACACAAACTGTTTCGAAGCAGACGTGAGTTTTGTTTATTGTTCTCCTCTCTGCACTCGATGAAGCCGATGGATAATAAAGCACTGTCACACAGTATAAAGGGAATAATAGTGCTATCATAGAGGCTGTAAATGCCCCGAGTGTTTAAAAAGATTCACCCTTTTTTAACTCGAAGGAAACTTGAACTCTTGAACTCATGTTTTGTCCAAACCCGCTCTGTCATTTACACTCATGATTTCTGTATCTGCTTCAGGTATTTGCCGATCTGTTGGACCCCGTCATCAAAGAGAGGCACAACGGCTATGACCCTCACACCATGACGCACCCCACTGATCTGGACGCCAGCAAGGTAACACCTCAGCGAAAACACAGATTTGTTTTCTTCTAAATCACTGGAGTGACTCAAAAACTCGTCACTCCAATCCCTCCTTTCAGATCCACTCCGGACAATTCGACGAGCGCTACGTGTTGTCATCCAGGGTGAGAACAGGCCGCAGTATCCGCGGGCTGAGTCTGCCCCCCGCCTGCACCCGGGCGGAGCGTAGGGAGGTGGAGAGGGTCGTCGTGGACGCCCTCGCCGGCCTGAAGGATGACCTTACAGGGAAGTACTTCAGTCTCACCCAGATGACAGACAAAGAGCAGCAACAGCTCATCGATGTGAGTGATGTCACAACGCCGCCTTACATCATACTTTGACTCCCTGTGATGATGATGTGACCATAACTTTACTTCATTATATTTCTGTTTTCTTCTGACAAAACTGAGCGATTGAAGTGTTCAAAGCTCCAGCTGGATCCATCATTGGCTCCTCGAGTATTAACCCTTTGTTTTCTGTTTACACGATAGGACCACTTCCTGTTTGACAAGCCTGTGTCACCCCTCCTGACGTGCGCAGGCATGGCCAGAGACTGGCCGGACGCTCGCGGTATCTGGTGAGTAAAAACCAGACGAGTTTTGTGGATCTGAAATCTGAAACTTTGTCAGTCTGAGAGTTTGAGCTGCTTCTTTGTTTCCAGGATATTTAGAGGTTTGGACCAACGTCTGTGTTTTCAAGACCACGACTCAGAGTTTAGATGAATGATCTGACTTTAAAGGTCCAAAAACGATTCAGTAATGATCTTCAGTCTGTGATGTTGGGAGTGTTTATTTTGTTAAGCTGCTTTCACTTAAATATCAGTGGATAATAATGAAGCGGGAGATCAGCTTTAAAAAACAATAAAGGTCCAAGGATTGATCCTTGAGGAACTCCTGAGAAAAGTCACGTAAACTGCAGATTCATAACCTTCAGCATCCTCCGTCCTTGTTTACAATCACACCCTGAGGCTGCCTAAATCTGCTCACTGGAGGATTAACGTCTGTCCAAGGTGAATAACAGCAGAGGGGGGACCAGATAAAACATGACGTATTCTCTTAAAACATGAAAATAATGAAAATGTGGGTTGTATGTTTAGGATGCTTACACACAGTTTTTAGTTTTGAAAGCAGCAGCGAGAGGAGCTGATCTGTCTCTGAGGGAAGGATGAATCATTTAAGAGGAGTCCCCTGTGGAGCTGAGAGAAAGGTTTTATCCTCGATGTCATTTATCCACGATCTCTAGAGTAAACACCGAGCAATTACTCTGAAAGTCTGAGGGAGCTTTGACGACAAATGAAGGACGAGTTTGGGGTCTTTTAGAAGAAGAAGAAGCAGAAGAAGAAGAAGCAGCAGCTGTGTTTTTATTATTATTTCAAAAACATACTGGTGTGTTTGTTTCTCTCTGACTGATCTATGACTGTCTGCTGGTGTTTGTTTGTTTGTTTTTGTCCATATTTACTGAGGCTTTTGAGGGGGTTTGTTCTGTGACACTCTATTTAAAGGGATATTCTGCAGATTTTTACCTCTTTTGAGCCCATAATCATCATCCTATTAGAATTAAGCTCTTGTGTTTACTCTTCAAACTCTCAAATCTAACGCAGATGCTCTCTGTCTCAGATTTAGCTCAACGAGGCTTCAAAATCTGATCACCTGACGTGCCATCATCTCATATATTTGGTTTCAAGTCCTCCACTTTGTTCATCACTGGGCTGACAGATATTAGATGTAGGGAAATATAACAGAGCGCTCATATCTAACTGTTTTTTTATTGGAGTACGCAGCTGGAGGTCTGCAGCAGATTCTGAGGGTGAAGCTGCAGCTGCAAACACTCCATTACATCCTGGTATTTTTAGACACCACAGGCAAAACTAAAGGAAGAGGATAACTCCGATAATTCAGCCTCTTTTTATGGTTTGACACAGTTTTCATATCGCTCAGTCCTGTAAAACTGTCCTCTTTATCATTTTTCTGGGTCTTGATAGACTCGTCTGTTTATTTCTAACCTGACCTGACTCCACCCAGGTCCCGTCCCCCCTCTGCTGACTTCTGTTGGAGGTGTATTAGCGATGCAGACCGCGCTGCCTCAGCGTTAAGTTTCAGCGCTCTCCCACGAATAGCCCAACGCTCCGTGTTCGCCAGCCAAAATCAATCAGCAGCCTCCTCCCTCCTGGCCGGTATCAGCCGGGCTCTGCTCTCCTCCACTCCTTAATAATTTACCTTCACTTCATCCCTCCATCATCCCGTCCTTTGGTTTCACTCGCAGCTTTGGCTCAGTCCTGTCCTGCTTTACTTCATGTTGTTCTCCTCCTACAAATGGTCCCTGTTTCAGTCATACAAGAGTCCTTCACTGCTGCGTTCCTCCTCTCACATCACCGATCCATGACTTTATTAAACCTCTGATGTTATTAAGGAGGTCAGAGAGCGAACAAAAAGCTTCTGTACTGGCTGACAGAGACTCAGTGGACTTTTTAATTTGAAATATGATGAGTGGAGGTTGACAGTTTGCTCTCACTGTGAGGAGATCATGATAACACAATAGAGACTTACACCAGAGAGCGTGACTGAGATTTTAGGAAGAACTCAGAGTGATGATAATTACCCAAAGACCTGATACTCGACGGTCTCTCTGCGCACTCAGACATGTATTGATTTTCTGAAACTCATTTTTAGAGAGAAGAGCCACAGGAAAATCACTTCTCTGTATTTTCTTTAGCAGTTTCATGAACAAAATATCACCTCTGTTTTTCACTCTCATCGTCTGAAGGTCTTGGGGAAAGTTACACCAACAGGGACACTCTATCTGTGTTTACCTGAGCAGAGGACACTCACCTGGTTCTTCTTACTTCTGCGGTGGAGAGGACAAAAAAAACCCTGACGTGTCGCGGATCGATATTTAGTAATTGGATTTATCATCCAATATGTTTTCAGGCACAACAACGAGAAGACGTTCCTGGTCTGGATCAATGAGGAGGATCACACCAGGGTCATCTCCATGGAGAAGGGAGGGAACATGAAGCGGGTCTTTGAGAGGTTCTGCAGAGGCCTGAAGGAGGTACGGCCGTGTTTACTAACAAATGTGGATTCTTTAGATGTTTGAGGAGAGACTTGGCTGCTTCACATCTCTGCTGGACTTGAGACAAGCCTTAAGACCGACTTTTAGAGGTCTGTCTCGAACCCTACAGCGTTGCCCCTCTGCCTCGTCTCGGTCTCAGACTAAGAGACCTCTACTTTTTAATTCAAAGCAGTCCAAATCGTGTAGGATGTAGGAGGAGGACATCTATTGTAGGATGTTCACGTCCTCCAAACTTGTCAGAGGTCAGAGATTACCTGAATGAAACACGCGCTGATGTCGCTGCGTCTGATTGGTTCTCTCAGGTGGAGCGTCTGATCCAGGAGAAAGGCTGGGAGTTCATGTGGAACGAGAGGCTCGGTTACATCCTCACCTGCCCCTCAAACCTGGGCACAGGACTCAGAGCCGGGGTCCACGTCAAACTGCCCCTGTTGAGCAAGGTAACACAATCCTAACACAAATGTCATTCAGACCCCTGATGATGAAATAATGCTCGTAGATTTATACAAACTCCTCCCCCTCCTGTCCTCAGGACGCTCGCTTCGGTAAGATCCTGAGTAACCTGCGCCTTCAGAAGAGAGGGACGGGTGGAGTGGACACGGCCGCTGTGGGAGGAACATTCGACATCTCCAACCTGGACCGCCTGGGACAGTCTGAGGTCAGAACATGCATGAATATTTAAATATGCAAACGTCCTCGGAGTGTTTATTTTCACGTTTTTTTTCGTATCACCAGCATCATCTCAGCCAATCAGAGGCTGCTGTTCTCTTGTTGTGTATCAGTCCTCCTCACTGCAGACAGAGCTCTGGTCTCTCCACCAGACTGCTGCAGTGATTTGTTGACATCTTCCTCTGGAGGTGGCGTCCTCCTCGTCCTCCTGACACTGTAATCTTAATAACATAAAAATGTGTTTTTATCCTCGTATCTTCTTCTGTGTGCATGTTTGAGATTATGAAGCTGAATATATCTGTGAGGTTTGACTTCATCCACATTATGCAACAACAATTTTGAGTCAGTCAGGTTTAAAAAAACAAAAACGCTGAACCTTCAAATGCGGCGCTCGGTTTGACATCGTTGAAGACTGACTCCCCTCGCTGTGAAGCTCTGAACAGAAAGAGAGGATGCTGAAGCTCATGTTAAGCTCATCAGGTCAGCCTTCAAAGCTCAGTCTTCTCTGAACAACTGAACCACCTTTGACGAACTCAAATAAGACCGTTTACAATCGAATGTTTCAGGACTACAGCGTGAGGGTCGTAGTGAGAGAGGGGAGATGTTGTCCGGACTGATCCTGTTGTGTGTCTTTGTTATGTCACTGGTGGTCATGCTGTCATTCCTACGTGACGGTCATACAGCACAATAGAGCCGTTCTCTCCTGGTATTATTCTCTGTAGGTTGGAGCGCGGCGTGCTAATTAGCTCTCAGATTGAGGATCACTCATCAGACTTTCTTACTGTTACATAATCCTGAGATCATGGGACTCTTAGAGATCCAGAGAGAGAGAGAGAGAGAGAGAGCACAGTCTGCTGTTTGCTCATGGGCAGAGGAAATGAATCCAGGTTTTAAAATAAAGAGACGTTAAAGGGTTGGATCGTGTTAGAAGACCTCAGACATCCACTTCTTCTCTGAGCGTTTTTGAGTTCGCTGTTCGCTGCTGTTTTGTTCCACAGCATCCAGATTCCAGACCGATGAGCACTTAGGAGAGCGGCTCTCTGTGAGCCAAGTCCACAAGATGATCGATGGAGGTGAAGTAGGGACAGCTGCAGCAAAGACCAGGAGGAAATAACAAATACAGACTCCAGGATGTTCCAGGATACAAACTCTGTTTTTGTAATGATGGGTGGAAACCTCAAAGACTTAAAGATTTTAAATAATAAAAATAATGATAAAGTTTATTTATGAGACGCTTTTCAAGAACAGGCTTCATTAAGAGCTTCACAATAATGTATAAAAATACAAAACATACAGCAGAATGTAAAATGAGAAGAGAGAGGGACACCTTTGAAAGAGAAAACTGCTGTGGGCCCAGGACAGAACCCTGAGGAACTCCACGAGACATCAGCCTGCATCACGTTCCTGAGTAGAGCAGTTTCTGTAGACCCAGATGAGGATTTATCAGATGTGGGTCTGTGGTTTTCAGAGAGTGAGGGGTCAAGATTTGATTTGTTTTGGGCTGAAATGCAGCGTGTTTGGAAAAGGATAAGACCCAAAGAGACCCAGAGATCCTGGTCTTCACATGTCCATCCATCCGTTTACTTACCGGGGTCGGGTCACGCCTCCTGCAGTTTTTCTAACAGACCATAATCCTGACGTCCGTTTGGTTCTCCTCTCCTCCGTCTTTCAGGTCCACCTGGTCCAGACGGTGATCGATGGCGTCAACTACCTGATCGAGTGCGAGAAGAGACTGGAGAGAGGCCAGGACATCAAGGTGCCCCCACCCATCAAGCAGTCCAAGTAGACCCCACTGACCCCTGAGCTCACCCCACAAACCTCTGGGCACGCACGCACATGCACAAACACCCCCTCTGTGCCCGTAGATATGACAAGTATCTATGCCATCTCCTCATTTATTAAACTACTACTTATCTACTCACCTCCCCACCCCCACCCCGGCCCCTCACCCGCCCTCCTTCTATACCTCTCTATGATATAATCTACGTGTACGACATACAGCTATCAGGCTAAACCAAACTAAGTCCTACTGTACTGCATTTGGCTTCAGAGTGTTTGAGACGCATTTGAAAAGTTTTGATCCTTAAACTGAAATCTAAACCTCGCTCTAACGTGACAGCAAAGGATGCACAAATTACAGGCTGAATCAGAGCAAAAATGGCCGCCACTGCGCCCACCTCTGCATGGCCAAACAGTATCTCTGGCTCTCCACGGCCCACCTGACCTGGCTTTCCCCCCTTGCCTCCTCCTCCTTCCTCTCCTGACGCATGTCCTATACTCAGTCCCCTTCCCCTCAGTCCTGTGTGTTGTTTGGTCATGACTACTATCTGGTGCTTATGAAGTCCATATCCATCCGTGCTTTATTTCCATGGTAGGTTGTGTGTTTGTCTTCAGCGTGACGAGTGGGTTTGAATGTAGATTAACAGGGTACGACAGAGGAAACTCGAGGTTTTGTACATGTCGATGACACACCGGTGTCATCATGTAATAGCGCACACTGGCCGGGCTGGGTCCTGTACTGTAAGCTACTGAAGCAATATCATTCCAGCTCATCACTGAATGTCACACCGTCATGTCTTTTATTAAAGAAATCATCTATTTAACAGTAACAGCTCCTCCTCCTTCTCTTTCTCTCTCTTTGTCGCTGAAGCGTTTCCTTTTTTAGTCTCCACACCACCCCGGGTTCAGCTCTTTGGTTTCCAGGAGGATTTTTGCCCGAGCGTGCAGCACCAAGCTTTAAGTAACCATGGTAACCAAGCTCCAGGAACGTGATTGCGATCAGCGTGGGTGCAAAGCATCATGTGACCGTGTTTAGTCAGAGGCAAAACAAAACTGTATTATTCTTTGACGGGCTGGTGCTCAGACTAGGAGACGTCTTTATTTTCTGTCTTCATAAGAAGTTTCAGACCCTCAATCAGACTGTAAAGCTGAGTAAAGGGTCACTGATAGCAGCTGAGTCAGCACAGTACTTCTCCTGAGTAGTATAATATATATATGACATCATATGGTGAAGAATTGATCATCTATATAAGACTGGAAACACTTCATAATGGTTACACAAAGTATAAAAGATAATGTACAACATAATGAAGTACACTAAAACTACATGACATATAACAACTGCAATAATACAGGGATTTAACGGATAAACAGCGCTGTAATTATTATTATTTAAGATTTAACAGAAGATAAACTCTTTTCCTGAGAATATTTCATGTTAGGGCTGGGCGATATGGCGTTAAAATCACAACGATATATTGATCAGTTCACCTTGATGACGACAAATGGACGATAACTACTCCACAAGCTGCTCACCCCCTCCCACATTAACTTCATCTACAACTTTTGAACCGTCCTCCATCTCCTCACCTGTCTTTCCCTCTTTGTTACGGACTGGATGGGGTGGAGTCACATCTCTGATGTAGGACAGCGTCTTAAAGGGACATGAGACCATAGCCTACCTACACACACCCAAAAACAACTTTGATTTTTTTATTTATTTGACACCGAATACATTGACATGGGCAAAATGATAAAATAAATTTTCGGTTTATCGCCCAGCCCTACTCCAAAATGACTTATTTTATCAACTTTGACTTTATTTTATTTTATCAGTTGAAGGTCTGCTGCTCTCGTGGTCTTACAGTACACATCAAACAGTTTTTAACACGTTCCAGTTGTTTTTTATAGAATAGTTTAAATGAATTAAAAATCTCCAATTCAGCCCCTGCTGATGATCTGCAGCCTCTCAGTTCCTGACCTCATCATCCTCACAGAAACCTGACTGAGCAGTGAGGTTGTCTGACCTCCAGGTTCTGGGACAGGTGTAACAATATTTAAACTGTTGCTAAATTTATCTTTAAAACTCAACTATAACATTTATGTATACATGCACGGAGCAAACACTAACTGCAGAAACACTCCCTCTGAGTCAGTGAATGAACCCGAACTAGTGTCCATGTTTAACATCGACTCAGACCCAAAGATGCTCCTTTCTTCTCGGCTCTGGAGGACACATTCTTCATGGAGCTTCATCCAGCTGTGAACACACAGGTTTTTGATTGTCTCCTGTGATGAAACAGGCTACAGTTTTTCCAGTGTTGTGGTCTGACGGGACAACAAGGAGGTCCAGTGTTCTGACCAGAAGCAGCTGAGGAAGACGTCAAGTGTTGGTGTTGTGGGGCGTGAAGAATCTGCTTCTCTCTCTCTCTCTCTGTGAGGATTTGGACGAAGGTTCTGACGAACGCTCGCTCACATCCTCCTCTCCCTCCCTTCCTCCCTCTGAGAGTGTGTCACAAGCCTCATGCTGCAGACTTCTCCTCTCCTCCTCCTTGTTCCAGTTATGGCTGAGGAACGAGAGGGTTGCCTTGGTAACCACTTCACTGAGGCAATGGGGTCTCCCGCTGTAGAAAAGAAGGGGCTTTGTGGGTAACAAACAAATCTGTACAGTGTAGGAAGAGCTGCAGAAGCTGGGAGGATAAAATGGAGGGTGAACAGCGATGACGCACCGAAGGAGGAAGTTTAAACAGTCATGAGAGGGACACTCGAACCCTCAGCGTTTACACCGATACGTACACATGGTTGGCTGAGAGCTCAGTGACTCAGAGTGACTCACCTGTCTGACTCTTAATTCTGTTATTTTAACATCTCTTTGTTTATCAATATCTTTATTTATAAGTTTCTATATTATTGATTCTGTCATTGGCAGTGATTGGCAGGAGCAAACAACAACAGAAAGCTGACTTCCAACTATAGAAAGAGTTAAAAAAATAAAGATATGAAGTTAAAGACTAGGCTTTGACATAAACAGTGACTTCATTTCTTGAATTAATTTTGTTTGAAGGAAGCCTGATACTCGATGAGCCGGGATTTTAGGTGTGAAAGGGGTCATGCATGTGCCGCTTATATCATCAGTCACCTGAAGAGTGTTTGGTGTTGTTATGACAGGTTTTCAGATTATAATTACTTCAAAATGTTCACTTTAATGAGGCTTTGGAGCAGACTGAACGTTTTCAGAGTGTAGTGCAGTTTAATTTACGTCTCTCTGTTCTTACAAACAAACTCAAATCCCAGCTCCTCCTCAGTCACCGACAGTCAGCCCGTCCTCTAACCTAATTTGGTCTCTGAATGATTTCCCCTCTCTGCTCTGAGTTTACAGTAAACGCTGGGATAAAAGCTGCTCGGATTAGCTCGCCCGTCGGCTGTTTGCCCACAAGACTGAGCTGCAGAGACGAGGAGACTCTGTAAGCTGCTGCTACAAGAAACTGATCCATCCAGGTCGATGGCACAAAGGGGGTAAATAATGCCGACCAGGTGTCTCAGGTGTTACAGAAACTTATTATACCACAGTTTTCTTTTATTCTTGGGAATATTTTCAGCGTCCTTTGAAATCCAAGCTGCATGAAAGTCGAACACAGACTGAAGAAACCACAGACTTGGTCTCTGTGTTCTCACCTGCTGAAATCAGGTGAGGAGGAGCGTTTGTGAAGCCCAACAATAGAGGGCGCCAAAGTGCGAAAGGTCAATCAGAGAGACTGTAGGAGACAAAATTCAGACAATAAATAAAAAAACAGGCGAATTAAACGAAGGTCAGTCAAAACAGGTAGGTCTGTTACTGCAGTTTGGAGGACAAATAAGAGTCTAAATATTGGAAAACTCCTAATCAGAAGGTGTTACAGTCATTTTAATATCCTTTTAAGATATCACAGATGTACTTTTAGACTTCTTACATCTTGATCACACACATAATTGGCCTCATAGTAGGACATAAATATAACTGAGTTTGTTTTAATGAAGGTATATATTGATGTTTTCTGAGTGGAGACTGTGTAAAAAAAGGTTTTTAATGGAGTTACAAAGTCTGTGAGGTTTGTTTTTAACCTTAGTGAGATGTTTTATGTCTCATCTATGTGTTTACTCCATAACAGTGGTGGAAGATGTAGTTTTTAACTGGACTACAGACAGGGAATCATACTCAGGAGTCTGTGCTGTGAAGGAGCTCCATCTGCTGGACAAGAGAGGAAACTACAGCTTTGTACAGGAAAAAGGAAAGTGTGTAGTTTGGATCACAAATCTGCAAAATCTTTTTCCTGCATTGCTTCATAAATCAGAAATATGATTAGGAAATAACTGTGAGATAAAAGTGAAACAAATGTCGACACTCATGAGAAGCTTTGAGCTTTGGATTTTTTGTTCAAATCATTAATATTAGATCAGATTAGATACGACTTTATCCTTTGGGAAGGTTCCCTCGAGGAAATTAAAATTATTTTCTTTTTTTTCTTCACAAAATCCACCTTTAATTTTTACACAAGAAGGTTGTTTTTTATTTTAAATTCTCCAAGTTTCATTTAAACTTTCAAATATTTTGCTAAATCAGTTTTTTTTTTAAATTAAAAACAACATTTTAATCTGTGACAGTGATAAATCTGAGTCCTCACAGGAGCTCTGAATCATCTCTGACTGTTTACTGTGACATTTTTGAGAATTGCAAGCGTAACCTTGACCAGAATCTCATGTTTTGACTGAGCGCTCCTCTTTTTAGACTTATTAAAAAAACAAAGGTGGGCTCATGGAAATTCAGTTCCTGTTATCAGCTCACTAAATCCTGTGGGCTGCAGATCAACATGGTGATGATGATCCTGATACGACCTTTATTGTGACGCCTGGCCCAAGGTTTCCAGTCTGAGATGAGGACCGATGTATCTGTTTGAACTCATGAACTGATAAAAGAGCAAAACAAAGACGCTGCTCGGTCAGAGGGATGAAATGTGATTTAGGAAATTGGATTAAATTAGCTTTGGAAGAAAAAAAAAAAAAACTCAGGTTATCACAGTGTGATGCATGTTCTTCTTTTGTCAGCTTTGGTTTGTTAAACTGATTAAAAACATTTCTGCATTTCCCTGGAAGATGAGAGAGGAGATATTCTTGTCTGACACATATTTACTCACAGATGTTGCTGTTGTTTATTTTTTTTAATAAGTCCAAGCATAGGTGGAGAATAAATGAGTCTAAGAAACATAATTTAATGTGAGCCACCAATTAGAGAGTTTTCAATCCATTCAAAAGCCAAAATTTCTCTCCTCTTTGAAAGCAGGTGGCAGCTAAGGTGAGTTACCTCAACCTACACAGATGGAGTTTGAACCAGATTTATTTACCCGCTTAAATACGTAAATATACACACACCACTCACCCCAGGAGATCGTGAATCTGCCTGTGTCTATGAACTGAACAAATCAATGACTGACTGCATCAACATTTACAACAGAGAGAAGACATTATTGTCACCGGACCACAGAAAGAAAGACAGTATGAGCTCTCAGACTGAGTCCCAACAACACTGAAGATTCCTACATTGTCAGTTTAATTCCTGAAACTGGAGCGTGGAGAGCGGTGTCAGCTGAGCAGATGAGGAGATAGAACTATAATGTCTTCATTAAATGCTCACAAGAATTGGTACATTTGACCGTCAAAAGTAAGTAAACATCATAAAAGCAGGCGAAGGAAGACATAAGCAAACACTGCTTTGTCCACAGGGGGACGCCAAAGTTGACACAAACCAAAAGTTCCTCACAGGAGCTTTAATTTTTGTACAGCCACTTAAAATTAAAATCTTTTTCTGCTTTTCACGCTTTAAAAACATCAACAAATCGAGACCTTGAAAGGTTTGCTCATGCTTTGTTCTTCAGCTGATGGACCGCCTTGGTTCAGCAACATATTCAGAATGCAGCTGCAGGGTGAAAACTTAGAAATATGACCACATCTCTCCAGTTCTGAAATCCTAAAATTATTTATTTTTCAAATGATATCTTCCTCTGAAAAATCTCTCTTTGGCTCAGCACCCTGATACTTCTCATGCCTTCGACAGATGAAACAAAGTACGACCTCGAGGAGATATTGGAGACTGGAGATCTTAAAGGTTTTTATGTTTCTATTTGCAGACGAGCTTCACAGAGATGATCATCTTTTTTTTCCACCTGCCAACAGCACTAGAACTACAACCATGTGGTTTGTGGAAATGATCCTGCAGTGGTTACTGACCAGTCGATTTAATTTGAATCTCACAGGAAAAAAAGCATTATATTTGTTTTTTATGATAATGATATTGGGGACGGCACGGTGGTGTAGTGGTTAGCACTGTCGCCTCACAGCAAGAAGGTCCTGGGTTCAAATTCGGGTCACAGGGTGTTTTTATGTGGAGTTTGCATGTTCTCCCTGTGTCTGCGTGGGTTTATTCCGGGTTCTCCGGTTTCCTCCCACATCTCAAAAAACATGCAGAAGTGGGGTTAGGTGAATTGACCACTTTCAAATTGCAGGTGTGAATGGTTGTTCATCTCTATATGTCAGCCCTGTGATGAACTGGCGACTTGTCCAGGGTGTCCCCTGCCTTCGCCCGAAGATGCTGGGATAGGCTCCAGCAACCCCCCGCGACCCCCAGGAACGGGAATAAGCGGTAGAAAATGGATAGATGGATTATAATGATATTTTTAGATTTAAATTAAGGAGTGCATTTTTTACACAAACAGAAGTGCTGGAAAAGGTTCAAATAATATAAATATAATGATAAAATTAGATTCATCATAGTTATGACTGTATGAGAGTACAAATTAAGGTATAATCAAAATAAAGGGAAAAAAATACAGAACACAAACATACACAAATAATAATGGTAATAAAACAAAGTCGAGTTAACATAGTTATATAAATAGTGAAAAAGAAGAAAAAACATCTGCAGAACAAAAGTGTGAAATTTGTCGAGAGGAAAATGAGAAACAGTCAACCTGGACAGGTGTACCACGTCCACATCCCACCCGAGCAGGACAATAAATGATAAAGGAAGAGTTAAAACCAAGTCATGAAGGTAAAACAGCGTACTTCTAAGAGGATGAAGAGGTATTTAAAAGACAAAATGTTGTTTCTTTAGACATCAGTGTAACAGACAATAATATAGAAATGATAATAAAATATATTTCAGATTCATCTTGTCAAACACCTAAAACAGATTAAACATATGTTTTTAAACGTTTAATCTGTTTCTGTTTGTCTTCTACCAGCTGCAGCGCTCTAACATCCACTACACCACTAACACACTCACTTCCGGGTAAGAGAGAGGAGTTCTGATTTAGCCGAGATCTGATTGGCTCAGAGGCAGCGCAGCCTCATTCCCTCGCTTCTCATAGGCTGATAGCGCTAGAGTGACAGGCTGAATTGACCAATAAGAGGCTGCCACACTATGGTAAGGAGAGGTCCCTCTGCCTGCTTGTGTCTCTTTCTCTTTCTCTATCATTCAGGCCCGCTCCGACTCTCTCTGTTCTCTCTGTTCATCAGGAGGAGTAGGACTGCAGCAGAGGACTCCGTCTGCGTTAAAAACCTTCTTCTGTTCGCTGCTGTTTCATCAAGTTAGTGAGAAGATGTGGACCGCGGTGGTCTTCTTGTTAGCGGCTGTTACCGGACTCTCCCGGGCCAGTGATGTGATCGACTTCACGGATGATGACTTCGAGAACAAGATCGGAGACCACAGCCTAATCCTGGTGGAGTTTTATGCTCCCTGGTGAGTCTTTTTCACCTCTTTTTAACGTTTATTTTGCATTTATATTCTGTATCGTCGCGGTAAATAGTGCAGCTAACTGATAATAACAGTTAGAATACATCAAACCGGAGATTCTAGATTAATTTAAGTACATATATGCATTAAAAATGCACCTGTGCAGCTTATTTAATCGTTTAAATCGATATTTTCTGAGTCTTTGCTTAATTGGCTCCTTACCAAACGTTAGCATGTAAGCTAGTATCGGACTGTTAGCCGGTTAATAATGTTCGAATCTTTTTTTTAAAAGAACCGAAACTTAAATTATGTAATTATTATGAAACTAAAGTATATCCATGTTAAAATTTAACAGTTTCTCTGGATAATTCTCATTTAAAACTGCGAACAAACGGGGCTATGAGGAAGTTAGGGGCGTGTCCTTTCATTGTTGTAACGACCTGATTGGCCGAAGAAGTTTTGGTGTCGACCTCTGATTGGCCCAGAGAAGTCGTGACGTGTGCCCCTGTGCCAAACTTGAATAAAATAGGCGTTACATCCGGGTGAGAGGAATCTAGTGGAGTGGAAATCTACACACAGAAGAGAGTCTAGACAAATTTAAACAGTTTTAGAGTTTATTAAACTTTTATTCTTTAATGGAAATACAACAAAAGACAATTCGACTCTTACACTCCAATTATAAACCACAATACTTAGACTTGTGTGATCTGTCTGAAACTATTCTAAATGAATAGAGTTTGTTAAACATAGTTTTAGATTTGTGAACATGCTAAAAAGGATGATTCCACTGTTTTTTTTTTCCACCTGCAGACCAACCTGAACCAGATCTTTATCAAGAATCACTATAACTAAAACCTGGACTGTTTGGATCAAGTAGATTAAGTAATCTAAAGAGGCCTGAAGAAAGCACCAAAATCACGCTTTTTTGCTTCGTCACAGATAATAAAAAAATTCTCAAAAATCTGATACAGATTCCTCGGATCAATCTAGTCCAGACAAAAGTCTTTACCTCAGCTAGACAGAGAAAACAGCTAATCTTCCTTTAGTGCATGTATAAAAAAACTCTGCTTACTGTTTATATGCATACTATTTTACTATTTTATGTTGTGTGTGTATATAGTGTACATACTTGTATACTATCTCTTTATTTTTACTTATTTTATCTATTATAAATCTCCTCTTTCTGCTTAATTTGCACTGGAGTTACTGTAACAAAAAGCAGTTTCCCTCAGGAGATTATTAAAGTATTTCTGATTCTGATAAATCTAAACCTGTGCTTTAAGAAGTTTCTAGACGATTACAGATGATGTGATCTGGATCAGACCGGTCTATATGAAGTGGTTTTGTTCCTGGTCTCTGGATCAGTCAGTTTTGAAGATGGTACCTGAAGAGCTGTCAGAGTATTTCGGTTTATTTAACGATGATCTAAAACAGAACAACTACATCTACAAAACATTCAAACCTCATTTGATTGAAGTTTATCTCATTTTGAAACTGAATCATCTAAAACTTTCTTTAACCTCTGATCCTGCTCACGTTAGTTCAATAACTTCACTCTTGTGGATCCAGTTTGTCCATCAACAGCTGATCCGTTTACTCTTTTACAAACCCGGTCTCAGAGGGATCAGATTCCACTCTCTCGCGCTCCCTCAGGATCTTTACCAGGATGAAACCTCTCACACACTCTGATGGATCTCTCCTCTCTCCTTTAGGTGTGGTCATTGTAAGCGACTCGCACCTGAGTACGAGGCCGCCGCCACCCGTCTGAAAGGCACCGTGTCACTGGCCAAGGTATTGCGTAACAAAGTTCACCTGACTCAGTCCACTTTACCGTGGTTTCCTGCCCTCTGCTCCCCCTCAGAGAGTCAATGATTGTCTTTACTCCCAGGTCGACTGCACAGCCAACAACAACGTATGCAGCAAATATGGAGTCAGTGGATATCCAACGCTGAAGATCTTCAGAGATGGAGAGGAGTCTGGACCTTATGATGGTCCCAGAACTGCAGGTATGATCCTGATTTATTCACACACATGTTTAAGATGTTCAGAGCGACGTCTCATATCAGTCGTTCAACTCCTCGTCCTCTCCGCTCTCCTCAGACGGGATCGTGAGTTTCCTGAAGAAGCAGGCTGGTCCAGCTTCTGTGGAGCTCAAGGATGAAGCAGACCTGCAGAAGTATATTGCAGACCAAGACGCCAGTGTTGTCGGTGAGTTCCTGTCAGAGTTTTAGTCCGGACTTTAGCTGGCAGAGTTGGAAAATGAGGACAGGATGAGGGACGCTCGAGGCTGGATTTGATCCAATAATGTGCTGATATTTTCAAACCTGTTGTGGCTCAAACTGATTTAAAAAAATGAAGTTAAACTGTGTGAATATTTGTCACTTATTTACTGGGATTACCTTTTCCTAGTTTACCTTTTTAAAATCCTGTAAAAACTTAACTTAGACAAAGAAACAGAATATTTTAAAGAAGATCTGAACTTTCATTGACCTCCTAAAGAAATGCATGAGCCTCATGGTGACGGTGCTCATGGGAAATGCAGTTTCCTTCCTGCTCCTCACTTTGCTGCTCAATTTTCCCACCGTTAATAACCTCGGGTCATTTACGAGAAAACTAAAGTGTCAAAGTTTAAAAAAAAGGATCCTGGTTTTCGTTTCTCAATTTGAACTTTCTCTCCTCTTTTCCTTCCCAGGATTCTTTGCTGATGCGGGAAGCTCGTCCCAGTCCGAGTTCCTGAAGGCCGCCAACACCTTGAGAGATAACTACCGCTTCGCCCACACCTCCTCTGAGGCTCTGCTCCAGAACAACGGCATCGAGGGAGAGTGAGTCCTTCTCTTCTGACTCTGCATGAGCGAAAAAAAACCTTCAACAGAAAAGTCGTTGTTCCAGAGCGCCGTTCCGCTGTCGCTGACATTTCCTGTTTTCTGGTTTCCAGGGGGATCGTCCTTTTCCGTCCACAGCGGCTCAACAGCAAGTTTGAGGACAACTCTGTGACATTCAGCGAGGACAAATACACCAGCAGCAAAATCAAGAAGTTCATCCAGGACAACATGTGAGTGTGTGAAGAGACGCGTTTACATCCATGACCTCTGAGAGTGAGACGACGTGAACGTTTAGATTTCTGTCTTTGAGAATCCGGCGAGCGCTGAGTCAGCTCTGAGCACACACTGATGCACCTGACGACCTTTGAGACGAACAAACACTGAACTTTACATTTAAAGGGCAAACGAGGCCGATGAGAGACGAGGGAGTGTTGTTTACAGAGAGTCTTCATCATCCATCATCAGGAGATAAAACAGTCAGAGTGAAGCTGCTGAGGATGTTCAAGTTTGAAACATCAAAAACTCTTTAAGACGTTTATTTTATAAACTGTTTAACAGTCATCCAGAGGTTTTTACTGCCAGACTGCAACAACATTAAAGTTTATTCACAGTCCTGTTAAAACTCACACCTCAGAGTAAACTTATTAACATCTGAACTTTAAAAAAACAAATGTCTACAGTCAGATTTTCAACCTGAAGCTGCTGAGAGTGAAGGAGAGAGAGAGTGACGCTGGTCGGTTTAGAGATTAAAACAGAACAAAGACAAAGAGTCGATAATGAGGAGTAATTTTGTGAAACTAAAAACACATTTCTTCACTCTTCAGTTATCAGAAATCCGGCTCCCTCTCTCCCTGCAGCTCCTCTCACTCCCAAACATTCACAATGATTCAGTCTGAGTCGACAGGACTCGTCAGTCCTGCAGAAACACGTCCTCCACAAAGAAAACAAAATCAAGATCTCATAAAGTAAAAGAACGAAAGAGAGAGAAAAGAAACGGAGAGGAGATGTTTTTAACTGGAGGAGATCAGGTGAGATCTTTTCAGACTCATAAGTGATATAAGATGTTTTCTCAGGAGCAGACGAGGTTCCTCAAGTTCTTCTGGAGTCGTGTTTTCTAAAGATGTCCGTTTCTTTAACTTTGATATCGACTCTGCAGAGTCGCAGATAAACAGATATGTTGGAATTCCCCTCCTCTCAGTTTTACTTTCACTTTTCCTCCTCCGTCTGACGTCCTCTCAGAAATCATCGCAGAATCAAATCTTGACCATAAACACTTCCTGTTTTCTAATAAAACTCTGTGTGTTTCTGCAGCTTCTTTCTTAAACATCCTGGATTGTTTTTTTTTAAGTTCATATAAACTCACTCTGACTTCCTCTCTCCTCAGTTTGGGACTCTGCCCCCACATGACAGACGACAACAAAGACCAGATGAGAGGCAAAGACCTCCTGGTGGCTTATTATGATGTGGATTATGAGAAAAACCCAAAAGGCTCGAACTACTGGAGGAACAGGTAAACACACCTGAGAGTCACCGAGCTCTGTCTGTTTACTCTTTCAGCTCTTGGTCCATGACTTCCTCCTGTCTGACATTAAACGTCACAATCGTACGTTCACAGGGTGATGAAGGTGGCCAAGACTTTCGTGGATCAGGGCAAGAAGCTCAGCTTCGCCGTGGCCAACAGGAACTCCTTCAGCCACGAGGTGTCAGAGTTCGGTCTGGACAGCAGCTCAGGAGAACTGCCCGTGGTCGCCATTCGCACCGCCAAGGGAGACAAATACGCCATGACCGAGGAGTTCACGTGAGTCCAGTCTTTGAATTTAGTCTGATTTAAAATGACTTAAAAAAAGTAAAACGTAAAGTTTGATCTGAAAAGTAAAAGTGTCTTTAATCTTCTCCTCACAGTCGTGACGGAGCGGCTCTGCAGCGTTTCCTGGAAAAATACTTTGAAGGCACCTTGAAGAAGTACCTGAAATCAGAGCCCATCCCCGAGGACAACGACGGACCCGTGAAGGTGAGCAGAAACATCCGGGGAGTCTCTGAGTCTGGACTCGACAACCGGTTTGATCCAGTGCTGCCTTATAGACAGACCTTGACTTTTAAACAGCTTTGGCACTTCCTGTTTAAGTTGACATGGTCATATCTACAAGAACAGACATCATCCCGCCTTCACAGGTGGTGCAGTTTTAATCTGTGGTCAGGATTTGTTCCTCAGAAACATAAATCATGTGACTTAAACATTTTAGAAAAGCCAAAGTTCAGAGATAATCATCCGTGTTCTCGTTTAAATTCAGGTCATCGTGGCCGAGAACTTCGACTCCATCGTGAACGACGACAGCAAAGACGTGCTGATCGAGTTTTACGCTCCGTGGTGCGGACACTGCAAGAGCCTGGAACCCAAATACAAAGAGCTGGGAGAGAAGGTGGGGACGCTGATTTATGACGGACCGTTTTGATCAGAATAATAAACAACGACTCCTCTGTGAGTTAGCAGGAAAACTGAAAGAGGAAATCCACCTTTAGATGCTGAATCTTTCTTTACCCTCTGCTCCTTTAGCTCACCAACGACCCCAACATCATCATCGCCAAGATGGACGCCACAGCCAACGACGTGCCGTCTCCATATGAAGTCAGCGGGTGAGTTCTGTCAGCCGTCACATATCGAGGCGTGCAGCATCGACCTCGAACACGCCGTCTAATCCACCATGTTTGTTCTCTCTCTCTTCAGTTTCCCCACGATATACTTCTCACCAGCCGGCCGTAAAATGAGCCCAAAGAAATACGAGGTGAGCTCCGAGCTTCAGAGGTGATCCAGACAAAGTCCTGTTTGTGTGTCCGCTCTGCGAACTGACCCCCCCCGTGTCTTTGGTTTTTGTTACAGGGAGGTCGTGAGGTGAACGACTTCCTCTCTTACCTGAAGAGGGAGGCCACAAACCCCCCGGTGGTGCAGGAGGAGTCCAAGAAGAAGAAGAAGAAGTCAGAGCTATAAAAGCTCCAAACAAGAACTCAACACCCCCCCGCACACACATCAGGAGGAGGAGGAAGAGGAGGAGGAGGAGGAGGAGGAGTGTGGAAATCAAAGAAAGAACTAAATTATAATCCACTGTCTTAGTGAACTACCGAATGCTCTGAAGCCGAATCAAAGAGACGCGGCTCTCCCTTTAGGTCCTCCGCTGCTCTGGGGAAACTGTGGAAGGCGGAGAGGTGGTGGCCTGGGCCTGCCCCGAAGTTTAAACACAAACAAATTTTTAGGGAAGAGGGGATGGCTTTTTGAAAAATTGAGATTTTTATTTCCCCGGGTCTGTCTACCACACCTCAGGCTGATGCACTTTGGTTAGACACCAGTCTCGGTCATCTGTCGCTTACGTTTTTGTCGTCGTCGTTGTCGTCGTCACAGGGGATACTGGTAGCGGTGAATTCCTTTCTCTGTCTCTTGTTTTTTTTATTTTTTTTTTGTAAAACATCTTTGTTTTTGTACATTTGGAAGGATTGTGAAATAAAAAGGCCCACAAAACCAAAACAAAAGTATCTCATTCATGAATTTACGTTTTGTTGTTCTGCCTCAAAACACACAGTTTTGGGTTTTTAACCTTTTACTGAAACTTTAATTGTTGCTCAAATTCTCTGTTGTGATTTATTCAGTTCTTCTTTCCTTACAGATCCTTGTAGTCCTGAATATTCACCTCTTTTCTGTTGGGTAATTCATGGATTTTACTACAGAAAGGTTCCTGAACGCCTCATTTATTTTTTAATGTTGCTTCTGTGAAAGATTGAATATTAAAAATGACAACTTAATAGTCCTAAACACAGATACTTTGGATTTCTCCAAATTAATCTGGATTTTTTTTTTTTTATTAACTCAAATTTTTTGGTTCGATGTAAAGACAAAAGTTCAATTCATCTTTTCTGCCTAAAAAAAAACATATTTGTGTGTTTTTTGTAATTTTATACAATACGTTTAGTTTTTATTAAATCTGAAAAAAGCAGCAGACATTAGTAAACATCAGAATAAATATGAGATTTTATTTTTTTTAACAGTCTGTTTATTGGGATTTTACATAATACAAAAACATTAGTGTTCTAATTACAGATCATATTTGGGTTCATAAATAAATATGAGATTTTAATGTCGTTTCTCCCTCAGGGTTGGCGTCCAAAAGTCGAGTTAAGGTTATTTTTCAAAAAAAGTTAGGTGGAATTGCAGTAGTTATAAAAGCTGATCTTGTGTGCTGTAATTATTACACCTGTAATACCGCTACTATCCAGGAGACGGCGACAATACCAATTTCTGGAAACCAAACAACCTGATATGGAACAACCGAAGAAGAGAAGAACCAATCAGATCAAGAGTTGAGGAGAGGTGTCCGGACATGTACAGAATGTACACGTGCTGCCTCGTAAGGTAACGTACGTTTATTTTAACTCGATATTTGTGCTTTTTAATCTAAAACTGATTGTTTTCAGTCATATTTAATATCCGTCTTTAGGAAATATGTTTGCTGGCGCAGATTTCTTCGTGTAGCCCCAAAGAATTTGAGGCTCTAAAACATTACTCCGGACTTCGTTGAAACTATTCACAATTACGCTCAGGCTGGGCTACATTTAGTCTAAGACATTTCTTAAATCGTGTCACTCCGCTGTTTGGAAACTCAGAGGAGTCTCTTGTCAAATCGGCTCTGATAAAACCGACCAAACACCTTGTTCTTCAATAATAAACGCGTTTTAAACAGCAGTGTGGTCGTGTATAAGGCTCCGCTCACGCAGCTGTCCAACACGGCCTGCACAAAGAAACAGACATGTGGAACATAATAATGACTTTTAAATGAAGTTGTACTGTATTTAAACGTAGCCGTATTAACCACAGTAGTCCACTCTTGGCTGATTTTGGTTTAAGTAGTTTCACAAGCAAATGTTAGTTATGGCAAAAGAGATTTCACAAAACGGTCGATATTTTGAATGGAGTTTGGTGGGTAGGACATCTTGACATGTGGCACATTTTGTAACAGGGTTGTAATCTGAATGTAAATCTACTTGTTTTTACGCTGTAAACTATATCAAGGTAGACAGTTGTATTAGTGAATGAACCCAGAGTTTTCCAGTTTACTACTACAGAAGTGGTGTATAAGTTTGTTTATGAAGCACATTGAAAAACAACGAAACGTTGACCAAAGTGCTGTTCAGTAAAAATTAAAAAGCAATAAAAACAGACAATTAACACGAACAATCACACAAAGACACGGGACCCCATTGAAAAAACAGGGAGACATAGATGGTTCAATAAAAACATGACTGTATTATTATTTGTTATTGTCAATCACCTAACCCTGACAGTCAGATACTTCTGCATGGCTGCTTCCACCATGTGTTTTAAGGCCTGACAGGGGGGCTATTTTTTGAGTCAGTTAGTCTATTTTTGTTGCCAAACCGACATTTCACCCTCTCATCGTGTTGCTTGTTAAAGTACACACGTGTTGTGGTGAAATTACACAAGATTTTGCAACAACTCCAGGGAATAAGGAGGTTTGTCTTTGCACCTTTTTTTTGACAGTGCTTCATTTATTTGTTGGTGGTCCATTCCCTTCAATTTCTTTCTTTTTTTGAACATATTTCGTTTTATTTTCATGTGGTCAAACTTAAGTCATATTAACACAAACACATAAATTCAGGACAAGCAGAAAAAAAGAGGATTTTCTGTTTAAAAGTAAATAATAAATAAATAACACCCAAAGTGTAACGTAGTGTCTGTTCAGTATCAAAATCATATTCATATAGTTTTTCTTATCTGTATCTCAGGAAAGGGTAACATCAAACAAAGTATTTATGGTAATAAATAAAAAGTAACGCTGGTTGATTTGGCCTCTGGTAGTGAAATAAACATAGGAAGAAAAAAGAGAGTTAAAAATTTTATATATATATATATATATATATATATATATGCACGTACGTACAAAAAAGAGAAAAAGAAAAGGGAAGAGAAAAAGAAAAGGAAAAAAATGTTCATGACTGTATAAATACAATGCATACAATAAAAATTTGGTATTATACCAGTTAAAAGTAAATAGACAAATAAATTCATCGGCACATCCCTGTACACATAAATAATCATATTCAGTTGAACTATAAATCATACATTCAACATAACCAATCAATCAATTCTCTTCTACCCCTAATAAAAGAGAGGGAAAATAAATAAATAAGGAATGATAGGGCATCATATATGCAGCCTCAGTTAACAAAGTTCTGGCCTTAATTCAAAACTAGCACCCAAGTTCATATATCTACAAAAGTACATATGCATATACGTGCACACATCGACGTGTGAACCAACCCATCAACACATGTCTACATGGACGTACGTATGAAACTAATTAAAGAAGTAGAGGCGAGACAACTCATAATCAAGCTGGCGTGCTGATCTCATCTCACCCATCCTTCAACAAGATAAATACCCTGTGTTCATTAAAAGTACAAACCTGGAGGAATCACGTTGATATATTGCAATAGTCTGTTCAGTTTCTTTCTTCTAATCGGTGTTTTTTTTCCTGTTCCTTCTTCAGAAATGACCTCCATATCAGCTGCGTTGGTTGACGATGGCAGAGCGGTCAAAAAGGACCAAAGCCGGCTCACGGGGGCTTCTCAGCAATTACCGTTTTCTGTGTAAGAGAGCCATGATGCTTCGCGCTTTGGAGAGCGCCAGAGCCACGAGGAAACACCAACAGAAGATTTTCATCGCCAACATGAAGAGGAAAACTACAGACAAACTCACTGAAACAACAGACACAGATAAACTGGTTAAAAAGAGTAAATCAAGCTCAGAACGGCCCGCTGAAAACAAAAAGACTGACGTTTCAGAACCAGGACTCTCTGAACCTAAAGCTCCTGATCAGCACAGTTCAGCCACAGTCCTCAGAGACAGCTGGGAGGTGGACAGCGGGTTCTCCTCTGAGGCGAGTCCTCCAGCGAGTGGGCGGAGCTCACCGTGCCTGAGCGTGTGCTCGACCACGGTGGTGGCGTTGGACTGTGAGATGGTGGGGACGGGGCCTGGAGGGTGCTGCAGTGAGCTGGCGCGCTGCAGCATCCTGGACTACCACGGTAACGTACTGTACGATAAATACGTCCGACCCAGACAGCCCGTCACGGACTACAGGACTCGCTGGAGCGGCATCAGAAGGCATCACCTGTACGACGCGACGCCCTTCAACCAGGCCAGGGAGGAGGTGAGACTGACACGCAGTTTGAAGTTTTAATGAAGAGTTTTTCTGTTCGCTGAGGTTCCTGTTTGAGTCGTTTTCTCCCTAAAAAGACATCACTACAAATTTAAACCATCAGGATTAGATCAGGATCCTGTCGAGCCGAGCAGACACTCCCGATTATTTATTATCGCCTTTTTCTCCCGGGTAAATTTATTCACCTTTCGCTCTCTTCCTGCAGATTCTCAGCATCCTGGAGGGAAAAGTAGTTGTCGGCCACTCCGTCTACAACGACTTCGCAGCTTTGGACCTCGTCCATCCGGCGCACATGGTCAGAGACACCATCTCCACGCGTCTCCTCAGCAGGTTGCCTGATGTCCCTCGAGGGAAACGCTCTCTGAAAATCTTAGCGCGTAAACTGCTGAACAGAAGAATACAGGTGAGACACTGTGATTATGAAACATCTGTACAGTAGGACTTTAGGGAGCAGTCAGTGGAGTCTGTTGACCATCCTTGACCCTCTTGTCTTTGTCCTCTGCCAAGGTGGGAAAAAAAGGTCACTGCTCGGTGGAGGACGCCCAAGCCGCCCTCGACCTCTACAAGCTGGTGGAAAGAGAGTGGGAGGAGCAGGAGGAGGAAAAAATGAGAGACGATGCCAACGCTCCACAAACGCCGAACTTTGCTGCTTCGAACCACTACATGCAGGACGAGTACTGGCCGGAGGATGTCATCGCTGACAGCCAATGAGAACGGAGTATTTAAAGAGAGAGGGGCGTTACCTCAACAAACTCCTGGTTTACGAAACTATTACTAATGTGAACACACGACATACTAACAGTACAGTTGAGATTTAAGTGTTAAAACTGTATTTAAGAGGATTGTGATCAAACTGCATCACTTATTGAAAAATAACTTATTGATTTTAAACATGTTAAACATGGTTTGAGTGTTTCAGCTTTTTTGCTGTGAACCTGAATTCTGCATGAACAGATGTTGGTTTTTTCACACTGTCGTAATGAAAGTGTGAGAAGTTCAGGCTCCTGAAGTTTGGTGCTGATGTTATGATGTTCAGAAGTCGTGTAAAGGGAGATGAACCTTCTGGTTATTATGAGACATGAATGTGGTTTAAGCTGCTGTTTTGGAAAATAACATTATTCTCCAGGATGTTGTTTTAAAATGTTTATTAACATGAAAATACATCAAAAGATGTTCAGAGCATCTTTAAAAGTTACAGGTTTGAAACGTATTTACAGAGAAACTTTGACAAAAACAAATTTACACAGTTTTATTCTCATGTTTGTAAAGCAGCTGTGCTGTTGTAACTCATTACCTCTTCATGTTGCTCTGAAATATCAACATTAAAGTTCATGATGAAATCAACCTTTCAGTTTGTTTCTGTTGAGTGACGAAAACAAGAAACGAAACTTTATTGAAAAAGAAACCAGGCAGAGTTGTGGGCCAGAAAGATGAAACCTCTTGTTGATTTGTGTTGTGTCGTCATGTTTGTCCCACTTGAGCCTCTGCCAAGTCAGTGTTAACAGCCATATTGTTCACAGCAGCAGCAGCATTAGTGGATAAAAATGGATGAAACTTTAATAAGTGTTGGAAAAAACTTTCAGGATCATCCAGACTGACAGAGTCTGTCACAAACCCCGACAAGGAAATCATGTCACAGCACAACATTATCAAACCTACAGGTGGGCCAGCGAGTATTTTAGTTTGAAAAAAATGTCATGGTATAATATGTAAAAATATCATAGTTAAGTATTATAAAATATTATAGTATAGTGTGTTAAAAAATCATAGTAGAGTATGATAAAAATGTCAGGAAAGTGTGATAAAAATATCAGTATAGTTTGGTGAAAAAATGTCAGACTATACTGAGACAAAAATGTCATGGTTAAATCTGATAAAGGAAACATGTCAAAGTATAGTATAATAAAAAATATCAGGTTAGTATGATAAAACTGTCATAGTATATTATAATAAAAATATCAAAGAATTGTATAATAAAAATGTCATAGTATAGTATGATAAAAAATGTCAGTTAGTATAATCAAAATGTCAGTAAAATATAAGAAAAATTGTCATAGTATAGTATGATAAAAATATCAAAGTAGTGTTTGATAAAAATTCCATAGTTTAAAATGATAAAAATGTTTAGTATTATAAAAATGTCAAAGGAAAATATGTTCAAAAAAGGCCTTGGAGTATTGTGATAAAAATGTCAGTGCATAGTATGATGAAAAATGTCATAGTATAGTATGATAAAAATGTCATTGTGTAGTGTTAGAAAATGTCAGAGTATAGTGGGTATAGAGTATAGTTGTGTAGCTTAACACTGCAGTATTATGTAGTTGGAGTTCTTTTTTTAACAGTTATATCATCTTAATTTGACAAAGTTTGCTGCAGGTGGAGCTGCACGATCGTAATCCTGCACGGATCTGTAAATGGCTTTGTCCTCATTCTTTCACACCCAGACTCCTGAACACACACACACACACACACACACATCCAAAGCCTGAACTTGGCCCCACAGCTCAGGCTATAGGGAGAGAGGGGAACAGAGAAGCATTGTTAGCCCAATCCATCTATTTTTGTTCCCCCAAATCGCTTTATTGAGCAGATCAGGCCTGATTTAGCAGATTAGTAGTCGGCTGCCCGCTCCTTCATCGTTGCATCAGGAGGGAAACGTGTGTTGGTGACATTAGAGCTGCAAGGGTCAGAGAGGGAGAGAACAACCAAAGACGTCTTCATCGATTCTTTACAACAAAGTCTAATTTTGGTTTATCTTCTTTTTTTTCTTTCTGGGATGTTGGGATTATGACGTCCACAGTTCAGGTTCATCTTTGCTGTAAAATAAATATTTAAAAACCTACAAAAGTTTGAGCAGCTTTTAATGTGGCCTCAAAGTTTCTCCCAAATGTCAAAAATGTGGTCACACTTTTGTAGACTGCAAACACTCACCCATCGATCTATTCTTATCGCGTTTAGTTCAACCCATGTCCCACCTGTACGCATGGAGGATGAGGGCTGTACTGCAGCCAGCCACCAGGGGGAGCTCAAAAAGTCTGGCTGCACTTGGGTAACTGCTGTGCTGTCCATTGTTTAATACGATCTACGGTGCACCACAGGTTGTGTTGGAGGATTATACTGAGTGGATTAATGCAGCGGTGTGAATAATCACTCCTTTCTGTTAGAAATCAAACATGTCCGCTCGTCCTCAAACTCTGTTTTTCTAAGACTTTATTGTGTTTGCTGAACCACAGCTCTTTGTCTCACCTCTCTGTTGCTTAATCACTGCAGTTTAATCTCAAGGTTTCGCACACAGATTCATGCCTCTTGATTAGATGGAGTTTTCATATTGTATAAACCTTCACACTCGGCGCCGATTATCAAGGTGACGGACATGCACGCGATGTCATTGTGTTGAGATCTGACGTGAACGTGAGAAATAATCTGATCACAGGGTGTTGAGGATCGTTGAGGGTCCGTGTTATCTGATATGAATGCGCCTCAGTCTGGACCTAAATCCTGTGTGTGCGTGTGGAGATAATCTGCATTTTCAAGCACAGTTCAGATCAACAAAGTTTAACGATGAAAATTATGGCCATAAAGAAATTTGATTCATCATTTCTACTTTTCTATTTCTACTTTTTTAATCACTTTTTATCATTTATTTACATTTTAATCTTTAAGTGCAGGGTTGCAATTGATGTTAATTTTGAGCCTGCAGATTTATTTCTGTTGATTTTATTTTTTTTATTTTTTTAAATGGTCTGTAAAAAGTAAAAATAAAGACTTTAAAATCATGACACAATGTGTAATTTGAAATAAACTACAATAACTTGCGATAATCCAAAATTTAATTATACTGAATAAACAAAAAACGAGACAGAACCTTAAACCTTTGATTGCACAAAAAAGTATTTTCAAACAGGGAATAAAATAACTTATCAATCATTATTATGAAATCTGTTCATTGTTTTATTGTTGGGCTGCTGAGTGAATTTTTTTAGCTGGCTACTGTTGCAAAAACTTAAACTTAACTTAAAGCTTCTGTGGGAAGTTTTTAACTGGCTATAAAATAGACTGAAACTGGTATTGATATCTCTGTACGACCTAAAAAAGTTAACAAAACCATTAAGAACAAGAATAATCATAATCATATAAAGTATTTTTTTTAATCTTTAAAATCTCTCGTGGGGGGTAGATGTCAGGCTGAGTGATAAACTGTTTTATGCCGTCACAATCAGTTTTCTGCCTTTTGACTGTTAAACAAAAAAAAGAATTTTGTAAAGACAGACCAATTACTCTGGTTCAAGACTGCTTTGTCCACAAGGGGGCGCCAGAATGAAGACACATCAAAAGTTCCTCACAGGAGCTTTAAGTTGTTTTCTCAAAATCTTAAACTTTTTTAAAAATCTGGTTATTCCACCTTAAGAGTTTATAATGACAGTGGTGAGGGAATTTTCTCTTTTTTTAGCCCTTTAATGCCCTTTATATTATATTTGATAATACTTTTATAAACTTCTATCAAATCAATATGATCAACAAATTACTAAAAAACACCTGAATACAGTCCGATAAATGATAAACATGTCCTCTTGTAGTTTTAAGGATATTTAGATTTTTTTGGTTTTCAGTCGTAAGTAAAATAAACATTTCAGCTCCAAAAAAAAAGAATTTTCTGGCCATAATTTGTGCTTTCAGGCATCAAAGGGTTTGGTAATTTTTGGGCTTTTTGGTCATTTTTTTTTGACAATTTCAAAAAAGCAAACAACAGGCTGGTCACATCTATCAAATGAACCTATTTCTACGTCTGTTTTGTGCTTTTGAAACTGTGGATATGGATAAGTTGAGAGCTCAACAAACACTGTAAATTAACAACAAGAACACAGTAAAATGTTTGTATGCATTTTTCCTCCTGGGCTTCCGTAAGGGGAATATTATGACCTGGAAAATGATCCTTTAATTGTGGGAAAACATTCTGTAACTAAAAAGATAATCCAAGATCAGCTAAAAACAATTAATAATAACCTGCAGCAATGAAAAAACTGAGTTTAAAATGTGTGGGGGAGTCAGAGTCAGAGTTTGTCAAAAACTTGGGGCAGTTGGTCGACTTTTACTCATGTTGCACAGCTGAACAGACTTTAATATTAAAGTTCTTATCAAAGTTCAGAAAGTTTAAATGTTGGAGGTCTTTTAAAGAGAGTAAATACATATTTAAGCTTCTGTGTAAAACATATCTAAACATGAGAACCAGAGTGAACTCCTGTCAAATATCATGCCTCTAAACATGTGAACTACAGCCTCTCCTCTCTCTCTCTCCTCTCTCACCCGAGCGTGATCACGTTGCAGAAACCAGAACGATCCGTCACAATGGTCGCTGTTCACTCCAAGTCTCCCAAGAATGCGGCCCAATCCCTCCAACTCCTCCATCCTCCTCTTACCTAAAGTGTTTAATCAACATTACATCATCCTAAATGTGCACCGGCCCACACTGCCGCCTCATCGCACAGGCACCTCCACCATTGGCCGGCCTCTTCGTCGCCCCCCTCCTCCTCCTCACCCTCTGCATTTTATGCTGATTGGAAAGAAAAAAAGAAATCTGTCAGATGTAATCTGGTGTGACGCCACTAATCCCAACACTACAAATCATAGGTCCCGTCCTCCTCGCTCCTCACAGACCCCTGCGACTCCCCTGCCGGCAACTTCACACCTGCCTCAGGTAAGACCCCTCCTCAGATGTGCTGCTTCAACATTTTCTCTCTTCCTCTCCTGCTGAAGTCCAAAACTTTTCTGAACGGGCTTTAAAACTTTCATTAGACCTTAAACTTGCTCCTTTTACATACAAAATATTTCTCTTGTATTTGGAGGTCTTGACTTTACTTTAAAACACTAACTCCGCTGAAGCTTGTTGCTGCTCAGCTGCTGCATCATAAGACCAACACTTTAGGGTCCAGAGCTGCAACCCCACCGGGAACAAAAATCCCAAAAATGTCAGAGCCTGTGGATCTGCAGCTCTGGATTTAAACCTGTGCGCAGGCCGGCTTTTGTAACGTTTACTAATTGATAAAACTAATAAAATCTACGAACTTTAACACGACGTAGCAAAAGGAACATATTCAGTGTTTTCAAACCTACAGCGGCCCCAAAAAAATCAACTGCATAACTATTTCATATGAAAATAGTGGGATGTTTTCTGATTTTGTCTCTATTTTTAAAGGACATGTTTTCATGTAAATTGATTTTTGTCACACAGAATATTTTTGTAATTTAGCAAATATTATAACTCACAACATATCTCTTATAATCCCTGAAATATCTTTAAGTTTTGGTTTACGGTTTTTCCATTTTTTTGAGTATTTTTTCCCTCATTTCGTAGAACATTTTAAGGGTTACAAGAATTGTTTTTGGCGTTTCATGAATGCTTGTGCAGTTGCCACTTTACATGCCAAAATCAACTGATAATCCTCCTCAGTATGAATAAATGCAGCGGTAATTTATTCAAGATAGTCATGTGCACGTCTGCAATCAAACCTGTGAGAAATATGCAAAAGAGATGACGGGAAATCTGATGTTAAATACTCAAAAAGACATTTCCTATTAAAGCAAAATATATTAGATCCATACATTTGGACTTAACTTGACATTTTCAGTCAGTTTTAGTCTAATAATTAAATAAAATAACCCTTTAATTAATGATTTTCTGTCTTCTAAAGCCACTTTAGAGCGGTCTAACTATTTAAATATTTCAATCACAGTGTTGCAAGGCTCCAGGTTGCATCTGCAGATTTCTAATTGTTCAGTTTAAGAAGCTATAGTCAAAACTATCACGACACTAAACGAGTGTGAAACATAAAGAGCCTCTGGACCTGAAATCTCCTCACAAATCATCCAGGATGGAGCAGGTGCTAAATTTAGCTGAATGTGGAGGTACCCTGTGATTGCTGAGGGGATGGGATGAAGAGGGATTAACGTGGAGCACAATGTGGTCAATTGTTCCGTCTAACTGCATTTCATGTGAATCACAATCTCGTTTTTATTTCCCCCCCGACAGTTTGAAGCTGATATAAAGAGCAGAAGAGATGGCTGTGGTTGTAAGTACTTCAACTTTTACTTCATGAATGTATTTGTGTTAATGAGCTGACAGGGAAAAGACTTCTGTGAAATACTCAAGACAAAAACACATTCAGCGCCCGCTTACATGAACTCAGCTGCAGCTCAACATTTCCCAACACCAAAGCTCATTGTCATGGATGCCGTCAGCGGCTACAGTAGCTTTAGCTTTGGCCTAATCTCTGATCCTTACTTCAGGTTCACTCGCAGTCCTTACCGTGTATTTACAGGCTTTACTGGACTCATGTGAGGCAGATTAATCAAACACTGAGGCCTATTGATTACTCTCCTGCAACACTAGCTAACACTCACTCCGCCTCACGTGGATAAGGCAATGTTTGAAACCTCACACATAGAAGCCAGGTCTTGTGAGGGAATTAAACTGACACAGGGAGGCTCGAAAACAACATGCAAGAGTGGAAAAACTCACTTGGATCAGATTTAAAGGCTGGAAACAGGAAGTGGGGGGACAAGTCTTCTCCATGTAAGGGTGTTAAAGTATGAAGAAAATAGATGCGACTGATAAATAATGGTAGTTTAGTTTCTTTGAAGTGACACAAAATGAGTAAGACCATGTTTATGGTAGGAAAGAAAGACTTCCTACTGACAGGTAGAAACCTCCAGCAGAACCAGACACACTGATGAAAGCCATCTGCCTTAAATTATGAACACTTTACATCTGAAACAAGTAAACGCCATCTTTTAATGAAGTGTTAGTTATATCATTAATGGTGTTTAGGGGACTCAAAATATCAGGGTCCTGGAAATGGGTCAGCTAAATATCCATCATCCAGGTTATTGACGATTATACACTTAATTGGTCAATCTGTATTTATATATCTCCAAAGTCATTTAAATAAAAGCCTGTTTTATTATTGAACAAGACCAAACTTAGTCCTTTAAGGAGAACAAACACTCAGAAGAATCAGAAAAAAACCTTCTTCTAACAGGCAGAAACCTTGAGCAGAACCAGACACTCTGGAGAAAGCCATCTGCCTCATGCTGACATATTTATATCTATAACAGCAGACTGTACTCTACCTAAAGTCAAAGATGTTTAGAGGAATATATAATATAAAGGTGCAGTGTGCAGTATTATGTAGTATAGTAGTGGTTGAAAAGGAATATGATATTTAAAGTGTTTTAATTATTTCTACACAGAAGAGTCTCTCTTTCAGAATTTTTTTGTTGTGAAATGAAGCTGATGCAGAAGTGCTAAAACCACATACACATTTATTTAAAAAGTCCATCTTTAGTACAAAAATAAACATAGTCATAGACTAATCTGGCTAAAAGCTCAGGTCTGAATTTCTCTATCTGCATACACTGTATTGAGAGTCGATGTTAAGTGTTTCTACGGTGGCAAAGAGCAGACAAACTTGTAACACACTAGTTTTTGTATCCAAGGAGAGGGTGTGTGAAATGCATGAGTGATTGTTGTAGTAAAAGAAAAACAGATTTATCGATTTTGTCGGTAAAAACTGGAAGAACAGGATTATACTTTGCATGTATCACAGAAGCTTCTTGTCCTCTAAGGCCACCATTGAGGAATTTAACAATTAGTTATTGATAAATATTTACATATCAGCACATTGTTCCGTTATAAAACGAAATATTAGACCCCAGCCCACTTTAGTTTGAACAAAAACAACAGCTATCAAAGCAAATCTCCTCTACAGTCCTGGTTTAAAGACAAAATCCAAAATTTAAGATTCATTTTGTTAAAATTCAAACTGTAAAATTTTGTCAGAAAACTTTGGTCATGAATGGTTTAAAAACTAAATATTTAGCAGCAACACTTGAGAGTATTTTTAGAGTATTTTTAGAGTCATGTCTGAGATATAAACGTGACTTACTGAGGTAAATAAAAATGTTGTTTCCTCTGTTTTCAGAGTGGAACTTACCGTATGGTGTCGGAGGAGGAGCAGGCTCTCAGGGCCAAGCTGGAACGTCTCACCGTCAAGGACCACGGACCAGTGTTTGGACCCAGTGCCAGCGTGCCGGACCACACAAAGCAGAAGGTAACACATGTTTTCATATTAGCAGACTAAGACCATCAACACTCTGAACATTTTTACAACTTCATGCTACTAAGCTAGAACTCACTTGTTTATTCGCTGCTAACTGATGATGTAAACCGTGAACTAACCGTCCGCTCTGGCTCCCCCTACAGGCCAAGGACGAGCTGAACGAGACAGACGAGAAGCGGGAAGCGGCAGCGAAGGAGCTGAGGGCGATGATAAAGGAGAAGGCGGACGGAGGAGACGACTTGGCCAAGGGGGTGCAGGACACATTTGGGGAGAAACCAGACGGTGTCCTGGTCCGCTTCATCCGCGCCAGGAAGTACGACGTGAACAGAGCCTACGACCTGATGAAGGGTGAGTCTGGAGGGGGGACAGAGTTCATATGATATCAGTCCAAACTAGCAGGAAAGAAAACAAACAGAGGAAAGGAAACAGGTTCAATATAAAACTAACAGTTTAACGTTATAGGTGCAAATAAAAATGTGATAGCTGGTAGGTGGAATAATTGATAGTTTTAAGTTTTAAGTGCATCAACATGAAGCTTTAGATTGACAAAAAAATCTGTATAAAAGCAAACGCATTGGGTGCTTTACTATATTTGCATGAATGGCAGGTAGAGGTGCAGAAAGAATAGTTTAAAAGGCATAAATACACAGTTTTTCCTCAGAAATAGATTTATTTTTAACGCAAAGTAAAAACACAAATGTGAAAATTATTGTATAAGAGGCATTAATAAGTTGTTGCATGTGTGTCTATATTCATGCAAGCTTATCAGGTGCATTATTGGAAGAGTTTATGGTGCAGAAGTAAATATTCGAAGGAGCACAGATAGTTAATGGTGCTTTAGCCAAATTAACGAGTAGTTTAAGGCTCATACGCAAGTAGCTCAAGTTGCAAAATTGAGCTTTTAAGCTTCATAAATAAACAGCATTAGAAAGATTAGTAAAAAGCTCACAAAATAGGCTGAAATAAATAACAAAGCTGCATGAATCAGGATTTTTGAAGTAAAGAGCTGAAGGGATAAATATGAGTTCTGAGGTGCATGAGTAAGCAAGTGAAGTTCAAACTGAGTTTTAATTATAGAAACTATTTTTTCAATTGTTAGTGCACTTAATTAAGTTTTCAGGTGGACCTCTATTTTATTGTACTGCACTCACGTTTACATCCTGCTCTGGTTCTAGATTCTGTCTCTCTCTGTTTCCTCTCCAGGTTACGTGCGTTTCAGGAAGGATTACCCCGAGCTGTTTGAGAATCTGACCCCAGAGGCCGTACGCAGCACCATCGAGGCCGGCTACCCCGGTATCCTGCCCAGCAGGGACAAGTACGGCCGCGTCGTCCTGCTCTTCAACATCGAGAACTGGGACTACGAGGAGATCACCTTCGATGAGGTGAGAGAGCGGCTCTTTGCTCGCCACGTCTCAGAAAAACAGAAATATTCAGACAGAAGAATACAAGACTGATGTGTGTTTTTTGTGTTTAGATCCTGCGAGCTTACTGTGTCATCCTGGAGAAGCTGCTGGAGAACGAGGAGACTCAGATCAACGGGTTCTGCATCATCGAGAACTTTAAGGGCTTCACGATGCAGCAGGCGTCAGGAATCAAACCCACCGAGCTCAAAAAGATGGTGGACATGCTGCAGGTGGGAAAAACTGAAACGGTTGTAAACTCTTGTGTCTGGTTTTTGGGTTGAAATCTGGAGAAAAGTGACGACAAACACTCTTTCCTCTCTAAGAATTAAAGTGCTGAGAAGAGCTTTTATTTTCACTAATCCTGGAGTCATTTATTATGTGCATTTTCTCTTTTTTTCTGCAGGACTTTTTGTTTTTGTAAACCACCTTACTGACTGTTTTTTTGTCCTCCAGGATTCTTTCCCAGCCCGTTTCAAAGCTGTGCACTTCATCCACCAGCCCTGGTACTTCACCACCACTTACAACGTGGTCAAACCTCTCATGAAGAGCAAGCTGCTAGAAAGGGTGAGTTCAACAACAAGTGTGGTTTTATAACAATAACGATGGTGACGGCTCTGAGAAGAGGAGAATCAAACACCTCTAACATCTGCTGTCCCACCTACGCTGCTTTAGGTGTTCGTCCACGGAGACGAGCTGGAGAACTACTACAAGGAGTTTGACGCCGACATCCTCCCCTCTGAGTTTGATGGAAAGTCGTCCAGCTACGACGGCAAGGCCACAGCCGCCAAGCTGTTCGACTAAACCTCCTCCCAGTCACGCCAACCAGACAGAGAGCTGATTCATATTTGACTAAACCCCACAGACTGTGGAGACTCAAAGCCCAATCTAGCTGTGTGGTTGTAGGAGAACAAAGATATGAAAGAGCGTATGAAGCGATGTTTTCAAGAGGTCCTGACAAAGCAGAATCACAGGAATGAGACAGGCGAGAATTATCATCATGAGTGACGCCCCGCTCGATTTTTGCAGCACAGAGGCATGCACACTGACAAACTTCAGATTTCCTGTCTCATTTCTGTGACTCTGTGCTTCGTTTGGACCGCTCTCCTCCCTCACAGCTTGTTGTAACACTGGCAGGTCCCAGCTTTGAAAGTTTTCCGCTCTCTGACCCCCTCTCCTCTCCCTTAACTTTCCACCACGTACAAGGCTGAAATTCCAACAAGTGCCTGTCTCTCTCGTGTTTTTTAGTTTGCTCACTATGAATATTATGAAGTTTTACCCACTGAGCTACCTGGTGCACCATTAAGAATGTCAATAAATGTACAATAAACTGTATATAAATAAAGATGAGTTGCAGTCCTTCATTATGACAAAAGTTTTAGAGCTAAATATTATAAAACAGATTACTCTAGAAGCCCAGCTCCTTTACCCAGTTTCTTTGTTTCTACCAAGATTAGAGACCCTCAAAGATGGTAAAAAATAGTCTGCTTACTTCTGAAAGAGTCTAGAGGTCCTCCACTAATCAGAAATGTTAATCATTGTAGTGTGAAGATTATACAGACTCTCACAATGATCATGCTAACACTCAGATATATAAAGTTTGCCATGTTAACCATTTACATTTAGCCTGTAAGAGCGCTACTACTTTTAAAGCTGTCACCAGGTCTAAACTTTACAGATTAGACAGATCATGAGTGTTGGTCATATGTTGTGTATAAATTGTAGTGTCACCACCATCCACTACCTGTCGCTGTTTCACCATCTGTCCACACCAAACCTTACGCTGAAACATCCTCCAGGACCCAAGATAAAAACAGTTTAACGGCTATAATACACAGAGGGCCCAGTTTGACAATAAACACTATGGTTACAGACAGCTAACTTACTTTGCTAAAAAAATATATAAATCCATTGATATATAGTAGCGTGTAAACTAGAATAGTAAATCATAAATCACGCTCAAACTTCCTGGATGTAAATAAGCAGAGGAGACAGATTGAATTTTGGAGCGCAGTGTGATTAAAGGTGGGGTATAAACAAAAAAGATTTTAATATCAGTCAGTAGTTATTAGTTATTTATGACATTTAATAATATAACGATATTACTGTGTTCTCTTATGTCTGTGTAGTCAACATTTTAAATATTTTGAGCGGTCCGCTCTTTCTGACTGTAAACAAAGCCGTTCTCCACCTCCTCTAACCTGATTGGTTGTGAGGCAGACGCTGCTCCCCCGTGTCGTTCAGGAGCCCAAACAAAGTTAGCGTGCTACAATATCGGACAGTAGAAACCAACCAGAAAGTTCGGAAAATTGTCTGAATCCTCCTTTGGCCACGACTGCCGACACAAGCAAGAAAACAAAGTAAATACCGGAGACTCTGGAGGAATAACGGGCGCTTAAAACGGAGGTAGACCGGACAAGAGCTAAAAAGCCGGGTCAACATAAACGATGGGGGACACTTGGGGATCTTGGTGACCCTGTAACCTTTCTGCTGGACAGGTAAACCGCGTTAGTCTGCAGACTGTGATCCCGTGAAATAAATTATGTCAAACGATTATGTGAAAAATATTTATTAACAGGTAAGTCAAAATAACAATCAGCCACAGCTGTACATCACTTAAGAACAAATGATTTAAATGTTACAACAATATGTCGACACATATAACCGTGCGACACAGAACAATCAGAACTTTATAGACATTAAAGTGCAGGCTAAGCTGTCCGTATCTTTAAGAGTTCGGACGTATTGCACAAACAGATACTTAGGAGGTGGAGTTTAAGGTCAAATTCAACTTTTAAGGAGCAGATAAAATTACTTTAAACCAAACGATGGGTGGAGGTTCTGACCGGACGTCACTGACATGAAAGTAGAAAAACAAAATCCACATAAACTTTACCTCCTTTTATGTAAATATTAAAGATCGAATGAATTCCCCACAGAATTATAGAGAAGAGGCAGAGCATGGATATGTTTGTGCGTTACACATTTTCCCGCCTTTTCTCCTCCATCAGCCGTATGAACTCGTTTTAAGTGGAAAACTCCACCTGTCTGTTATGAGAGCATAAGCAGCTTTAAACAAACCCCTAAAAAAATCTGTGTCACTTGAGCAACCATTCAATTAGTCCTTATTTGAAGTATTGTCTAATATAAAACCTTATTGCCAAAGCCATGTGATTAATTCAGCAGCAGGGTGGCTAAAAAGTGAATTAAAGCAACTTTTTAACCCGAACGTTATTTGTGCTTTGGTTCTTTATTCTGGTCACAGCATAAACTGAAATTCTATGATTGTACTTCTACTTTTATATGATCACTGTTTGACCCAGTTTTGCTCTGCAGCTCACACAGTGTTGCCGTGTAAACTGTGTCGAACACTATTTAAGGTATAAAGCATCAGATTTTGTTATGACGATACAGATGACGGTAAAAACTATAGTCACCTGTAGTGGAACAATTCAATGACCCTAACAGGATAAGCTGACAGAAAGCTGCACAATAAGTGGAGAACGTCACGTAAGAAGTAACCGTAGTCTTTACAAAAACACAGAAGAGACGAGTGAAAATGTTTCCTCCTCTTTTCTGTTTTAGTAAGTCGTAAACTTCATTTTTCTAAACCTGACACCTTTAAATCTTTTCAACAGCATCAATGAATGCTGATGGTCCACCTAACAGGATGGAAATCATCCACATATACATACTTATAAACTCTTCTCTGCATGAAGAAGCTCAAATGTCTTTGTTAGAAGATGCTTGGTGATGAAGAGGTCCAGTTTCACTGAACACTTCAGGTGTTCAGGCTTGAAACCTCTGGAAATCATTGACCTTATTCACAGCACGGCCATGTCTCTCTGACGTCACTCCTGATGTAGGAAGATCACTTTTCTTATTTCCTAACGCAGTATTTGAGTGTTTTTCTAAATCATATAAACAAACTGATGGTATCTGAAAAAAAGATGGTATCTTTTTAGGTAGACTGAAATATTCCACCATTTCAGCAGGCTAATAATCTGACTGTCAAAAATTTACCTCATTTTGTTTTGTGTTCTGTATCTACCAAAGAGGATTAGGGCCACTGAGAAAAAAAAGGTCCAATATACGTATTCATAGGATATGGAAAAAAGAGTCAGAATTCTAAGAAAAAAGGTTATTTCTCTCAGAATTCTGACTTTTTTCTTGAAATTTCGAGAATAAAGTCAGAATTCAACTTGTGAGGATAACTGACTTTTTCTTATTCTGACCTTTTCTCTGAATTCTGACTCTAATCTCAGAATTCTCACTTTTTTTCTCAGAATAATAATTAATTTTTGGACCTTTTTTATTTTTTATTTTCCAGTGGCCCTAATCCTTTTCTGTATGTATCTCTATCAGATCATTAATGTTAATAATCTTTGTAATAATAATTAGCTATGGATCGGTGGTTTTGTGGTGACTTAAGTTGTTGACTAACAGTGTAAATACATAATCTTGTCAGTTGTTTTAATCTAAAATTTGGTCCCTTCATTTTTAATATTTATTGTATTTTGAGTTTGGATCAACTGAGAAGCAGCAAAATCAAAATTATTTGTTTTGTTCCTCAAATTTTAACGGTTCTATAACATTTGAAGAGTATTTGAAGGTCCAACCTTGAGCATGACGACAGAGGACAATGACCGCCGTGTGACTGTGACGAATGTCACACTGCTGTGTTATTTGAGGTAGCTCAGCTACACAAAATCTGCCCAAAAAACCCCCAAACTTGTCGCAGATTAACTTTCATATCAAGGCACTTGGTACTTTTATAATTAGGCCTGTCTGAGGTCTGTCACTACAGATGTCTTCCTGGTTAAGATTTTCAGGCTGCGCTTTACATTCTCCAGATTTTAGAGCAGTTGGATTTATAAAACATGCCTGGTATATATAAATGTAAACAGGCTTGTGAGTATTGAAGAGTTCAGTGAAGTTTAAGGGCTGCTTATTACAGTTTTGGTGACCCTCCCTGACTTATTATATAACCCTACAACGATCCAGACTCAAGAAGCACAGCTGCCAAAAACCAGCAGAGGGTGAAGACCAGTGACGCTGGAGTTAAGCTGACAACAAGAGGAAGGAACAATTCAACATGGGGTCATGTTACATTTTCCAGTATAATCATCTGATATGAGTTTCAGTTTACAACTTTGTGTACCCACGTCAACTCAGCCTGCCTGTTTCCAGCCTATTTAGGGATCCCTGCACTTTCCCTAAAGCTTCATAAGACCGTTCGTACTTAAGCTGAGAAGAAAACAAGAGGCTGAGTTTGTGTTTTGGTCGACGGTTCCTCTCTTTACAGATATGTTTGCTACCCGCTGGATGGCAGCTCTGTGCTCAGGTGGCTGCTCCTCTGGCAGGCCGGCTGCTTTTTCTCCCAGTGACAGATGGCGTCCGTGTACTCCACGATTACCTTGTCCATCCAGGTGAGCGGTTGAGGGAACAGCACAGCTCCCTCAAAGAAACCCAAGTGGCCTCCGTGTTGGGTCAGAACGAACATCACATTGGGCATTTTTTCTGCAAAGAAAAGACACAGAAAGATGATTGTCAGCTCAGCTCTTCTGGGTAAAGACTCAAATATCATCATGAAAACTAAGAACAAATCTCCTCTGATGATCGAACTGGTTATTTCACAGCTGGGAGGAGGCGGGTGTGTAGAGCCTGAAGAAGCTAACATTTCCCATGCTTAACAGTGACACTGCTTTAATTTTGGTTTTAACCTTGATTTGGGGTCCATTGTCTTATGTTTTCTTTCCCTCAATGAACTCAATGAAAGTTTTGATTGTGTATACTTTTAAGAAGCATTAAAGCTCCTGTAAGGGACTTTTGGTTTGAGTCCATTCTGGCGCCCCCTGTGGACAAAGCAGTTAGTGCTTATCTTGTCCTCAACACACTTAAGTGATGTCTCATTTTCTTTAACTACACGGCTGACACCTAACCCCTCACATCTGTTTGAGAAATCAGAAATAACAGTATAAAAATCCTAAATCTTGTTGCTGATGGTCTTGTTTTCTTTTCTATGTCATACAAAGGATTTAAAATTACCTTAAAGCTCCCATGTAGAGGTTTTTTTAATGATTTATAAAATAGTTTTAAGGGATTTTGGGGATGTTTTTTCTCTAGATCAAGCTCATGTGAGAATTTTAACATTTATAAAATGGACTGAAATGTATATTTATGACATTTTTTGGGCTTCAAAAGCAAACAAGACCATCAGAGACAAGATCAACCATTTTTATACTTAAATTTGAAACGCCTGAAACCAGTGTGAGAGGATAGGTGTGAGTCCAGCTGCCATAGAAACATTTTCCATATAAAATGTTTACGATAAATGATCAAAAGGACAAGCTAAACAAAGACTGCTTTGCCCACAAGGGGGCACCAGGGGGCTAAAATTTCCTGATAGGAGCTTTAATGCCAAAAAAAAAAGAAAAGCATTTCAGCTGCATTTCTCCCTTTACTTAAAAGAAACCATGATCGACGTTCACTAATGGACAATGGTGTGCATCTGCAGTCAGAAATCTGCAGGAAGAAAACTGTTTACTCCGTCATCCAGTTGATAAAATGCAGAAATGTCACCGTGCAACATCTGCTCGGACACAAGGTCAGCAGAGCCTGTCATTCATTATGCATGTTCTGTAAACCACCAACTGAACTAAGTAAGCGCTGCACAGTTTAACCAATCATGGAGGCTCATGTGATGTAGAAAATTGATCAGGAGGACACGGATTTACGGGGTTTTGTTTCAGATTTCATTTCACACCAAATGAACAGAGTCTGCAGTGTTTCCGTTCAGTTGGACAGGAGCCGAGCTCACACTTGGCGTTAAGATAACAGACTGTAAAACATGATGTCTAACATGTCAGTAAACAGCTCCTTCATCATGTGTTCAGCAGAAAACTTGAACATCCAGTCGGAGTTTAAACTTCACGTCATAAGACAAACAAACAAACAGAAGTCTGATATTTGCCCTTCTTGTTGGTCTGGTTTGACCGCTTCAAACTGTTGGAAAATAACTTTGTTTTTAGTCAACAAGATACTTCACATTTCTCTGCTTTTCCTTTTTTTTTTTCAAACAATGATTTGAGGTCCATGGAGGAGAGAAAGTAACCACCCTTACACTCACTTTCAGGGGCGAATTAGAGCTTTCCCTAGAGCTAGTTTGAAAAATAAAACAAACTAACTAAATCTAACCCTGATCCAAACTTTAACCCTAAACCCAACGGTCTGTAACCTGGTAACAGTAAACACCAGTGAGAAGGACCTTGTAATTAAGGTTGTGGACACTCCCAGTGCAAAAAAAACCCACCTTGGTCGACACGGTCCTTAAAGCTCCTAACAGAAACTTTCTGTTAATGTTGATCTCTGCGCCCCCTTGTGGACAACATGATAATTAAATCTATTTGCTGATTATGTCTTGTATATTTAAAGGTTATGATGTAAATTAGGGCAAAAAAGGAATCTTGCAGTGATTAAAGGCATTACAAATTACAGTATAGAAGTCATTCATGTTTTTGCAAATTGTCTTTTTTGCTTTCGTCATTAAGAGACCTTTACTCTTGGTTTTTCTTACATTTCATGACCAGCTAAAACTCCTCACAGGAGCTGTACATGATTTTGGCACATCACCTAAAAATACCTGTTTCGCCCTGCTGTGCACTCCCCATATTTTTTATCTTAAACATAATTCACAAATGCTCAAAAAATAAAACAAAAAAGTCACATAACACCAAAGTGTTGTTGGTCATGTCTTATATAAAGCCCCATCTAAAATTAAAGATCTCTCATCCGTTAACACGAGTTTTAGAGGACAGTTTTCGTCTTAGGTTTAAAAAAATCTTATTTAAGACTTCTTAATTGTATTAAAAGGATCCACAGGAACCTTATATTGTTACTTGGGAGTTGAATATCCTTCAAAATTTAATGAATGCCTCCTTGGCTGATGCTCAACTGCTCCACAAACTTTAGAGAAAATAGGCCAAAGGTTTTTCAGGGACTCAGCTGACTGACAAACAAGCAGCTCTGCAAACCAAACCTCCTAAAATTAACCCAGACTATAGATTATTTAAAAATTATAAAAACACAACCACTTAGACACTTGTGCAAAAAAGAAAAAATTGAGTTTGTAAATACTGACGGAAAAGAGAAAAAGTTCAATTGTGCACGCTCACGTCTCCTTGAAGCAGAGGACAGGTCTAGGATTTCACTTGTCACAGTCTCAGTCATTACACTCACTGATTTACACACACAGGGACCCGTGCATGTGACCTACTGGGCAAGACCAGGCCGCTGATTCTGGACACACACACACATGCACACGCACTGCTCTATATTTATAATCCAACAGCGCAGGCATATCACATGGCCCTGAAAAATTCAACAAGACAGTCTGTGCAGGGCGGTGTTGAGCAGAAAGCTCCGACAAGACTTTTTCAGCACTTAAGACTCCGGCTCGGGTGTCCGGCTCTGCAGGAGGGGCAGCAGGTTCATTTAGTCCTCTGTGGTCCGAGTTTAAAGTCTCTGATATTTGGGACACGCTCAATATTCACAACCATTTACACATGAAGTGTTATGGCAACAGTTTAGTGAAGCGTGAGGACTTTGCAGCATGATTTAACAGGTAGAGGAGGAGGTCATGACGCATACTTCCTTTTTAACGCTCAATAAAAGTGTGAATAATTGAGTTTTATGATGTATGGACGGCTGATGTTATGAAATCAAATAACGTCATGTCTTGACTTATTCCATCTTCTGTAGCAGCGCCTGTTTATCTGTCTCGATAAGGTCTCAGTTTCACGGTAAATTGTAAGTAACACAGACGCAGTATAAACTAGAGAAAAAAACTGAATTTTTCATGACTGACTTAAAATAAAAAGGTTGTAACCTCTCTTGAAAAAAGTGTTACAAGGTCGATCTTTGAAAAGTTAAAATGCAAACTTTGTCAGGTCACTGTCATTTCATCAAGAGAGGAAGAAATCAACTTAAAAAAGCTTGTTTCTAAAGAAAATCAAATGGATTATTTCTGATTCACAATATTTGGACTATATATGCCCTACGTCAGACACAGATAAAGCCTCTGTGTGTCTGTCCTCTCTGTGTTTACGTTTCCTATTTCTGCACAACCTCTGACCTCAGTGTGCAGACACAGACGTCCTCAGGCAGATAGTTTGGTTAAGCTGAAATATTAGCTGCACTCGTGAGCAGAGACCTCTTTGTATAGATTAATTTATCATTGTGAGATTATAATTCTGAGGACCAAAGAAAACCAAACCTCTTGCAGTACAGAAATTTGAACTTCGTGTTTGTACGCGGAATTTGCAAATACGGATGAATATTAAAAGAGATCCCGGTGAAGTTTTTCTGCCTAAATATATCGGTTTATCATGTATTTTTTGCTTTCTTTAAAGTCAAGTCACCACTTCATACTGACGTGTTGCTGATGAATATATATTTATACCTGAGAGTGCGCGTGGAATCGCCAGCAGAGATTGATGGACTAGAGGGTCGTCTGAGGAGTTCACCAGGAGCAGAGGGACTGTGACCTGAGGAGGAAAGACAGGATATTTTTTCAGGGACTTCAAAGAGCAGGAGGAAGAGGAAGAGGAAGAGGAACAGCTGGAAGAAGAGGAAGAGTAACAGCAGCAGTGCAGGATGTGACAGCAGTGGGTTACAAAAGTCCAGTAGTCGCAGAAGAAACAGCATCAGTTATAGAAACACTAGAATTGGAAATAGAGGAAGTATTTGTGTGAAAGGAAATGTGGTAACAGGCCTTTTACAGTAGGGCTGGTCAATAAACCGAAAATTTACCGATACTGAAATTTACAACAATAACTGACATCATTTTGCAGTTTAAAAAACATAAATAAGTAAAAGTTGTTTTTGGATGTGTGTAGGTAGGCTATGGTCTCATGTCCCTCTTAAGACGCTGTCCTACGTCAGAGACGTGACTCCACCCCATCCAGTCCATAACAAAGAGGAAAAGACAGGTGAGGAGATGGAGGACGGTTCAAAAGTTGTAGCGGCTGAAGTAGAAGTTAATGTTGGAGGGGGTGAGCAGCTTGTGGAGTAGTTATCGTCCATTTATCGTTATCGAGGTGAACTGATCAATATATTGTGATATTGATTTGAGGACATATCGCCCAGCCCTATTTTACATTTTTTTATTGATTCATATTTAATTCACTCATTCATTAGAGGAATAATTGTACATGTTTTGAAAGAGGAATGACACCACTCTGCTGTCTCTACTCTTCAGGCTGACGTTTGTGGTTTTCAGAGGATTATGAGGGCGTTGACTCGACCAGGAAGTTTACACAAAACACTGTTCAAGAAAAACACAAACAGTGACACTTCCCCTTCAAGCACAAACTGTTCCTGTCAAGAAACTTCAAAAATGCAGATCCTCAGCTTGAGGCTGATTTGTACAGTTTCAGACTTAATAGAGTGAAAGGACAGTTGTTTTCCAGGTCGCTGAATTCCTGCCTCATCTTTGCACCACAACAAATCTGCAAATTCACAGTAAAGAAAGATTGCAACACAAGATATTACACCAGTTCATTAACTTTTAGCTAATCTTAATGAATAACTTTAAAGTTATAACTCTACAGTCTATGTGAAGGATGTTAATCTTCTATTTAACTTCTCTAATAAACACAAATATACTTGTTTTTTTAGGAGGAGAAATCTGAAACTTTTCCTTCAAAGTTTCCCAGTTACCAGTAAGGGAACAAAGTTACGGTGGAAACAATGATGTTAGAAAGACTAGCAAGAGTTTGAAGAGTAACACAGATAGTTGTAAAAGTAGACATGTTGTAAAAGAGGACGGCACAGTTTATGAGGTTTCATATTTGCTCTGACGTCGACTTATCTCTCACTCACTTTGTGGATGTGATGCGCGCAGCTCTCCTTCTCGTAGTATTCCCCCACAGAGTCGTAGCCGTGAAACTTCCTGCAGCGACAAACACAATCAAACATCAGCGATGGAGATTCAACCTGAGCCGTCGACTTCTAATAATCCCTCCGGGCCCAAACTCGACCTCATGATGCTTTCGTCGATCTGCATCAGAGACGTGGCGGCGTACAGACGGCTCATGTCTGCATCGCCGATGTTAGTAGAGTTCAGTCTCAGCAGAGTGCTCCTGTTAAAGAGACAGAGACTTCATGTTTACATGCAAACACATACACATTAACCCTTTCATTGTCATCTACTGTTGTGTTTCTTCACCTGTGTGACAGGATGAGCTTCTTCATGTTTCCCGCCAGAACAAAGTTGTAGAGTCTGCGGCACTGATCCCACTGGAGGAATGTTTCCTGTGCCCTACACAAACAAACACACACAGATACACACTTGATACACAAATCCTTGTGAATCCTCATGTCTGAGTTTACACGTTTGTTCATCCTCTGTTTCACCAACCTGAGGGCGCTGTACCCCTGACAGACGCTGACGCAGCACAGCACTCGCTCCTGGTTGGCTCGGTTCTCACCCAGGTACTTACAGACGATGTTTCCCCCCAGGCTGAAGCCCACGACCACCAGCTGCGTCTGCGGGAAAGCTCGTTTAATGTAGCTCACCATGGCGGCGTACTCCCAGGTACATCCTGAGAGAGGAGAGAGAGAGGAACATGTAGAGATTGCTTTTATTCTGTGTTTTTTCACGTAAAGAAAATTAAGGGAAAACGTCAAAGTAAAGCTGAATCCATCCTGTAATTGAGGCGACCTAAACGTCCTGACTTTGCGGTGTGTGATCATGAGCGCGTTGTTACCGTAGGTGAACATGCGAGGAGAGGTGAGCTCCATGTTGGGCAGAGCTCCCAGGTGGTTGAGGACGGCACAGCGATAACCCTGCCGCTGGGAGTGATCCACAAAGGTCCGGATGTAGTTCTTCTCGCTGTGGTTACCGATCCCAGGACAGATCACCATGGTAATGTCGTCTGAAATATACACACACACACACACACCAGAGGGTCTCATGCTCAGAAAAACAAAGGGGAATCATGTGCTAGCGTAAAACCGGTTCTCATGCGTGTGTGTGTTGACTTAATTGGTTGCATAGCGTTTCTCCTCCTGGGAGTTCATTAGTCTTTCTCGTGCTCACTGTCGTTAGTTTGAGAACTCGAAATCCAAACAAGAACATCGAGCTCAGGAGAAAAATGATCTAAAAAAAAACAACCAGCTGGAGTAAAACAGCCGAGCTGGTCTTTCCAGACCAAATCTCCAAGAAGTTTGTTTTGTGTCTACAGAGTCTCAAACTCAGTCTTAAACTCAGCAAGAGAAAAATGTCAGAATGTATTTGATTAAAGCCACAGTAGGGAGTTTTGTGACAGTGACACTACAGGGGCTGTAAGGGGGAGGCATCGGATGAGACTTATTTTATCTTTCCTGAACCAAGTACTCACTGTGAGTTACCGGATAAAACTATTACAACACACGTCCACAGGTGGCGCCAATACAAACATGAAGTTCCCCATAGGAGCTTTAATATTTGGTTAATATTGATAAGTAATATTCATCTGTGGTTTATGTTTCACAAAGACTGATTATGATTCTTTTATCGCCCATAAAATACCTGAAATGACTCTTTCAAATCCGGATGCTCATGTGATTAAATATGTTTGTATCTCACCTCCTGAGCTGTGTTCTCCAAGTGCTTCAAATAGGTCAAAGGTCGCCGTGGCCCCATCATGCATTGGGAGGAATTTGCGGACCCCGCAGGGCGTTGGCGTGTTGACACGGCCCATTTTGCCGTACAAAGCCGTCTGGAGGTGACCGCTCTTACCCCACAGCAAGGGAGGAATGTATCTGAAGAGAGGGTGAGATAAATATCAGGTTACAGCTGAAACCTCGAGCAGGAAGATGTTTGGAGAGTGTCTGCAAAGATTATCTCTCAGCAGACGGACCTCCTGCAGACGCAAACTACAGGAGGTGGGCAGAGAGGAGACAGACCTGCAGAGCCCTTTAAATATGATCAAATTCCTCCTATTTATGAAACTTTAGATATTTAATTCCCATGTATGTTTGTAGCAGCAGTAGGATTAACAGCAAGAGCAGGCAAGTGATGTCGAAATAAATGTATGGAGGAAAAAAAAAGGGATCTACCACTCAAGACATAAACAAAAAAACCTGGAGAGCAGCTCGATCAGTTTTCCACATGTGAGTCTTTTTATGTGGAGGAAGTCGAACCACATACGGTTAAACCAAAGATTTATGAAGTGCTCTCTGGCACCAGTCGCAGCTCGGCAAATCTGATTTAACTGCTTGGAGTGGATTCTCAGAAATGGTTGCGTCGAACCTCTCTGTATTTTGAGATTTCCGTGACTCATTGGGCAATAATTCCTCCAGTCTGGGCTCGACACAGCGCAGGTCCGACCATGAGGGAAAAAAAGTGATCCTTCTCCACTCCTTCTTTTTTTTCCACTTACGTAATGCAGTAAAGTTGACATTGTGCATGTTTGAGCTACAAACAGCTTGAGTATAGGAGTCAGTGATAAAGAATGAGGAAGGTCAAATTCTGTTCACTGTGATTCGACTGTATCCGACATTTCACCAGCCCTGAATTCACTGACAACTGTGGAGCAAGTCTGTCCGTCTCAATAAAAGAGTGTTAGTACTGATCATGGACTTCAACACTCACTCTTTGGTCAACAGCGGGCAGGACTTGAGCAGGTAGCGGCTGAGCGGCGTGTCCTGATAGGTGACATCAGGTGAGGCTGTAGGACTCTTGAGGTTCAGACAGCGGACGATGATGTAGAGAACTGTCGCCACCGCCGCCAGCTTTACGCCGTCGAACATAGCAGGCAGCTCAGGGCCGAAGGTGTGCATGTCAGCGTCCTCAAGGGTGGTCATTGTGGACACCGGAGAGGACCTGTGAGAAGCACGAGTGGACAGCACTTGACTGACATGATTTATTCAGAGCGAACAGGAGGAGGAAGTTTTAGTAAACAGTCACGCGACTCGGGCGGAAAAAACGGACAATTAGAAAATAACTCCAACTCAACAATTATGATGACACTCTTTCTTGGTCATATAAACTGTCAGAGATGCTCTGTATTTATTCAAAAAGATGTCTCCTACCTTGTTGTATGACTTTAAAAATCCAGTAAATGTTGTGGTCCCTCTTCTGTGAACCCAAAGTCTGGAAATGTTCACTCAGTGCTGGGAAAAACACAGTTAAGGATATTTGTTTAAGCTTAATGTATTCAGTGCCTCAGGTACAAACAGTAAAAACAGATGGTTAAACAGTGAAAGAGAGGTTTTCCACTGTGTGATCATAAAATGCAAAGAAGGTGCTGTAGATAAACATGATCCAGAAATATCAGGAATCTGTCTGGGCTCAAGCTCATGGAAAACTGTCCAAAATTTGACTTTTTTATTCAACTTTTATTCAATGTTAGCAGAAATGTCCTTTAAAAATTAACAGATTACCATAAAACAACAAAGATATTCAATTTGATCACCTCATATGCTGTTTTTGCACTCTTACATGTAAATAAAGTGTCCAAATTACTTGCAAACCACAAAATTCAGTTTTCAATTATTTTTATACACCATCACAACTTTTTAAAAATTGTTTTTAAGTAACTTTAAGTAGTATTATGGTGAAAGATGCATATTTCTTGTGTACAATACATTTTAAGCCACAAAAAGCAGGTAATGATCGAATCACTATCATGTTAACTGTCCATGTTTAATGTCGCAACTAGTATGAGATGTCCCCAGTTGCACTTTCTATCTCCTGACAGTTCAAATGAATCACTTTAAAAGGTATATAATTAGCAGACAGACGTAAGTTAAATAGTTTCACATGTTGTTGTGTAATCCAATCTGACTCTAAGTAGGTAACAGAGGAAACGCAAAAAAATGTCACAACTTTCCCCGGTCTCCCCTATCCGCAAAGTGTGAACGACAAAGTTGGAACAGTAAAAACAAAAGATAAACTATATTAAACAGCCTTTTACATCTTTTACAGCTTAAATATGATCCACAAGTGTCTCAGGTCCAAGTTTCTCCCACTCTTTTGTCTGTCACTCAGGTAAAACTGTTCCTGAAGTGGGTCGAGGTGAAACTGAGGGCTTCAACACTACCTTAAACACCTCAAAAACATCCTATAGAGTAAAAAAATCACCTTAAAAGTAGACAGAAAACATTAGCCGTCTTACCATTGTGGTTTTCTCGCAGTCGGTCCGGGTTGTGGTTGGATTCATCCGGAGTTCAGCTCAGTTTCCCGACACCGTCTGTTTACAGCAGCGGAGCTAACTGACCAGCAATGAGCTCAAGCTGCGTTCAAGTACTCGAAAAGCTCGTATTTTCTGCTTCTTAAAGTCACAATCAAGAGAAATTATTAAAATAGTCTATTCGGTCACTTATTTACATCGCTGTTGTGATACCAAGAGTGTTGTTAACATGTATGAGTTTAAAAAAACAAACAAACATTTAATATACGCCGTTTGAGTCCCCTCCCGCATTTGTCGAGCCTCTGAAAGCAGGATATCCGACATCCTGGGAGGCAGCATTACAAGCAGCGGTGTAGCTTACTTCCTACTTTAGAGAAACTAATTTACTGTAAGAATATGGTCACAGATTAGTCAGACTGTTGGACACCCATGATTTACAGCGACACACTAAGGCCGAGCTGGAATAAAATCTAAAATATTTCCCCCACCTAAAAAAGTGTGAAATTTATGGTTACCGAGTTGACATAAGCTTACAAAAATAGTTAAAGATGAGTAAATAGAAATAATAATAATAAAACCTCACTGTACACATTAACACCGCAATTAGAGCGTCAAATAAGTGTATATAATAAGTTTGACTTTTAATGGAAAATAACAGGAACACAAGTGGATTTATATGAGGTGTTTAATGTACGTTAAAAGCTGTTTTTTGTTAAACTTCAGTAAAGAGACACGCCAAACTACTTTCATTAGGTACTTTGACCACTAGAGGTCGCCGTTCACCTTCAGATCATTCAGCACAGTAATTTACTGTCTGTAAAGTTTTGCTTGCTGTTTAAGAATAAACTGATATTTGCATAAAAATATCAAGTTATTGGTAGTTTATAATGGTGAGTAATTTGATTTAGTATTCTTATTTGTAGGGGATAAGTAAGCCATACAGGCAGACACATACTGGTCAAACAAATGCCTTAAAAATGTCCACATTGTCCACACCTTTCATTTCCAGGGGGAGACAGTTTAGGAGCAACACCCTCAAAAGCTCAGTCTCCTTTAGTTTTTAGTCTGACCAACTGGTAAACCCCGATCAGAGGACCTCAGAGTCCTGCTGGAGAAACACGACCTCTGCAGCTCTCTCATATAAGTTGGAACTAGACCATATAACTCTTCTAAACTGGATTCCGAATTGATCTTTAGCTCAGCCCTGGACACTATAGGCCTGACTTTTTCAAAGTTTCTTAAACAGTAAAAAGAGGAGCAAACCAAACCATGTACACTCTGATCCAGACTTAAAACCTGATCCACGTGGTCACAAAGATTTCAGAGATTTACAGCAGAGGATGAGACTTCTTTTCTTTTTTTACCTCATGAGACACAGCATGATCAGGAACTGTAAGAAACTCTGTTTTGTTAAAGTTCAACTGGAGAAAATAATCTCCAATCCATGCTTTAATACGTTTGACACAATTGAGTAAAAAAGACAATTCAGAGACATTATCATGCTTTAAAGACATGCAAAGCTGAATGCCATCTGCATATTAAAGATAAGAGACACCCTGTATGTTTTTTGTTGGGTGAGGTCAATCCCTGTTTGTTTTTATGATGCATGAAAAAGAAGACAGAATTAATAACACAGAGAAGAACTTCTGTTTTTTTATGTTTGGTTTAGAGTTACTTTAGCATCCTTTAAACTTGTCTCATGATGTGTGCACCAATGCATGCAGCCTCTTTCTATCATTTAGTCTTCTATGTAATTGTTCTTTTTTAATCTACCTTATTCCTTTCTAAGGATAAACAAAGTATTCTGATGTCTATGTTCAGTTTTTACACACTTCTAAAGAGAAAACCTCTGAAAATCAGACTGAAGCTGTTACCTTCACAGTCACTCTCACTTCTTATTTCATATCGTTGATACGTGTGAAAAATTACTCAGGTTTCTAACATGAAAACAGAAGTGAAAGAACGGCTCAGAGGGTTTGTTCTTTGAGTGGGAGAAGTGAAAATTTGCTGACGCTCCACCAGTAAAACTCTTATGAATTCCATGACACATCTCTTTGGCAGCGTTCCTCTGAAACGCCTTTTCACATGGTTCAAATTTATACGATTATGTTTGAGGATTAGGATCAAACAGACTTCTGTCCCATTTTAGCTCCATCTAACCATCATTAACCTCCTCCTCTGGCTCAGATTCAGTGGAGGTCAGTCATGAGGAGAAGCTTCTTGTGATAAGAGAGGAACATCAGAGGCTCCTCCGCTGTGGAGTCTCACCACTTTTGACGGCTGCTTTATGTCAGATTGGCCCTGTGCACAGTACACATGACTGTTTCTTCTGTTCTTATGGCATCATGACTGCACAGATGAAACAGTTTAAGTATCTCCGCCTGTTGGATTTGGTGTTAAAGGGATCCCACAAAAGCGGTCTTTAAGCGTCTTTGCAGAGGCAGCCTTCAGTGTGATAAAAGCAGCAGCATTTTAGGAAGAACAGCCGTGATGCTGGCTGCAGGATTTCCTTTATCCCCGCATTTTGCTGTCAGCATAAACTTCAAACAATTTAAAACATAATCAGGCATTTATGAGGGTTCTGGTGTCTGCTACCTGCTGCCATACTAATGGAAACATTTTCATGTTGCTTCCAAGCCTGACTCGGGGCTCTGTCCTGAAACGGGCCTCAGAGTAGGTCAAACTGCAGTACTCATTCAAGAGCCCTCATTATGTAGTTCATGTTGTTGCAGTCAGCATTGTCAAAAATCCATCATTTTGACCTCAAAATGAATCTGGGCCTGGGGCAGTCGCCTGTTTTGCCGTCTTGATCCAATCTTTAAAAGAAGAGACAGAAACAACACGCTGCAAAAGTCACCAGAAAGAGTTGATCTGGTGACAAAGTAAACTAATTTTACTGTGCAATAAAAATGTTTTTTAAACTTACACCAAGAGGAGGATAAAACACATCCAATACAACTAGTCCTACACAGGTTCAGAGTGTTTTTAAACATCAACCCACGATATTTAATGACCGGACAAAGTTATTGTGCCAGGGATTGATCTTTCTTTGACTACCAGTCCATCATCAATACTTCCTCACCTCTGCACTTTAGATCTATACTGCTGACTTGTTTACTTGTGTGTCAAACACAACAGTGTTCATAAAACTGCAGAATGATTATGATGACATACGATAAAAATACCATAGGATACGATATGATATGATACAACACAATAAATAATTTTGTATGATACCTAATGATACAACAATAACATGTGATACAATGTGATACAATTTAATACAATACAATAGTATGCGATATTAGTATGATACAGTATGATATGATAGGATACCATATCATGCAATATGATATGGTCTTATATGATATCATATGACAACATGCAAGGACTTGATTTATTGTGCTAAAATACAATAAGATAAGGTGTAATACATTACAATGTGATATAATTTAATACAATACAGTAGTATATGATATGATATATGTTAGGATATGACATGATATGATATGATATGATATGATATGATATGATTTGATTTGATTTGATTTGATATGATATGATATGATAAAACATGCCATAAAACAATTGCATACAATATAATAAAGTATGATAAAATGTGGTAGGGTATGGTGGTATCTTCGCACATGTTCCTAAATAAACAAGGCCTATTTTATCCTCTACTGCTCTAACTTTCCCAGCATGCCCTTGGTTTGTCAGGATGTTGTAAATACTCTGGGACCTTTTCCGTTTGATTTTTATACATAATCATAAAACAGAAGAGGAACAAACTTTTCCTGATATAATTAATCTCCCATGGAGAAAGTTGCTTCCTCTTAATCTTTGTCAGTTTAAGTAGGAGTCAAAGTCATGTCCTTCAATTCCCATGTTACAGGACTATATCCACGCTCTGTTTGACTTACAGCTCGTCTAACTAATGAGCAGGAATATAAGAGGAGTTTGGTACTGTTTCATACAGCTGCAGATTGAGCTTTGATGTAGGAAGGTCATCTGGGGAGGGTTTTTTTCCTGCACAGCATGTGAGAGGAGGGCCTATAGGTTTCACACAGCATAGCTCCAAGGCTGAACCACCGTTTTACACAGTGTTTGATCTCAAGGTGCATGAGAAAGGAAAGACAAACCAAGTAGGAACAAGAACAAAGTCCACCAGCCTTTCGCTGTTTGAGCACGAGACCACTTAGAGCTGCATTTGAATCCCTTTGGCTTGTTACTAGGCTACAGAAGAGTCAATTTTACCCTGCCAATCAAACTCTGTGGAGTTCATCTGGGAGTGTTGTTGCTGCTATTTTAGACTGGGTCACAGTCAGATAAATAAAACAACAAAGACGTTCACCAGCGTGATACTCTGGGGTCATTAAGCAGGTATCACATCCTTGGATTATGGTTATAATTAGTCTACTTTTGATTCCTGAGTTCGGAGCCATATAAAAGAAACAATCATGCTCAATTATTTTCATCCACACAAGAGGAACCGAGCTTGTCTAGATATTGAAAGGGACATTCCTGTCAAACTCACACCCATTAAAAACAATTATCTCGCCTCACGCCCACTCCCTCTGAGAGCGGAGAAATCAACTCTGACCCACTGCTGGATCTTGGCTTAAGAGACGCCCACGGATGAACCTTTCGCTGCTCCACAATAAAACTTTGGCCTTAATCTGCATGTCAGAGTGAGATTTCATGCATGGTGCCATCATGGGAATTTTCCCAGACACCAGCAAAAATCCAGTATTAAACAGGGAATAAGGAAATCAAAAGTACTTTTAAAGCAGTATAATTTTTGTATTCGGGAACAAACAACAAACAACCTTAATGGATTTGTACTGAAAATATATACATTTTCCACATTTGGTATTTTATTTTTCCATTAAAAAATTGAATTTCCTTGAAGAAACCTTCCCAAAAGTATAAATAAAGTTGTATCTAATCTAATCTTATCTAAAATCTCACCATCAATCAAATTTATTGTATCCAAATATGTTATATTTCCACAGAGTTAAGAAAAATAAGAAAAACAATCCTTTCCCAAAGCAGATCCTTACAAATATGCACTAGTTGCGATCCAGTTCAGCAGAATTTTTGGCACACTCTTTATGGCCTATGGACTTTCTTTATGGTTATACACTGTATAATAAGGGCTAAAGGTTGAGTAGTAGCAGGAAATCAATTTGAATGTTTTTGCATAAATATTGCAATATTTCATAGATTCTGAAATAGAGCAGGGGAGAGTGAGGTTAGATGAGCCATTTTTCATATTTAAGATCACAACATCAAGTCAATCATAGTTTTGTCTCTAACAAGTGTATCTGCATATATTTCAGGATGTTGTTCATCCATGCAAACCAACAGAATGAGTGTAAATATAACTGTCTTGATAATATAGCATGCCAAAAAAGTGGTTTCCTATCACCTTCTCTCTCCCTAAATAACAGTCACTTCTTCACATTCATGTGTATTTTTATTGATTATACACTATTCAACTGGTACAATAATTCTTCTTATTATTAAAACTGCATATAACGGCTAAAAATCTGGTTTGTAAAAAACATTTTAACATGAGAATGTCTTTAAGTGATTCAGAACATTCACAGCTGTATTTTTGAAAAGAAAAAGTCAAACATTTCAACAATCTGAACTGAAACTCTGATCCTCTCATCAGACTTCTTTACTTTCTCAGTTACCCCAGAACTACTATGATGACTTTATTAGTCCTCTAAGCTAAAATGGTGCACTTTTGTGTTAGGTTTTTGACCTCATGTTGGAGCTCATAAATACCACAGTTGATGTATAAAACAGATTTAAAATGATCCTTTTTGGTCTGAACAGAATTCTAATCAAACTTATGACAGACTAAATTCACTTTCAAGAGTTAAAGATGTCTTTTTTTGCTTCTAACCAGTTTCTTTAACCATTTCCAAGCAACAGAGGGTGGCTCAACTTACCCCACTCTCCCCTAAAAGCTGCTCAAATCTAAAAAAAAACGTGATAAAGAAAACATCAGATTAGGTCAAAGAGGTTAATTCGACTGCAGTTGGGAAATTGTAAAGCAAGTATTTTAGCGTTTTAAATTAAAGATCTCAAACAATGTGTTATTTAATGCAGGGAGATCACTATGTCCTTAGTGTTTACAGCCCTGTGTGAGGCTGACTGTTTTTCTGCTTCAACAGTGAGATTGAGGGGCGGAGCTACAATTAGGAGTGTGCGCTACGATTGGCCGAGAGCTGGACGCACGTGCTTTTGCTCTCCGCCTGCTGCTCGCGAGTTCAGAGCCGCACAACAAGCTCGAGCACAGAAGCTCCAGAGTCCGGAGAGAGCTGTTGTTGTCCTCCTCTCAGATTTAACGTCCCTTTAACTCACAACCAACTTCTCCACAGATTATCAACGACAGTCAAACTCTGCCGCCATGAAGGAGAGCGGAACTTTTTGTCTTTGGCTTCAACTTTTCACCGCCTGTCTGGTGTTTGGGGTGTTTGGGGTGAACGGTAAGTTGTTTCTTTGTGTTTGTTTACAGTTCAAACCGCAGCCGTTAGTGTCCGCGCGACCACGACCGTTAGTGCAGAGAGTGTTTGAAATTTAAGTTAAAGTCTCTCAATATCCGCCTCTTTCTCTCTGTTTAATCAGGAGTAGGGTTGTTTCTCATTTCTCACACTCATTAGTAGGTGTGTGTGTTTGGTATGTGATGATTTAATCTCAGCCTGGCACAAGTGGGACCGTCAATTCATCACCAAAGAAACCGAGTAGGCTGTGGGCATTTTGTAGGAGCACAAGTTCAAGCGATGCTTGAATAAGTGGACAGGACGTGTGGGAATGTGAGAAGTCAGGCATTGCTCAGCTGCCTGTCCCTCTCAGTTTGTCTAACTGCTTCTTATTTTCTTGATCTTGCTAATTAAAACTGCGATCAACTGCAATAACTGAAACCTCGTTAATGTGAGCTTCCTGCTGCCTTTCAGCTAATAGTTCTAATAGCAAACATTCAAGTCTTTTTTATGTCATGCACTTGTACATGCCAGGACTTGCAACTAATACCTAAATGTAGGTTCATTTGAGCAGGGTTATTCACCGAGGAGTTTTCAATGAAATCTTTCACTTTATGTTTTTAGTATAAAACTAATTGAGCACACCATATTGAGGTGGAAAATGTTCTTTTTATTAAGCTCAGACAAAACAAAACACTATGTTTTTTTAAGGGCTATACTGGATGAATTGTGTGTTTTAACTTAATAACTGATATTTGACTGAAGTGTCAATTTAAGTGCTGTAGCAGTTACAGATGGTATTCATGTATTTGTGCAGTCAAAATTTGTGATGTTTTAAGATAACCTTGTCTTTCAAACAATGTAATATCTATTATTTAACATTAAGATAGTTTCAAAAGGCACAATGCTTATGAAGTAAAAAGATTACATTTTGACCAAAAGCTATCCTGACACAGAGATGAAGTGAGAGAGCTCTGGTAAGATAAACAAAGCTGCAAATCTAAAATGAGATGTTCTCCACGGCTACACTCTAAAGAACCTCATAAACGTGTACACATCTCTGCACAAATGTGCAGGAGCGTGGTTTGTTTACAGCTGAAGCCATGTTTCTTCCTGCCTGCTGTTTGTTTTGCTGCCCTCTGTGACAACCCCGACACTGCCAGCTCTACTCATTCACAGGTCAGCGAACACTGACGTTTGTTAGGTTTTTGTAACATCTAATTAAAACACACATTATATTTATGTCTGTTTTAGTCAGAGAGCAGATGATAGGGACAGTGGTACCACACAGTGTGTTTTCTGTCAGTCCTAACTTGTGGACTGTTGAGTGGCTGCTTCACACCACTGTGACTTTTTCCTGACCAGCTCTGTGTGCAGACTGAAAATCATCATGACACAAAAATTTAATCTAATCTAAAGCATGACATAAGGAATCGTCAGACATTTGTTCTTTCTTTTGCATGGCGACGTATCGTGCGTATCCAAACCCACTCAGGCGTTGTGCTGCGTGACATGGAATCAATCGTCTGTGGGGAATAATATACATTTAGTTTGGACTGCAGCTGTAATCTGGATGTGAAAATGCAAGATATACTTTTTATTCTCGGAAACCTTACAAAATTCAAAGAATCACAAAATGATAATGAGGGAAGGATATCTTTATTTTTTGTGTCAGGTTTTGTAGGCCACCCACTAATGCCAGATTGGTGGTAAAAGAAATTATGCCTTAGGGGATTTTTTATGCACAGTGCCCCTTTTAGGGAGAATGAGACTTACTGACTGGCTATTATACTTGTCCATGTCCACCTCATGCCATAGGCGGGTGTCTTTGTGAGCACTTCAATAGATCAAACACATTTAGGCCATTGGACAAAAGGAGAACAGCCTGGTTTTACACTCTTCTTTTTCCTCTGCACACAGCAGTGAGAAGACAGCACATGGCACACACGTTTCTCCTGCTGTGATGTTTTTTCCAACTGTGAATCTTAATGTTCCATTGAGCTCCTTGCACATTTAAAAAGAGCTTTTGTAACTTAGGTTGGAGCTGTATGAAAGACTTACTTGTATGTATCTTGTCAGACTAAACTTTTGGACTTTTGAGTTTACACACGACTCAACCTTTGACATTTCCTCCCACGGATCAGTGCTCACTATCAGGTCTGGTGTGTTTTCCATCCTGTGACAGAGATATCTGGAATATGAGCAGAGAACATTAAAAAAGTTAGCAGGAGAACATGTCGATCTTGTTGTGTAAGTGATTCATTTCATCCTGATGGTGTCATAAAACAGTTTTAAATTAAAACTTGGAAACATTATTTGATATTTTTCAGGCTGTTCAGCTTAAACCTTGACCTTTCTCTGTAGGGTCAGTCCTTCTCATACAACACCCTCATATAAAGTTGCATGACTGACACCAGCTGTATTACGTACATGAATGTTTGATATACATTTTAGTGTTGAAAGAAAGTGACAAAGAATACAGCTCTCTTAATGAAAAGCACACGTCCTATCATGTTTGTTCTTCCATGCTCCAGGACGGGACAGGGCAGCCTCGGAGAATAGGTGTGGTTGCACTGACCACAACGTTGAGTCATATTTCCGGATGCAGCCGCCAACACACACGACATGCCGCCAGTGAACTTCCACCCACAACAGCGCCCACTTAGCCCCATTTACACTGTCAGGGGGGCTGTGGGGGGACGGGACTTGTTGCTGCTGTGTCATGCAGAATGTTTACAGAGCAGAATTAGTGCTGAGGGGTGAGGTTCCCCCTCGAGTTTTCCCTGATTAGGCTTAATTCAGCAGGTTGTTGCCCACTTGTCCTATCTGTTTGCTGCTGAGCAGAGAAAAGTGGGAAATGGTGTTCTGTGTCAAGGCTGAGGCTTTCTTTTCTCACAACAACAGCACTTAGTGCAACTGAGTGAACCAGCGCTAAATATAGCCAGACGCTGGGCCAATGGCGTGGCAGCAGAGTGTGTGGATGTGTAATTTGTGGATGTGGGCAGGTGCATTTTAATACTTTTCGGTTGAAATTGGTGCAAATGTACTTGTGGGTGTAAGACAGGGGTTTAGTTCCTAATATATCATGCAGGTATTGGACTTTGTTAATCAGAAATTTAATTTCCTGCTGATGTGATGGATGTTCCTTTCCTGCAGATTATCTGCATATTCAAATCCTGAAGTGACTTCTGTCCAGGGTTTAATTAAGGCTCATATGACAGAGAAATTAAAGTCACCGTTAATTTTAATGCAAAGTGTATTTCTTTTGACTGATAAGGTCATCTATAGTACTTTGTTCTCCACACTACTGTAAAAAGAATCTGTTTTGATTTTGAACGTTTTTTAAGGACAATACGATTCTGCAAATGTAGACTTTGAGCAAGACATGGAATGATTTCTACAGTGAAAACTAAAATCAGTCACATCAGGTATTAAATTACCGCACGTTGTTCCAAATTTGCCGTATAGCTCCAGTCTAAAATGTAATGTTGAGACTGCAGGACATACTGTGGATCCAAAAAGCTGTTGAAGATGTCAGAAACCTGCATCCTCCACCATGGAGATGGAGCTGTTGTCCACAGTGATGATTTCACCCAACTCCTCCATCATCCTGTTTTAGCCTTTTCCCTCTTTTTAAGGATATTTGTCCTTCCGGTTGAGACCAGACTTGGTGCTTTTGCCCTGCAGCCTTTCCTCTGTTACTTTAGTGAATACACTGTACTCCGCTGCATGTTTGGATTTTTGATGTGGTATCAAATTGGAAGGAATAAACACAACTCTTCTACTACCCCTTGCAAAATGATTCCTTGTTTTGCTGTTTTTTGTTTGCCAATGCTAAGTTCTGTGTGTATTTGCATTCTCTTTAGGATGGCTGATGTAAATGGTCGAGGTGAGCTGGTTGACTCCAGATTGGCCCTGATCTGATAGCTGAGTTTGGGACGTACCTAATATTTTGATTTTAAACCTAATATTTGGTACATACTCTTTAACACAAATAATCAGACCACTTAGATAAGGAGAGCATAAATCATAATGTTTCAGAACACACAAAGGGAGGTTTGTTTGTAAGTGAGATACTCAGCATTATAAAGTCATTGAGGATAAATTCAATAACCCTGATTATCCCAAAAATGGAAATTTGCCATGGTCAGCTGTTCATAATCTAGTATAAGACCTTAATTCATCCCGTCCTCTGTAATAGGTTTGATTGTTTGATTGGCTCTTTTGAAGTTAAATGACCCTTTTTTACACCCTTGCCTGTTATTTCATTGACAAAAAACCATGAATAGATCAATCAGGAAAACTAGGACAGTTTATTTGATAACCAAACAACAGGAGTAAAAGTGTTTGGGTCATTCGGCCCTGAGGTCTTGTGTCCTCCGATTTTATGAATGTAAATGTGTGTAAGTGTGTATTTCATTGTGAAATTGATCTCATACCATCTGCCTTTATGGGCTTTTCCCCTTCAGGCTGCTGTCTTCTTCTTCTTCATCAATGATGACTTTATTTTTACTTTCTCACCACATCCCTTAGGGCGAAAGAGGACAATTTCTCTGGTTTGAATTTTGAATAGCTCCTCTAATCAATCTTTCATTGCAATATGGAGTATCTTTCTAATTTGGGACACTTTATTAGTATGTGCCGGCCCACTTTCCGATCTGCCATCTTAAATATTTTACATGCTGTCATTATCTGAGGACAAAGAGTGAGTGCATGAATGTTCAGTTTCTGGCTTCTGTGATCAGTCATCTCTCATCTTGGTGACAGTATTGATACAGTGCAGTGCGACTCCATTCAGTGTAGACTGTTGTTGTGTTACTATTCCTGGCTGTCTTTCAGTTATAGTACCACAGAGTAAAGCTTGTTGTTAGGCTGATGGTGCGTGACGGTGAGTGTGTGTATTTTTAGATGCTGGCCCTTGTGTTTTTATTATGATCATGTGAGCAGCAGCAGCAGCAGATGTCTGTTGAGCTCTGGAGTTGCCAAGATAACGGAAAGCTCACCTGCAGATGGAGTCCAGCTGAGTTTAGTCCTGAAAGAGCTCAGGTCATTTAAGGACTCGGTCCGAAATCCGCCTCCTGTCACACCTACTGTTCACTCTCTCCTCATGTCTCTTTCACTGCTGCAGTGCAGTTTGGCAACGGCAGGGTGTCCGAGTCCGACTAGATAAAGACTCTACAGGTTTAAAGACGTCTTATTACGCGGCCTCAGCATTTTCTTAACAGTTTAAAGATGGAGTGGACGTTTTCTGTAAGTGTGTGTGTGCACTGTTCAGCCGTTTCTCCCTGTTCTTCTGGAACACTGAGTTCCCACACAGCCTATATACACTCCAGCATGCCAGTGAGCACATAACAGAGCAGCAGAGGGTGAACTGTTTACAGGGCCTTAGGACACAGCAGACATATACATTCACATGTTTATTCACATGTATGCATTTATCACATCTTACTGAACTACAAGGGCCTATTACATCTACAGATTTATCCCAAACTTCCCTGTTTTGGCTCTTTTTAAATGAAAGATGCCTCTATTAATAGTCCCCCTAAAAGCCACTTTGTCCAAAGACTTTAGAAACTGTCATACTAAATCAAATTTTTGTATACTTTAGATTTATTTCCCGTCATCTTTCATAACTCAAGGATAATTCAGACGGAGGAGATTCTTGCCCATGGCTGTGCACGATGTTCTTAGCGCAGCATGCTCTGTCACTGACACTCCTCTACAGCCCGCAGGAATAAGGATGCTTTATATCAAGCTGATTAAGACTCGATCGCTCACTTTTGTCAAGACCATTTTTATCCAAAGAGCTTATTTATTTCTAAAACAAGCCGTCGTCAGCGTCCCTTAAGAGACCCCCTTTCCTGTCATTTATGTCCTGAAATGCCCCCGTGGTTATTTTAAGTAATGGTGCGCAGCTCTAAATGACAGCAGATCTCATTGTAACGTCCTCAGGGGATTTCACTCTTTTGTTGTGATATCTCTATTAAGATAAACGAGTTGTGCCTGGCGTAACCTCATGGGCTCTCGGAAGGTCAGAGGGCAGGTACGTTTCCTCAGGATGCTGCTTGTTGACTTGTGGAGAGTTATTTTCTGTGAAGCTCCTTCAGGAAACACGTGCTCTGCCCGTATTTTCTGCAGCTCATTTGTCTTGGTCACGTAAACATGGTTCAGTCTCATCATGGTCAGTCTCACTCATGCCAAAGGCAGCAGAAAATAGTCACTGCAGTCAGTTAAGATCGAAGGCTATGTCACCAAAATCTTTCCAAACCAAGTCATACCAGAAAAAATCATATATTTGGTGCAAGCTGGATTTATTGACACTGACTCTGACATTTTGATACACTATCATTAAGAAATATTACTGTATACACAGAGACAGTGCCTGTTCTCATTTATGATGGTGTACCTGAGGCCTGCTGAGTTTTAACAGTCTTACAGGCGTTCTTGTTGTTAGCTGGATTATTCATTGACTCCAGCTCTGACTGTTCTGTGTTTTTGGTTGGGCATTCTTTGGCTGATGCATGATGGGAAAGGCACAGACCATGACTCACGAGGAGTGAGAATAAACACAATGCCCTGTGGGAATGGCTTGTCCTGCCAAATGTAAACTCCACATACCTCCCTAATCTGTCACTGTGGCAGGCACTAAATAGGGCACCATGTTGGCCACTTCTCCCTGCTGTAAATTTTGATCAAAATATTTAAATGTGTTTTCCAGCATTACAATCACTGCAAATGATGTGTTTGTGGGTGCACCCTCAGATGAATCATAGCTGTTTTAAGTTGTTTTTCAATTTATCAGGAGAAATATGTGTTTGTTGACATAATGAAACAACTGTCATAATTCAGCCTGTTGTTACGGGGCTGTGCCCACATTGACTGACATATCAAGAAAACATTAACATGCTCGGACTTGCTGTAACTGTTGTTCTTTAAAAAAGACGAGAGTTTCTCTCAGCACACACACAGCCTGAGGAGGGTTGCTGCAGAGGTCAGAGACCTGTGGATAAATAGCGGAATAAGTTTTGTGCCCATGCTCGGTGTATTTTTGGATAACTGATTAGTTTGGGAAATTTTCCTTATATAGTCAGCTGCAGCAGCATGAAGGCTCTAGTTTGCCCAGAAGGTGGAAAAGCATTTCACACCCACAACTTCAACATTTGTGCTTTTGTTAAGAGTGTGCTCGGGGTAACCACTGCTTCAAGTGGAATAAAAAATCAGTGCCAGCCTTCCCCTTATTTGTAAATGTGTGTATTGTGCAGAGATAACCGTAAATAATCAGTCTTCTGTTCTAAAGTTCACACTTAATTAATTTACCTCAAGTTTTATATATATAGATTTTATAAAGTAGCTTTGCTGCAGGGCGCAGATAAGTCAGATCAGGCTTTCACTTGGTAGAGTCCCCACAAAGATAAGAGAGGACAGAAACTGTCTGAGGAAGAAAATAAGAGCAGAGAAAGAGTCATGTGGTGACCGAACCTAAATTAACATGAATTGATGTAGACGTGTGTTGTCGTCATCCAGCTCTGCTTCTTTCTGCCCTTTGGTAACTAGGCCAACTTCCTGTTTATCTAACACTGCCGTAGAGATTTGTAGGTTCTTGTTAGTTTGACGTTTCTCTCTGGCAAAAACAGACGTGAGTGAGTGTGTGTGTGTGTTGTGTAACACCTGTTACAGGTAGTGTGCCATGGATAACATGTTTGGAGTGCTCGTGTGAAACCCTCAGAGAAAGTGTTTTATGGAGTGGACAAATAAAAGGTACTTTATGAAGAAGGCTCAGTCCGCTAAAAAAACAGACGTTTAGGAGTGATGGTGCTGTGTACTGGAGCACTGTGTGTAACAGGAAGAGTCATTTTGGGGGATGACACTTTTGATGTGCTAATTTCCATCCCCAGTCCCATTTCAGTTTGAACTGTTGAAACCAAAGCTTGTTTTTTAATCATTCAGTAATAAATGAAACTGAAATAACAGCCACAGAAATCATTGTAACAGAAATTCATGCCGATCTGAAACTTCACCTTAATGGATTTCATGATTATAGGGAAGATGAAGTTTTGGTTTCCTCTGAAACAGGAGAGCAGCTCTAAGTTATGTCAGGTTCAAAACCAGTTAACGGTCTTCGTTCTGTAACAGGTTGAACAGGAAAGTCCCTGTTTTCTATTGAGTGGGTGTAAACTTTGTAAAAAAAGCAAAACCAATTTGGTGCCGTCATATTTTTAAACCGACTGTTGAACTGAGAGAAAAAAACAGGGAACCCTCTCATTTCCTCATTCCTGTAAAATTGTATACAGTTGAGTCTTTTCCAGACTGTGGTATCACTCTGGGGGTTTTATGGAGTCTCTGGTGGTCTGACCACTGTCTCTTGGCTGACCACCTTGACTAATACATGACGAATTTCATATCATCAATGAAACCAGCCTGCTGACACTTCTCTAAGTTTCTTTTTGGTCAGGGCAGAACATGATAAACTGTGTCTGTTTATTTAAAGTTTATCAGAGAGTCTCATTAAACTCGTTTTTTAACTCCATTCATTCATCGTTGTTTTCTCTCACACTTCCCGGAGGGAGCTGTCTGCCAGTGAAGGAAGGGAGGTAGTGTTCCTCCCCAGAGATAAACAGCAGCAACATTTGGGTGAGGAGGATGTGTTGGCGCTGCTTCCCAAATCCAGCGCCCAACAGTCTCATGAGATGTGAGAGCACTTGAAGGCCATGACACTGGATCCAGCACTGATAAGATAGGGCATCCATAAAGGAAGTGCAGTTCAGATGAGGAACAGCCAAACAGGATGTTGGGAAAGTGAATCTCTCTCTCTTTCTCTCAGGAGCAATGACGCAAACTTAGCCTAATGGATAACAAATCTATGTCCTGTACATTTTCTGCAGTGCTGCTCTTTTTTTTTCCCTCAGAGTTTGCACTGAAAAAAAAACATCAGGATACTCCTGGAGAGTGCTTTGTGAACAAGAAAAGATGTGTGTGTCTGTCTGTGTGTTGTGGGGTTTTATGGATGGAGAGGAGGACACAGCTTTGCACAGGAAGCTTCTCTAAAATGCCATTTCCAGCCGTGGCCTTGGGGCCCCTGAATTATACCCTCAGCGGGACTAAAAGGCCACTTTTCCTCCAGAGAAATCTAAAAAAAATATTTATCTTCTCCTCGGAGTTGTGTGCTTTGTTTGAGGTGGGAGAGGTACCCCGCTGAAACGCTGAAAAAAGGGGTCAGAGCTCCTTTTTTAGCCCCAAAGTCAGACGCCGTGGTACTTCAACCGCCAATTTCACACTTAAAGTTCGACCTCAATCTCCTCGACAATTATCTAAATGATAAGTGTTAACGTAGAATGTCCTCCCTGTCTTCTGGGGCTCTAACAGTCTCCCAATTATTTACTTCCTACATACACAAGAATCAAAACAGGCTGTAATGAAAGAGTTCTGTGTCTATATTAAGAAAAAAATGTAATTACTGTGTCATTGTTGTGTTTGATTTACTCGTTGCTAAAACTCTGTCCAGACTGTCGCACTCGTGGTTCTTAAATTTCATTTTTTTTCTTGCCTTAATTGTTTTCTAAGAATAGTTTTCATCGTTTCCACAGGACTCAGAATAAGAAATGTTATTTGTCTGTGTCTCATTCAGTAAAACCAGGACACGCCTCTTGAATTTTTTTTTTTCCACACTTGCAGTGATCTGACATGATTTCCCTCGTGTTCACAGAGCTGCCAGATTGTTAGGTTCAGGTCGGGGAGCGGTGATGCTGCTGGAAGCGTCCAGCGTTTGTGTCGTGTTTACACTGTAGTGATGGCTTACTCAGCTGTTGGAGTCATCACATCCAACCTGCAGCAGGCTGTTTACTTTTCATTCAGCTGCACAACAAGGAAATAGAGGACAAGTTTTAACACCAGAAGAAAACAGGATTATACATTTTTGACTCTTGTACAATCTGATGTAGATGCTTCAAAACTGTGCAGGGATTAAACATGGACAACATTCATGCAGAATAACAAACCACTCACACTCCACAATGGCTTCAGCATCTGATGGTCCTGCCTCTGCCCTGAAATATGAGCTGAAAATACCAGAAGCTTGACAGGAAATGCCGAGCTCTCAGGCATTTATGAACGTAAAATGAAAAGTTCATACCACAGGATTCTCGAATAGCTGCTTTTCTCTTGTAGCGTTTCCCTCTGGGTTTTTTGTTGTTGTAAAAAAGCAGAACTGAGACTTTTATGAATCATTTCCCCCTTTTTCTGTTTTCAGGTGATTACTGTAAGGTGAACGTGTGCAGTAATGGTGGAACATGTGTGACCGGGGCAGGAGCTCCGTTCATCTGTATCTGTCCTGACGGCTTCACTGGAGAAACTTGCAATGAGACGGAGACCGGTGAGTAATATCTCTGAGATCCAAATGTCAATGAAGTATAAAGAGATGGAGGTTTAGTTTTTCCTTTCTGCTGATTTGAGGCTGTGATAAATGATGAGAGCAGAGAAGAAAAACTACAGACGCTAAAAATCCTTCACTTTAGCCTGGAGTTGAAATCAAATACACTCCACACAGGACGATCTCTGATAATCATTGTCTTCTTCTGTTTCCCTCTCAACAAAAAGGACCGTGCAACCCCAACCCCTGCAAGAATGACGCCATCTGCGAGGTGAGGGGGAACACACGTCGAGGTGACGTCTTCAGCGAATACGTCTGCAAATGCCAGCCGGGCTTCGATGGAGTCCACTGCCAGAACAGTGAGTTACTGCAGCCTCTTTTATGCTTATTTATCTTCTGACAATTAATGACCATAACTGTTTCCTGTAGAGTTGGGTTATAAGTTTGAAATGATGATTTACAGTCTTGTTTTTACTCTATTTGAGATCCTGGTGAAAGTTGTTTGGTGTTTTAACTCTTTGAGAGGGTTTCTTCCAGGCCTCAAGGGTCGACTATGAGTTAAGAATGTCACCCGTCTCGGACAAAACAACCAACTTTTGCTTTATTTATTTTATGTCTTATTGAACAAGTAACCACATTTGTCTGTCACACATTTAGTCATCATCACAGTCGTTGGTCCTGATCATTTCATGAAAAGATCACAGAGTTGTTGCTGTGAATTCGTTCAACTTTAAGCTCCTCTAGCTTTACACAAGGAAAAATCTCAGTGATGCTGCCAAAATAAATATATTTGCAATCTGATAGCAACAATAATAATACAGTTTCCTTGTTTTTTTTCTTTGTAACCTGACACACACACACACATACACACACATACTGTAAGATGGAAACAGCTGCTGCGTGCTGGCCACCAAACAGGCAGCTGTCTCCCTAATGGGAGCTTCATTCACTCGTCACACAGACCAGGTTGGTTCAGTCAGGGTCATCTCAAGACAGGGACCCAACTCTAGGAACATGTGCTGCACTCCTCCAACCGCCTGCAGCCCCCCCCCCCACACACACACACACACACACACACACACACACACACACACAGACAGATGGCTACTGTTTGTGTGAGAGGGAGGAAGAAAAACAGTAGCCAAGTGTTCACAAAGAAGCAGCTTAGAGGGAATCAAGTGGAAATCTCAGGAGAGGCCTATTTTGAATTTGTGCTTGATCATGTTTGCCTTTTGATCCTAGGTGTCCAAGGCGCAGATTTAATAACAGAAGAAGGTAACAGGAGGGAGAGACTTCTGTGTGTGTTTGTGATCTGGGCTGTGTGGACTCTTTCCTTCTTTGATCCAGGTGCTCTCTGCTCTCAAGGCTGCATGTGGAGGCTGTGGAATATAACACACAGGCACACACATAAACACACACACAGTATGCACAAACACACAAAGACAAGGAACTGCTGAGTTCAGCACTATCTCCCCTTGTGTCTGAGAAGAGGCTGCAAGACCAAGTCCCAGAAGCTACACACCCCGCTATCGGGTTAACTCCCTCATGCCTGAGATTAGGGCTGGGCGATAAACAGATACTGAAATTTATGACAATAACTGACGTCATTTTGCCTATCAATATATCCGGTGTCAAAAAAGGAAATAAATCAAAGTTGGTTTTGGATGTGTGTAGGTAGGCTATGGTCTCATGTCCCTTTAAGACGCTGTCCTACATCAGAGACGTGACTCCACCCCATCCAGTCCGTAACAAAGAGGGAAAGACAGGTGAGGAGATGGAGGACGGTTCAAAAGTTGTAGTGGCTGAAGTAGACAAAGTAAATGTGGGAGGGGGTGAGCAGCTTGTGGAGTAGTTATCGTTCATTTATCATAATTGAGGTAAACTAATCAATATATTGTGATATTGATTTGAGGCCATGATGCCCAGCCCTACCTACCAGCCCTAGATGTTAGTTAAAGTCTACAAAAACTGCTCATCCAGATATCCTCTCATGGAGAATGATACTCCCTCAAACCTTGTGGAAACTCCTCATCTTCTCTCTTGTTGTTTTAACCGTCTATTTAAATCTGTAACTCTCTGGTCGGTAGTTATTCTGCAGACGTTCTCGGTCTACTGTAAATAACACTGCCCTGTTAATTATTTGTATTTGAACTTACCCAAGAGAGCCACAAATCACAGCTCATCAAAATCCATAGATTCACATATTCCTCTTGGCAGGCACTTTTGGCCCCGCTGCCAGAAGAAGAAGAGCCCTCTGCAGAGCGGGCTTTTACACTAATTAGATAATGCTTCAGGGATGATCATGGTGAGGGGAATTTATTTGACCTTGTTGGTTTTTTGAGAACCCCCCTGAGTGCCGTCTTGTCAGGGAGGCGCCCCTCCATTCACAAGCACTGATGAGTGTGTTGTGACAGTTTAAGTGCTCTCTAATTTGTGTGCATGTGTGGGCAAGAAGCGAGGGTCACGACAGCCAGCTCCCGCCGCGTGTGTGAAACAGACAGAAAACCAGGGACTGTGGCGAACTCAGGGAGGAAGATTGTGTAATTAAACATTTAACTATCCTCATCCTCACTTATGCATATGATGATAAACATTTGAGGAGTCGTGTTAATTTAGGTTGCCACAATCCTCTTTTTCGAGGTCAATTGTGAACACAAAGATTGACAATTTCAGTCTTGACAGAGTGGAGCCAGATGTAAAGTAGGCTTTTTTCTCGACCAAACCACTGCATCAAGAAAAAAACTATAAATAGAAAAGTACAACAGTCAAGAGGTGGAAGATTGAACAGTTGGGAATAGAAAGTGGAAAAAATAGCAACATCTCCTCCAAAAAGAACGGGACTGAAGGAAAAACAAAGGAAAATTTTATTTTTGAGGATCAGGAGAAAGTTTAGAGCGGTCCTCTTACTAAAAAGATTCACAATTCCTCTCTAAGGAACAGAAAACAACTCCTGCTCCTACTTGAACAACCACACACAGCTCATGATCTCATATACACACTGTTTTAGCATACACACACACACACAGTTCATCCCTCGTTGGCAGTCTAGCCAACAGAAAGTGGCGGTCCACGCTGAGCGCTCGTAGCGTCAGCGCTGCTACTGTTGCCAGGCGGAAAAGTGAAGGTGGAGGCGGAACAGTGAATTAAATCTGCCCTCCTGACAATGTCACACTCGCCGCTCAGGTCTGACTGCAGCACCTCCAACTGTCCTGCCAAATAGTCCTGAAAGCTTTTATGATCTGCAGAGAGAAAGTGTGCGAAGGAGAATGTAGAGAAGTAGACGGAGAGAAAGAGATAGCAGCAGATGGAGGATGAGGCGGAAGAGGGAGTGTGTTTTCCTAACCATCAGGGTCTGAATCAAAGCTTTTCAGAACAGATTAGTGCAGATATTTGTTACTTAGGGGTGTGTGTTTATGCTGGTGCCGCTTTAGCAGATGTTTTGAAAGGGTTTTCAGCTCCTCCCAAGATGTGGTCCTGTGGGCAGACTGGGCACAATGCCCCCTGTGGACTACAGGGTTAGTAAAGACACATGTGAACCAGTGTTTGTGTGTTTTTGTTTGTGTTGTCAGGGGTCTGCCATGTGTTCGCCGGTTTACTTTTCATTATCAGGTTAAATTGTCTCATTTGAGGCCAACATGGAATCAAAACATGCTCTTGAGTGACACCAACAGCTGATCGCTTCAGACTGAAGTTCACAGGAAATCATCAACGTGAGACTGAAAGGCTTCTATTATTAAGGCTTGTACGATAGAGCAACAAAGTTAGCACTTTTGAAATCCAGGATTTGATCTATTTTTGGGGTTTGTTAAGACTGGTTCTAGTCAAAACTAAATGACTCTCATCGTTGCACCTTGTTTTAGAGTCGAACACAGTTATAAATGTTATATAAATGTCTTGATGGAGGAGGAAATCATTATAATGAGGTTTGCTGAGAAAACATTCAGGTTTCCATCTTTAACTCCACTTCTGTTGACCATTGAGAAGTTGAGGGGATGAGTATCCTGCTTGAAGTCCTTCATAGACACAGAAAACCACAGTTGTGTATCTGTGTAACCATAATGTGGTGTTGAATAACTCAACACACTTAGTCAGGGAAAATCCATCTTCTCTCACTTCAAAGACGGACGATTTTATATTTAAACCACAAGGATAAAAAAAGACAACTCTGTCAACATGACGATTTATATCCCTGACTAAGAGGTTAGTCAGAGGAACTTCCCTCTTTATAATGGAAAGACAAAATTAATGAGTGTAAGTTCCAGCTAACGAGAAGACGAGTGTCTGAATGTAAAAATTCATTGAAGTTCAGGTTCAATCAATGTGCATTTACAAGATTAAGCTTTTATCGAACGGTGCGGTGGATCAGATTCCTCTATGATGGATTCAGAGTGAGCGTAGAGAAACAAAGCTGAAATCAAAAATCTGTAAATAAACTTTCTGACATCAGAAGTTTCATCTCAGCATCCTGGCAGAGATCTGATCCATAGTTATTCCTGCTGCTACCGGATCTCCCTGCTGCACCGCTGCCAGTCCAAAGAGGACACGGCAAATTATACATCTGGAAACTCGTCTTGTATTTCATTAAATAATGCCGTTGTGGTTTTATACGGTGACCTTAATGCCCACAGAGCACCCTTTGGTTACTTTGCCATGGAAACAGTGAGAGTGAAAATGAGAGATTAGAAATGTGTAATTTTATGTTGGTCAGAAGAAAGGACCAACTTAAACTCTGTGAAACACTCTCATGAAAAAGCGTGGTGGTGATTGAATTCATGCTTTTGTAATGAATTTAAAAAAGCATATTAGGATCATTAAGATGATCTTTTTTATTGTTGTCCTTTTCTTCCTCACAGTCTCTGCTCTTTGACTTTGAGGAGAAGTGTTGTCGTCCGACCGTAACCATCACAGATGGCTCAATTTAGGACTCAGTTTGAGTTGCTTTTGGGCTGAGACCTCAGACTGTGAGTTACAGAGAACAGGAGTTTTAGTACAACACCATCTACTCCTCTCACACAGCAACACAAAAGCAGCTCCGGCCTTCAGATGCTGACTCGCACCCTTTTTTTAGGCCTGAATCCTGCTGTCCACAGCACAGATCCTGGATATTCAGTAGGTAGCTTTGCTGATCACCACACACACTGCCAGCTGACCTTGGCTTCGCATCGATCGAGGTCAGGTTTCAAACAAGCAGTGTGAGATTTGATTGGTTTTCACTTCATGCTGGGACGGATATTGACGATCTAAACACTGTGTGCTGTTTCTGGTATCAGCTATAGGCTCTGTAGAGATGTTCTGTTGCGCACATCCTCTGCTTTCCAAATTCTATATTTATATGCCAACTGTGTACTTGGAGCAGATGCAGCTAAGTTTGTACCAGCTGATCAGATGACAACATTGTTTTAATCGGTTTGTATTTGTAGGGCTGGAAGCGTCTCTGAATGTCCTGGTATGACTGAAGTTAGACTACATGTCTATTTAAGCACCTCTACCTGCATGAGGGATCCTCCTAGGCTCTTCCCTTCCTGACCCCCTTCTGGTTGTGAGGTCAGTGGATTAGATTCTGGAGCTGACCTGGCTGTTTGGTTCTCTTGTGCCCAATCCTCTTACTGGAGAGCCACCAGATGACACGTCAGGACCGGAGTTTCCATCAGTCTGTCATTAGTTCCTGATACAGGTCTCTGGGTTTGGACAACTCGAGGTTTGGTTGCTTGTTCTGTAATTTACTTTGAGTACTCAGGCCTGTAAAAGTCTGAGGCAAATGCATCCTGGACGTCTTATAACCTTTAAACTCGGTGGCTGCTTTGGGTTTTGGGTTTTGTTTTTACTTCCTCCTACTCTCAGTTTCTTAATAAATGATACCGTACAACTTTAAAGGGAATGTAGCCCCAAAAATCGAATTAATCCAATTGTCATGATTTAGCATCAAGAGGAGTCCTGACTGTGGGCCTCATTATCCAGAGTTTTTGGATGCACATTTCAGACTGACTGTATTCCTCCTGCGACTGTTTGGATGCAGAGCTATTTATGGAGCGCGCATGTGGGTAGGGAGATGCTGCCATGTGTGCGCTCGTCAGATAGAAGCATAACATCAGCGTGGCCGGGCTGTTCGCGTGCGTTTTCGTCCATAATAACAACCTCAGAGGGTCTAAGCTCAGAGACTCACTGAGTCTCCGTTTTGGTGAGCAGTCATCTGGACAACCGGCAAGGTTTTTGCCTCTGCGTGGTCAACCTAGAGCGTGTTCAAAGTGGGTTTAGTCACACTGACAGATCTGGTGGGTGAGAGATGAAAAGGAGTTTGAGTTTGTTTCCATGTAGTGCTGCTGATTCGTTTCCCTCCCTCTGACTCATCAGACTCTAAGCTGGAGGGATTGTGTTGGAGGAGGCGCCATCAAGAGGCCAAACAGAGCGTTACAAGAGTATTCAGCGTGACATTTCTCTGATCCGGCCTTTGATGATGAATTAGCGTCCTTCCAGAGACATGTTACTCTTGAAAGTTTGGTATTTTACTAAAGCTGACAGTCACACAGACACACTCCATTACATACACACATCCTGACAGCATGAGCGCCCAGTGAGAGAGACTGGCTTCTGGTTTCTAATTTCTCAGACAGTGAGGGACAGAAGCTTCTCTCCTTTACAGCTCCAGCTCCTCTCAGCATGGCTTTAACTAATCCTGATGTGAACCAGCTGAAGAATTATAAACCTCATTGATTGAGCATGTCATGTGATCTTTACTCACACTTCTAACTGATTCTGATCTCCCATGTGACCAGATGATAACAGTTGATCCTGCAGCTGTTATTTAACTCTGACCACACTCTTCTGACTTCATTTTTTCTCGCCCTGTAGACGTGAATGACTGCGCCGCTCAGCCGTGTGAAAACGGAGGCACCTGCAGGGACCTGGAGGGAGACTTTAAATGTCACTGTCCGTCTCCTTATGTGGGCAAACACTGTCAGCTGCGTAAGTGTGACCAGTCATCACTCCTAATCTGCACAACATTCATGTCTCCAAAACAGACATGGTTTACTTAGAGTCCCAGAGAGGCAACAGTGCAAAAAAGAAACGTGCACCCCAACACAAAAAGACACAAAACAAAGTAAGCAGAGTTTTTACACTAGCTGTTATAAAGTTTCTTGTAGCCTCTGAGAGTTTTTATAGATGGAAGGGTCCAGGGTTTCACTGGCAATTTAGATGCAAATGAAGCTCATACTTTCCTTACCCTTGACAAAGGAGTACAAACTGCTTCATTGTGGCCGTTATCGTCTCCAAAACGTAAAAACTTTCAACTGTTTCCTGCTGCATTTTGTCTTTGGGAGGAGACACCAGCTGTGACTTTCCTTCACAGACAAAACAACATGTACAAGGAGCTTTCTGGGACATACTGGATCAGCAAAGTCCGCTGGGTGGTCATGCCCCTCAGTTTTATCCTAATGGGACAGCAGAGACCGGAGTCAGGTTCAGGACAAGTCTGATGAAGTTTTTCCAAACCAGCTGCTCAGTGAAGCTAGAAAACTCATTCAGGAATCTCATGAAAATCCAGGTGTCTCATGTTTGGAAACTTTACAGAGGTTTAAGGCGGACATCCAGCATGGTAACATATATGAGAGAAATGAGTAGGATAAAAAATCTCCTTTGAACACAAAAGAACAAACAACAAGGTCACCAAAGAGTATGGCGATTGTTGGAGGGGATGCCTTGGTATAGTATGAAGTTTAAGGTGAGTTCTCAGTAATAAAGAGTGCATCTAAGTTAACGTCTCTGCCGCAAAACACAAGGACGTTTCTGTAGTATAAACTTAATGGTAGAAAAACACAAAGAGTTAACTGAGAAGAGCATCAATCTGAGAAAGAGCGCTCTCTGTGAACGTAAGGTAACAGTCTGTCTGCTCACTTTCTGCTTCATTCACAAACTGAACCATGGGGTCAAAGGTCACATTTAAGTCTAATCATGCCTTCTCACGGACAGCCCATCTTCAGAAACTGTTCAGGAGATAAATCCAATGTACTTCTGTAGCAAGTCTGAACTTCACTTCTTATGTAAGTATTTCACTTTGAGTTTTCCAGTCTGCTCACTGAACTCTAAAGTGATGCTGTACTCTTCGTCAGCGTTGTAGAAACTTTAATATGAACAAAAGTCGAACCGAAGGAGATCGTCAATGATAATGGGAGCTGGAAGGTGGCCCAGCTGCCTTTTAAGATGATGGATATGCAGCACATGGAGAGCCTGCCAGACTCTAAAACCAATAATTGAGTCTTTTAATTGGATTCAGAGCTCGCCTTCCTAATCACTGTCTGCTCCGTGCAGCTCAGTTCAAGAGTGAGACATGAATACTTTTTAGATTTTAGACTCAGACTTTTTTCTTTCTTCTTCGCTTTTCTAATTGTGCGCTTCTCAAAAAGATGTGCCCGACAAATAAATGACAGCAGCAGAAATTTAGCTAGAAACAAGTTCTTTTTATGATTGTTCGAGTGTAAAATCCAACCCCTCATCTCTTCCCTTTAGGTTGTATTTCTCTGCTCGGTATGGAGGGAGGGGGCATCGCAGAGTCCCAGATCTCAGCCTCATCGGTCCGCTACAGCATGCTGGGTCTGCAGCGCTGGGGGCCTGAACTCTCCCGTTTGAACAACAAGGGACTGGTTAACGCCTGGAGCCCCGCCGCACATGACAAGAACCCGTGGATACAGGTAATAATGGGGCCGAGCTGCGCCAAAGACGTGTGCGTTAATATGAAAAAGATCGCCTCACTGGAACTTGTATTTTAAAGCTGCATCTATTATCTTTCCCAACGTCTTCATCCTGTTTCACTTTCTCTTCCTCCTTTCAGATCAACATGCAGAGGAAGATGAGGTTCACAGGTATCGTGACGCAGGGCGCCAGTCGCATCGGAACAGCCGAGTTCATCAAGGCCTTCAAGGTGGCTTCAAGCCTGGACGGAAAGACCTACACCATGTACAGAATTGAGGGAGAGAAGAAGGACCGGGTAAGGAGACAACCCGACATAACTCACGACTTATTACAGTTGTTCACACACATTTTATCTTCATCTGTTTAAGGTAAGAGCCGCCACTGTGTGTGTGAAAAAAAGAGAGCAGCTGATGCAGCGAGTGTGTGCTCTCATGAGGTCTTGGAAAAACAACCCTGTGTATATTCAGTGCATGTTTTTAGATTTGTGGCCAACTCTTACAAAAATGAGTCTAAATCTGCTTAAAAGTGTCCCGAAATCATCTTCATCTCTCGCCAGTTTTGTCCCCTGATCCAGTTCCATCTTTTCCGTTTCGTCTCTGCAGGTTTTTGTCGGGAACGTGGACAACGACGGCACCAAGACCAACCTGTTCGATCCTCCCATCATCGCTCAGTACATCCGCATCATCCCCGTGGTGTGTCGTAAAGCCTGCACGCTGCGCATGGAGCTGGTGGGCTGTGAGCTCAACGGTAAATCACACAAAAAAATACACAACCTACAGTGTACACACTCTACATGCAGATACACACAGATGTTAGTCATTTAAACTCCAGTCCGGATTGTTTCTCATCTTTAAGTCCTCAGAGTTTGGGTCCTGTGTTTCCTCCTCACTAATTGGTTTCAGCCTTTCGCTCTTAGAGTCTGATCAGGTTTCCAAAGCCCATCCTCTGATGATCGCTCTCTTTGGCGACTGTAAAGGCAGATGCACATTTATCAAAACCACATGGTGATTCATTACTGTAGTTACATGATTCAGTCAAACCCATCATCTAAAAACTGTTAGCCTCTCTGGTAAATGTCTTTTCTGCTGCAGTCAGTTCAGTTCTTCTTGTCTCTTCATGTAAAACTAACGCAGTTCTTCTTAAATCATTGGCCTCATTTTTTCACTGTTCCTCTTTTGAGTTCTCTCATCCATCAGATCTTCTTTTCTTCCCTCATCGCCTCTGCCTCGCTCTTTAAAAATCGCTCTCTATGTTGCATGTTTTCTGTCTTTTGGGTCGTTTGTTTTATGTTGCACAAGATCACATCCATCCTTCAAGCACCAGGAGACGTGTTTTTACTTCTCTTTAGTGCAGGATCCTCATTATAACTGTGAACTAAGTGTGTTTCCTAAAGCGAGCTGACCCGTGTCTGATCGGTTCTGCTCAGCTGAGTGAATGAACTGAAGTGTAAAACCTGCAAAGACGATGAAAGAAAGAGAGAGGATGTTGCATAAGGAGTAACGTGACGCCGGCTCACATCTGTGAAAGTTTCTCTGCGTCTGTGACCCTTTTGTTTATCTTCGCTAAATAACACACATCACAAGTTTGTAAAAGTATCAGAAGGGAAGTTTGTGTCGACTTTGATTTTCAGTTTTTGCTCATTTAAGCGAAACAGAGACAGAGAGAGTTAGAGGGAACTTCAAGCTTGAGCACTCTGAGACTTTGAGTAAATTTACTTTAGCGCTGCTCAGTTACTGGTCCACTCTGCACCTGCTGCTCTCGTCCTCGTCTTCCTCCTCCTCATCATCATCTCTGTGGTCGGCTGTTTGCTGCTTCACATCACTGACTGCTTGGGCTGCTTCCTGTCCATCCCTCTGTCTACCATGCTCTTCCTTTCTTCCTCTTCTGTCTCTCTTCCTCCTCCGCTCTTCCTGATCTCACCTCTACAGTATATTCAAACACTCCAGGTTGTTCAGAGCCGATGGGCATGAAGTCTCGTCTGGTCAACAACCGCCAGATCACGGCCTCCAGCACCTTCCGCACCTGGGGCATCGAGCCCTTCACGTGGTACCCTCACTACGCCCGGCTGGACAAACAGGGGAAGACCAACGCCTGGACCGCCGCCACCAACAACCGATCTGAGTGGCTGCAGGTGAGAAAAGAGCGAAACTTCACAGAGTCAAAGATCGTTGACTCGCGGTTTGCTGTGTTTGTTGACTAAAGCTGCTCCTCTGTCCTCAAGGTGGATCTGGAGTCTCCCAAGAAGGTCACGGGAATCATCACACAGGGGGCCAAAGACTTCGGCTCCATCCAGTTCGTCACAGCCTTCAAAGTGGCGCACAGTGACGACGGGAAGTCCTGGACCATCGTGAAGGACGAGACCACAAAGACGGACAGGGTCAGTTAGAAACCAAAAATATCAAACTGAGATGACCACTGTCGAGTTAAAGCTCCAGTCAGGAACTCTGGGGTTTGTGTCAAATATAGTGCCCCCCCGTGGACAAAGCATGCATAGCTTATCGTGTCCTCCACATGCGTCAGTCGTGTCCTCTGACAAAAATAATACTTTTGACACTTTGAATGTAACAACAGGGCTGATCTTTCAGCTGATTGGCCGACATGTACCATCTCATTCTGGTTTCGGGCCTCATAGTTTTACTAAATTAAAATGCTGGCGGTCTCGTTTGCTTTTGTGTATCACATAAATGCGTAAGTGTACATGTAAAAAGACCCAGAGGAGTTGTGCAAAGAAAGATCTCGATGTCGGAGTTTGTAAATAAGTGAAATTTTCAGAAGGAATGCTCTGAGAGGAAACTTTAAAACGGCTCCGCTCCACCTCCAGTTCTCACCCACAGCCGCAACAGATTATCCTGAGACTGGATTGAATTTGTCTTCAGTCTTCACTCATCCATAATGCATCCAAACGTCTTCTCACCTGCCAGATGTGCTCTGAAGCACGGCCAGATGTAATCATGAATCAGGGGGAGTGGACGGGTGACAGCTTTCTCTGACTTAATCAGAAAAACATTTAGGATTTTTAAGACTGGCTTTTCTAGAGGAGCTCATAATCATTCTCAACGTTCAACAAAAAGGACTCTTTTCTGGGTTAGAGTGTTTTATGGACTTCTGCAGCTTATCTTGGGTCAGAAGTAGAAAATATCAGCTGTTACTGTCACAGTGTATCAAACTAGATGATTTATTTAGCTTCATGGGAACAAAAGACCACTCCTCTGATGTGATCAGACACATAAACAGTCAGGTGTTGTTGTTTAGCTTTACCAGGATAGTTCTGCACATTAAATGTATTAGTACCAAAAATATTGTTGTACTCAGAATAACATTTAATGCCAAATTTGGATGCGCATGCTATCCAGAGTTAGGTGTTGGGCTAAAACAGTCTACACTTGTTTGTTTGTAGTTGGTTTACAGCTGACTCTTCGCTTGACTTACTTTTTGTAACGTTCAACTATAACTGTGAAGAAATGACAGGGGGAAACAAAACAGACTCAAGCACGTACTAGAAAAAAGAAAATATTTGGAGTCAGTATCTTGTTCTGATCTCTTTTGTCGTCTAGGAAATGTTATTTTTGTTGTTTTGATCGTTTCTGTCTCCTGTTTAGATTTTCCCGGGAAACAGCGACAACAACGTCCACAAAAAGAACATCTTCGAGCCGCCGATATACGCCCGATTCGTCCGCATCCTGCCCTGGGAGTGGCACGAGCGCATCACCCTGCGAATGGAGCTCCTGGGCTGCGATGAGTAGCACCGCCCTCTGCCCAAATCTGCCTCCTCCTCGTCCTCTTTTTCTCTACCTCCTCCTCCTCCCCCTCTCTCCTCTCCCCACCTTCCCTCCCTCCCTCTCTCCTCCACTCCTGAGCCACGCCTGCACTGCCTTGCTCTCAGCCCTAGGGGGCAGCAAACACCAGAGTAGCACACCTCCACCCAGACCACCCGGCTGTTGGAGATGTCACCCCTAACCACTGTTCATTTGGCCGTGATTCAACGAACTCGCCTTCTCCACCTGAACCAAACCTGTGGTCGGATTTTTATCCCATCAACCAACCAGATCAAAGGTGGTGACTCCTCCCTACCTCCCTCCTTCCCTCCCTGTCAGAGGTCAGAGGTCAGGGTTAACAGGACTGCTGCTGATCAGCTGGTGCTGCCTGGACTCCAATCCAATCCTAGATCAGTTCCACCTGGGACATTTAAGCTTCAAGACCCACGGCTGCTGATGTAGATATGCTCCACCTAACAGCTTGCACACATCTTTCAAACGAACACGAGAGACACACAGAATATACATGTTGTCTTCAGGTGATATATATCGATGCTCACGCTTAACTAACGTCCATATCCATGAAACCAATCTGTGCATAAGTACACCTGTTTTCAAAAGTAACCGTGAAATATGTTAAGAAGTGCGTCTTGCTCTTTAGAGAGAAACTAGCGAGTCAAAAGTCGTTTTTTAAGAAAACTATTCCTCTCTAAGTCTAAAGTCGTGTTGCCGTGTGCTTCAGTATTCTTAGTTTTTCAGCCGCTAAAATCCGCAGTTTCTGTTTCCTACAGTACGTTTGACAGAGACTTAACAATCTGAGACTAAACTCAGTAAAACAAACATGTAGCGACCGATGACAGCAAAGAAAACGCCCCATCTTCACTTTTTCTGTTGCATTCGGAGGCTCCAGGTTGAATTGGATTCGCTCGTTTTGTGCCAACGCCCCCTCAGATATTTCCATCTGTGGGTTTGTTTTGTAAATATAAGAAGAAAAGAAAAGTGCACTGACACTCACGATGAAAAATATAAACTCAGTTTCATTTGTGGAAAAAATCCGTCAATGAGCCGCAGTCAGACAGATGTGATCTGAGAGAGGAGGAAGGACACCCTCAGTGATGGACAGGATGTTCTAAACAAAAGACAGCGTGTGAGGTCCATGTTGAAAGACAAAAGAGACTTTACTGAACTCGACTCGAAGGAATCAAACCCTCGAGAAGAGATTCATGCTGCTGTCATCGACTGAAGAGACAGCTTATTTCCCTCAACTTCTCATTTTCAGGATCAGATTAAAAACATGTCTGATTAAATTTCCTTCACACGAGTTAGTCGTACAGTATTAGATTATTAAAAGCTGCTATAACAAGATGACATAAAAACAAAAAAACATGTTTATATCCGCTAAAACTAGTTAGTCATGTCAGTAACAGGCTGTTTGTTGTGGGATAGACATCTGTGCATTTCTGAACCACTTCAGACTGAGACCCCTCCTCTTTAAATCTCATTTTTAACTGACTAGGACAGGGTGACGTGAAAAATAGTCTGAGGACTGGGTTGCTCCAGCTCTGTTTGAATTGAACTCGACCTTGTCTGAACAAAATTTCAAAGTGAGGATGGAGTTGATGTTTTACAGTCGTTTTAAAGGTTTGCACCAGCCAAGATCATTTCATTATAAGCATTAATATCAATCAATATCTTATACCTAAGTGAACGGGTGGGTGTTTAAGTGTTTGCTCCCTCTAATTGGGACTTATGGTCACTCTTATGGTCCGACACCAACCCCCTTTAATGGTTTCAGGTGTTCAGGCTAAAAAATAGAGAAAGTGTCCGTCTTGATTCACAACCTCACAGGAGCGTTAAGACACATAGAAGACAGAGCTGGTGCAACAGAGTCCAGAGAGGTTATGATTATAAAAAAATAAAGGATGTGATTGTCTCAGGTCGAAGCAGATCTCCTCTAATGTGTAGAAATCTAACGCTGTCGACTCTCTCCTCCTGCGCTTCTAGTTGTGTTCAGGTTTCCCTGATTTATGGCACTTGGATGTTTGTGTTTTGGTATTTAAAAAAGTCTAAAACTATCGAGAAAAAGAAGTGTTGTGCATTAAAAAGATGACAGAAAATAGTATTAACTCTACGTAAATATTCTGTCTCAGTGTCAGCTGAGCTCGGAGGGTCTGGGTGACATATTTTGGTTGTTTTTGTAAATAAGTGACACATTTAAGCAGGAGAGCTGTCTGTATTAGTAAATGTTCATGTTTCCTGTCGATCTACAGCCAAACATTACGCCTCCGGTTGAAGGCTGAACCCCCTCCTCATGAGACTGTGAGAGAGAAACCAAATTAAATCTGAATTTTACGCTTTCAGTGGACATGTGACACCGTGAACCGTCATATCATCATCTCTGCCTCTGCCTCCCCCGTCACAGCGCTCTGAACCTCTCCACTCCCATGAATTATGTATTATGGGCTTGTGCAATATTATACTGTGTTAGTTTTGATAACAATGAATATTAATTCAAGACCCTTTAAAAAATGCATGAGGGGATAGCGGTGCCACTGAGAGGTCGAGGATGGATGTTGGTGTCAAACACTGTACAATATTTATTATTGTCGCAGACGATCCTATCAACAGTCAGCCCTCTTTTTTTTGTTTCTGCGTCTGCATGCGTTTTACCCACTCGAGTTGGACCAGTTCAGATTTTTGGTGACGTGGTTTCATTTTTTACTAGATCGACATTGACAGTATTGTAGAAACCTTTTCTCCCTAATGTTCAGGTTTTCTATACACGATAAAAAAAAAAACTAAAGTGATGTTTTTGTGGTATTTTATGAGTTCATTTCTTGCTCTTCAGACTGTTGACCTCACAGATTTTTGACTGGATTTGATTTTTTTTTAAATTCCAGTTTTGTGTTTCTAAGAGAATTCCTTTATGTTTGGCCTTTGTATCTTTAAATGAAGAATAAATAAAGACTTAAAAAAAGACACTTTCAGCCGACCCTGACTGATGTGTAACCCTGGATGGATAGATTGAATATTTAGGTTTGAAAATATATCATTTGGCTGAACTAATTGGAGCTGTTTTCCATTTAAAAAGGTGGAAGATCAAAAGAGTCGAAGCACTGAGGGCCGTCGTTTTCCCCTGTTTAGCATTCAAACACCCAGGGGGGCCTAATCTCTTCTTATACGATCTTCTAAAAGTACCTTCACCCGAGCACAGCATGTCCCCTTCCTTCTGTCTCATTACACGCTGAAGGTCACACACACCGAAGCGATGAAATCACTCCTGAATTTTTTAAAACGTATAATCACGGGGCAACAAACTCACCCTGCAGGTTAAATTATGCCCGACTTATCCCCGTGTGTGTGTGTGTGTGTGTATGTTCCAGCTCTGTGGATGTAAAGAGACAACAAGGCTGCTCCTCTAAATGACGTCACGTTTAGTTCTCATCAGTAAATAGCAGGTAATTATCATGTAAGACAACAGTTGTCAGATGATCTCACCAGCTGTTTTCCCTCAGGAGTCGCCTGCAGTTAAGAGTGTTGAGGGTCTAATGACAGCTTTCTCCTCTGTGTCCTTCCAAATCTCTGTCTTGTTTTTCCCTCTGTTGTTCTTTCTCTGCACAGGAAGAGGCCGTTTCCGTTCTTTACAAAGCTCCTTATAGCTGCACATGTTACACATCACTTCTGTCATCGGTGTCACATTATTGTTTGTTTTTGTTAAAGTTAAACAACACTGCAAAATGATTTCTACAGACGACCTCTCCTGGAACAAAACCTCTAATCTTTCATAACCACCATGAAAACAGCTGAGTGGAGCGACACATCAGAAACAATACTTATCTTAGTGAATGTATTTATCACAAAATATTGATGACAAAGTGAAGAAAAACCTAAATAAGAGGAGTATGATGATAATAAAGTCATTGTTGATATCTGGTTTGAACAGAACTCACCCACTCTCTTCCAGCAGCCGCTTGTTTGTAGCAAAACCTTGGGCCAGTCCATTGCGGACTACAGCGGGGTGACACAGCTCAAGGAAGAACATTTATGATCATTTCTTCATGGAAATGCAATCAGACCGACACGCTAAGACAAGAACTTCCGCGTCTGCAGTGCAAAATGATTAATATGATGATTATTACCTCAAGGAAATGATAAAGTAATGAATGTGCTAAACATTCGTTTATCTTCGCCTCGGTCACTTCACTCTTACCTGCCTCCATGAAAGGGGCCGCCAAAGGTGCGCGAGAGCTACCCACTGCAGCCTCTGAGCTAGCATGACTCTGGCAGTCATTGTCATCTAAATGTAATTTAAGGAGGTGGAGAGTATTTACATAGTGAAAGTGGGTTAGCATGGCGCTAACATCTACACAACAGACAGGACCCGGAGGAGTTAAACGTTACCTTGATGACGCCGAGACGTTAGCTCCGCTCCAACTTTTGCCTGCTCCAGTCTCAACTTCGCTATATAGCGAATCAAACAGGTTACACTTCCGCTAATTAACCTTCAACTTAATTAAAACTGTGTTGCAGTAGCCCTGGTATCATCTTTTTACGTGAAACACAGCCGAACTCTGGGGCGCTTTTGCCGCGACGACATTTTGTAAAGTTCTACACTAAAACGCACTTCTCGTGTACGACGTCATCGCGCATAGAGACGTGAGAAGAACCGAAAAGCAGAATCGTCGAGGAGGCAGACGAACAATTCTTAGGAATCGAATCACTGGAAGTGATTCTAGAAAAGAACCGATTGATCGATTCTCATTCCTAAAAATGAAGCGATAACAATATTTAGTTATTGCTCTAACTTCAGTTACATGTTGGACTAAAATAATAATAATAGTAATAATAATAATAATTGTATTTGTATAGCACTTTTAAAAACAGAAGCTTACAAAGTGCTTTGACATATAGTCATAAAGCACATGGAAGAACACAGATAAAAACAAAAAGCTCAGTTAAAACGGAATTGAAGGTCATTTTCATGTCATAAGGAACCCAGACAATACAAGAAAAATGCAACATAAAATGAGACCATGAGGACCAAAATAAAATGTAAAATAGTTAAGAAAAAAGAAAATGTGATTAAAAGGGGGGTCGAAAGCAGAAACAGAATAGTAAATATAAAAGGCAATATCAGCAATGATAATGATAAATGATAACAGGTAATACTGATAATAATAGTAATGATAAAATAGAGCAACAGAAATGAGAAGGAGATCAAACAATATGAGCAAATGATCAGAAAACCATATAAATATGTTGGCTAAAAAAAATTAGTCTACTTTTTTATCTTTCTGTAACTACACCTCCACTGAAATGAATGATACCGTTTAGGTAAGAAATGCACCCTTCAGCTCTCTTTACTGGAGACCGTACTTATTCAGATATCCAGATCAAGTCATTTTCTTTGTTAAGCTGCATAATATCCTGCAAACACTGTCCATCAGCTCTGAGTTTCTCCTTGTTTGGTTTCCTGGTCTGACGTCTTGGGCAAACTGAGGAAACTGGAGGCACCGCGGCGGGTTTAAACAGGAAGGATCCTCTTTTTGGAAAACAACGGCTATTTCAGATCAGGTATGCATCGACACGGGAGAACACCATGTAGGAGAGGGGAAATCCTTTGTTATTTCTTTGAGGAAAAATGTCTGAAAGTGTTGATGTAAGAGGCGAAGAGAGGGGCTGATACTCACTGATGATCACGGCTTTATCTCGAATTCATCAAAAATAATCATAACTTTTCCCATAATTATGATTAAGAGGGTGTTTAAGTTTCATCTTTGAGTTGCAGAAACTGTCACTGAGCCCTTCAGTTCACTCTCCTGCTTCAGCTTTCCTCTCTAATCACACACACACACACACACACACACACACACACACACACACACACACACACACACACACACACACACACACACACACACACACACACACACACCTTTCGTGACCCTGCATCCTCTCTATGATGAGTTTCCACTAATGAGAGTGTGTGACAGCTCATACTGACACAATCAACAGTCATCACGCCGTCTTTCATGTGAGAGTCTCCGGTCCTCGCTCTGCTCTCCTCTCTGGGACTGAACGTTGTCGTCTTGCAGAAATTACACCCCTCCGACACCACAGCAGCCCAGCAGTTCACAGGGGCTGCTGGTATTTGGGGCCCCAGGCCAAAACCTTTCATCTGGGGGCTTTGGGAAGAGCACCGGTCTGGTCTCTTCAAACACAGGGAGAGATAATGGCTTAGAGAAACAGAGGGAGGGGAAACGGCTGTCACACTGGCTGAGAGCGGGGGCTGCAGCCGCTGACACTCACTGAGGAGAGGTTTTAGGAGGTGTTGACGGCTAATCTGGCGGCCTGTTTAGATTTTATGAGGCTTTATTTGGAAAAAGGTAATGAAGCTTGGTGTCACTTGGAAAAGCTGGGCCCGTCTTTCTCAGAAATCCACGAATAAAGGACGAGTAACTTCAGGTCTTAGAGGCGGCAGTGCAACTTCTGAGCGGCTTTTAAACTCTCATTTAAAAAGCTATAATACTTTCAGACCTTTTATGAAAATAGATGCTTTTTTGATATAGTAATATTTGTTTGAATCTAACTGACTGCCACAGTTATTTCAATAGATGCGAGTGTCAGAATCAGTCTCTGATGCTGCCTTAAATGTGGTGTCTACAGCTGTGGGTATGTCTTTAAAAGCCTCCCCAAAACTATCAGATTTTACTATGTGATTGTAACTAACAGTGAAAGCTTGTAGAAATGCCAGCAAAAACATGGCCTCTTTCAAAACCTCGCTGGTAATAAAGAGAGAAATGAATTGGCAAACACTGAAGACTAGGAATTATTACTGGAAAGGAAAAAAGTGTCTGCACACAGAAGAGAATCCACGACAAACCAGCAGCCTGATTCATAAATTACGTAAAGGAAAGAGCTAAATTAAAGTCCAAAACATCTGTTTCATTAGGAACGAATGAGCTGATGTAACGGCTGAAGACGACCGGCTTCAAACAGCAGCCAGACTGACCTCAAGCTTGGATGTGGTGGAACTATTTCCTGCGTAAATCTGAAAATCAACAGCGCAAAAAGAAAATCAATCCAAAAAGAACAGAATATCTGACCCTGTGGTGCCAGGTAAAAACAACAGAGGACCAAGGACAGACCCCTGTGGTACTCCATGCCTAAAAGCACAAGGATCTGGGAAATTTTAATATTGAAAGACACAAAACAACCCAAAACACTCATTGTGGTTAAAGAAGTTTTGAAATGTGTTATCTTGTGTACTTAAGGCATCTGTTGGTACTTACAAACCAAAGACAATATCGAGCGTCAGTGATGACGAATGAAGATAAAAACATCCAAATCTTGTCACTCAAACCTCGACCAGAGAAGTTTATAAGGACATGCGAAACCTCTTCGTGCCACAAATGTCGTAACAACACTTTTATGATGTGACTGTATGATGAGTCACCCTCTGAATTTGTACATTTCTCTGGAGTGAGTCAATAAATTACTGTTTTGGAGTAAATTGGGGAGGAGCTGCATTTTTGCAGCTCACGGTGTTGGACAAACTGACTGTAGTTGTGGGTTTGAATGATGACAAGAAGAGTATGGTGACTCAATTATGGTGACCTATCAGTGCCAAACATCCGTATGTGAGCATGCTAGTCTGCTATTGTAATCATATTGAACCTGTAAGTACAGAATAATCTGACTGTGTTGTCCAACTGAATACGAGTTTCTTTGTACTTTAATTTTTTACAGTATTAACCAGGTTGTGGACAAAGAGAAGAATTGAAATCAATTGAAAAAAATAATGTAAACCTCAGACACACCCACGCACGCATCACTGAAAATTTCAAGACATTGTCGGGAGATTAACCCAATTTTTGGTGGACTTTCCCAAACCAGCCTTCCTGCAAAAAGTTTGTATAAAATCAGGATAATGTTTCAAGTTTATTTATTATTGGGTATCTTGTTTGTTAAACGTCTGTGTACACGTCGTGATATAAATCTCTCGAAATAATCTCTGTTGTGTTTTTCTGCACGTATTTTGACCATGATTGTCCCACCTGTCCACAAAAAATGATTTATAAACTCGCCGGTGGGTCTTGTTGTTTGTTTGTTTTCTTCAGTTTGAAAGATGTCTCTTTGAATCAGCTGTTGCCGTGGGAAACGAACCTTTATAAATGTGCCAGATTCCTCTCAGATTGATTGACAGGTTTTATGTGATATCATTGACTGTCATAATAAGAGTAAAACAGGAGAAACTTTGCACTCTTTACAATGGAGTAAAAGGTGTACATATATTGGTATCAATATCTGTATCGACCATATCGTTGTGTCTGATTTTGACCACTCAGAATCGAGTATTAACACAGGAGGGTGATAATCTGCTATTAAAACCTCTTTTGTCAAGATAAACACATGATGAAAATTCCTCACTGCAGCTTTAACCAGACAGTTGTTTTCTACATCAAACAGCTGTTTTCTAATTGTGAGGGAGGCGTTTGATTTCCACTCTGTCTGTTTCCCAAAGGAAGACTGTAATTGCAGGAATGTGGGAATGCCGCCTCCAAACAAATAGTAAAACCAGAATACATGCTGTCCTTGATTGTTCACCACAGACGTGATTAAAAATGGAACCCTTGACATCCTGGTTTCCCTTCAGGGCAGCTTTTCCCTCAACATTCCCAAACCGACCAGCACATCCTCCGTCCTGCTGAGACCGTGGTGGTCTTTGGTTTCTGTTATGCTGGCTGGGTGTCAGTCATGTCACACGGAAAAGACAGGAGTGGCTGACCACAGAGGAAAGCATCGCGTGCAGGATTCAGAGAGACTCGGGACTTAAAGTTTGGAAAACTTCAGTGCTGTGGGTCTTCAGAGGGGTGGCGGTGTCAGATTTAGGATTCAGTGTCAGGAGGGCAGCCTCCATCTGCACACAGATATCTACACATCAGTCAGATATTCAGGGGCAGCACACTCTCAGAGGAGAACTGGAATTTCTTTTATTATTTCAGCCACTGACTGAAATACGAGTTCATATAACTGTGTTCGCCGTGTTACTGAAGGCCACGGCCAAACTGAGGTATAAAATATGCACAGTCAGCCTCCACATACCAGGCAGAGAGGGAGTTGGCAGCTTTTACACTTAATGTGAAGCAATTTACACAAACTTTGAAAATGCTAAAACATTCCTACAGAAACAGTTGATCTATTCCCATCTTTCTTGGTTGCAAATTACAGCCTGTCATCTGATTCCTTTGCATGAAATATGAAGGTTTGCCCCAAAAAACAACAATAGGATGTGTTGTTTGGAGCTGATTCTGGCTTTGAAACAAGCTATGCAAACCAGCAAAGACCGAAACAGAGTCCAACGCAGAAATACAAGAAGTCCGAGGCGTATCCAGCTCAATCAGTGCGACAGACTTTCAGAGGAAACTTGGCACAGCATCGCAGGGCATGGAGCACATAAACACACCTGTATTTATTTCTGTAAGTGAAAATGGACAATGAGGAAATACTGCTTCTCTTGAGTGGATAAAGAAAGAAAAAACATTTGAAATCTGTCCCTCTGATGGAAAACATGATTTATACTCCCAAACTTCTGCTGTCAGGCTCACTCTGAGAAAAAGCAGTGAAGTACACCTGAGCTGTAAACTCCTGATGAGGATTTTCCTGGATTTACACCACGTTAAATTATAAGAGTTTTCCTTTGAAAGGAGACAGTCATGAAGTTTGCACTTTGGGTCAAATAAAATAAACATTAGACGAGTGAAGCTGCTGTTGTGTTGTTGTCAATCATTGTGTCAAAGATGAAGAAAAAAAGAACTTTAGTTGGGTTTCACTTCTTTTTAAGCGGGTGAGTCGAGGTCAAGAGAGGGGTCAACTGGTCTGACCCGACCCCAGTTAACTGAACAATGATGCAAACAGAATCCAGGCTGCATCTGTGTGCAAGATGGACTCATGAGGACTATCTGTGAAGGTCTTTGTGTTTGAATCACATCTTGAGTGTCCTAATTCCTTCAGTAGGGGAGACCGGGGCTTGTTGTCACACGGGTAAGTTGTCGCACTGCAATTATCTTCTCCACCAGAGGGCGCAACTAAAAAGTGGAATACTAGTTTTACTCTTTTACATGATCAGGGGTCGTGTCCTGTCTGAGAAGAGAAGAGCACATTGTGAGCTGAGATGAGCGCCAATTAACCATTTCGCACAACCGAAAGTAAAAAATTTTTACTTTATATATTTTAAAATAAACTTCTTCCAGATAAAAATCCTTGCAGTGAAACATGTGGACCTGATAGAGGCGCGATTAAGACATTCTGTCATACCTCAGTCATTGTTCTGTTTAAACTAACTTTAATCTAGAGCTTTAATTAGCAAACATGGTAGTTTGGGGCAACATATCTCAGTCATTTTGGGGTTAGTTTTTACATGTTTAAAGGGGATTAAAATTAACATATAGAGTCTGTTTATCAGCTGTTGTCATATTGACATTTTGATTTTATTTTTATGGAGAACAGAGTGCTTTAAAGGGGAGGAGAAAGTGAGGAGACATGGTCAGGAATTACAGAAGAAAAACTGAACATGTCAGTGCAGTTCCTGACGTGATGCTGAGGACAGTCAGACAGGTGACCCAAGCTAATAAATCAATCTGGCGGACAATAAAGGACTTTAATGACAACTACTATACCTTGGCTTGGTACACATTTTGTTTATATATGATGTAAATATATAGTGTAAATACTTTATATATTATCTCTATAATTTAACTTATTTTAACTTATTTTATCTATTATTTATCTCCTGTTTTTACTGTATTTGCACTGGAGTACTGTGACAAACGCAATTTCCCCCTGGGGATCTGATCTGATCTAATGTATTTATTCCAATAAATATACAAGAGTGTAAAAAGTGTGACAACAAGCCCCGGTCTCCCCTATTTGACCTCATGTATTTTGTTATCGTCGCCATGGGGCAGGCTCGTCTTTTAACGTAATAACATACACTTTGGTGCACTTATGTTGATTTGCTAGTGCAACTGCTAACGCCATGACCATCTGCGCGTTCCTTAAGGGCGTGTGACGTCATGACGCACGCCCCCCCCGAGCCCCCGGTCTGTCCGGTGAGCGTAGAGGCAGCAGAAGATGAGGAGAGGATGAGCTGAAGACACGCTGGGAGGATAACTGCTTCACTGTGAGTGACTTTTTTAACGACTTCAGACTAAAACACGAAAATCAGAGGATCATAAATCTGCAGCAGACTGAGTTTAGTTCACTTTATTTTCTGTTTGGGGCTGCGAGGGTTCAGTTTGCAGAGATGGTGTGAGAAAAAAGACACTTTGAGGTTTATTTACAGAAGAGCAGAACCGGGTTAGAAAAGCATGTATATTGAATTAAAGTTAGCTGTGGTGAAAGAGTTTGTGATTTTAAAGATTAAAAAGAGGAGAGGAGGAAGAAACTACTCATGAATTATCATGAAAGCAGATTTTCGACGTTTTCTGATGATTTAGATGTTGGTAAAACTTTCTTCTAATTGATCTGATCTCCCTTTGCTGAAACTGTTGAAGTCCTCTAAGTATTACTTTTTGGTAAAACGTTTTTTCCATATATTTTAACTGTGAAAAACTTCATTAAAAAACATCAAACTTACCCTTGCAGATGAAAAAAAGGCAATTTCATCACCTCATAATTCAAAGCTTTGATTATTATTTTAATGAGAATATTTGGGACTTTAAAACCATCGAGTCTTCAGTCCAAACAATGGAGAGTTTCCAGTCTGTGATTTCTCTGTGCTCCCCTCCTCCTGCTGGTATTTATGACAGTTGAATACAATAAAAAGCTCTGCATTTATCCGGACCCTTGTTCCTGCAGAGGACAGCATCATGCTGAGTCTACTGCGCCCCCTGCTGGCCGCCCTCCTGTACCTGCTGCTGCTGCTGCCCGGTGCTCACAGCAGGTTCCCCGTCTACAACAACGGCTTCCACTACCAGGACATCAGCAACGGCAACGGCAACGGAGAGAGTGAGTCCTGCTGGTCCTGGCTTTGGTTAAGAAGATCCTTCATTAAAGAGACTCAAAAACTCAATATTCAGCATTAGAAGACACATCTTCTGCAAAGTGGTTTACTTTAATAAGCACTTTACTACAATTTACACAATAATATGGGATCACTCCAACTTTTGTTTTATTGGTGCTTCACTTTAAGGAGTTGTTGCCACTAAAACATCAACTTTTGCACCTTATCTGCTTGGATAGCAAACTTTCTGAGCATAAAAAGTTGTAGTGACTGCTTTCCTTTAACAAAAAAGGCCACTGGGGGGTTTAGGTTGGTTTGCATCTGTGATACGTTAAATTATCAGTCTGGTTTGAGTGTTAAAAAGTAATTTATTATTAAAAAAAGAAAGAAAATATGCTGATCCAGCTCCAAAACTTTTGCCTTTGAATGAAAAAGTGATAAGATGAAATGAGGTTAAAACAGGATGAATGAAAGGATGAAAAACGTTTAACAGAAAATTATCAGAGCTTGCCACGCCCCATTGTCTGACCACACCTGTGAGATTTAAAAACCCGCCAAAGATCCCAAAACCACGCCTCCCTGGATGTTACGTACCTATAGTAATCAAACTAAACGAATATATTTCGGCTCTTACAAAAATAGTCCAGGAGTGATTATTAAAAAGTCACATGGAGAAACTGTAACTCTCTCCACTCACACCTGTTATTCCTGCTGCTTTTCTGTGTCTTTTCTAGTCTATTTTAATGGCGTTCGTCTCCACGTGGAATCCCCGGAGCATGCCGTGTCAGCCACCAGGGGGAGCAGCGTCACCCTCCCCTGTCACTTCCACTACGAGCCTGAGCTGACCACGCCACGCAGGACCCGGGTCAAATGGTCCTGGTTACCTTCCAATTCCATCAGCGCACCCGTCTCCCCGTTAGCCTCCACCATGGAAACTGAGGTGATGGTTGCCATGGGTAACCGCCATCGCAGCTACGGCAGCTTCAAGGGTCGGGTGCGCCTGCGACGCTCGGCACCTGGTGACTTGTCTCTGGTGATTAATGAGCTGCAGCTCAACGACACGGGAAGATACCGCTGTGAGGTGATCGACGGCCTGGAGGACGAGAGTGTGACGGTGGAGCTGGAGCTGCGAGGTGAGGAGAGAGAGAGAGAGAGAGAGAGAGTGTGTGTGTGTGTGTGTGTGTGTGTGTGTGTGTGTGTGTGTGTGTGTGTGTGTCTTTGTCTTTGTAGTAAACATGTTTTTGTAATTTCTTGTGTAAAATTCTTAGAGTTTTGACTCTTTCAGGATGGCACATAATGAGACCCTTTTCTCCCACAGTATTTGCTCAGGAGGTCCCTGAATAAACAGATTTATAGAAAATATAATAATAATAACAATTTACTAACAGAACACTGAGAAAAGGGGAGCAAAAGTAGACCGAAACCTTCTTTATATCAGGCTCTGAACATGTTCAAATCAGCCGTAAAGTTAGACTTCTTAACATGGAGCCTAATGGGGATTGATCCATTCTTGGGATCTGCCTCAAGTGGCCACCTGAGGAACTGCAGCTTTGGGGACTTGATTGCTAGTTTCAACCATTTACCATGTACATGAAACAGACTGTTCTCTCTCTCCTGAACAGGTGTGGTGTTCCCCTACTTCTCTCAGAAAGGACGCTACCATTATAACTTCTTCGGGGCCCAACAAGCGTGCCAGGATCAGGACGCCACCCTGGCTACATTTGAGCAGCTCTTCACAGCGTGGGAGGAGGGGCTAGACTGGTGCAACGCCGGCTGGTTGGCTGATGGCACGGTGCAGTATCCGATCACTGTCCCACGCGAGGGCTGTGGGGGCACGGACTTAGCTCCTGGTCTGCGCAGTTACGGACAGCGGCATCGCCTCATCCACCAATACGACGCTTTCTGCTTCTCTGCATCCGTCAAAGGTCAGTTTGTGTGTTTATCATGGAAAAACAAATCCAGGTTAGATCGCCAACTTTGTCAGCTGAGGTCTATTTACATCGGGTAAAAAAAAGGATTTAAGTTTTACATCTGCAGAGCAACAAAATAAGAGAAAAGAGTGAATTAAAAACTGGAAAAAAGCCTTTTTTTTTAATCATCAGTGACCTCTTGAACTTGCCTGCAGTACCTCCTCTGCCCACTAGGGGCTGTGACCCAAGCTATTGGAATTGCTGATGTAAGCGATCTAAATGTATTTATCACTGAGGCTCATTTTTATTTCATCTCACAGATAGATAGAGTTCTTCTTATCTTAATTTACACATACAGAGAAAGAACAAGCCATCAGTACGGTGGCCCTGAAGACACAAATGAAATACAATTCATGTTTATTTTTTAACATAAAATACTTAATATTAACATAAAAAATTATTTCAGAGTGCTGAAATATTTTGAGAACCTGGTAATAAAAAAATGGCAAATTTTACATTTACAAACTTTTTTTGTGTGTGTGATAAAATTTCTGTGCAGTTGACCTTTAGGGCCACCGTACTTCTGCCTGTCTAGTTCATCATAGATACCTCTGTCACTGTCTCTGTGCTTGTTGACAGAATCTTTGACTCTCCTCCTCTGGAGTAACATTTCACTACGCCCTCTAGTGGATACATTATGTACTGCCTCTGTCAGACATATAGGATGCATGGGAGTATGTGGGTTGTCATGGATTTTCATTTATAAAGGAAACATCAATGAGTCTGTTGATGGTTGTAGATACTGAACTCAGCTTTAACTCTAATTAACTCTCATTAATGACAGTAACAGTCTCTTCTCTGGTGATCCCCTCTCTCTCTCTCTCTCTCTCTCTCTCTCTCTCTCTCTCTCTCTCTCTCTCTCCAGGTACTGTGTACTTCTTAGACCAGACAACTAAGCTCAGCTTTAACGAAGCGGTCCAAGCTTGTGTCAGTGATGGGAGTCAAATCGCCAAAGTGGGCCAGCTGTACGCCGCCTGGAGGATGACGGGATTGGACCAATGTGACGCCGGTTGGTTGGCTGATGGAAGCGTCCGTTATCCAATCACAAGGCCCCGAGCCAACTGCGGCCCCCCAGAGCCAGGTGTGCGTAGTTTTGGCTTCCCCTCTCCGTACCTGAAATTTGGCGTCTTCTGTTATCGGTAGATGTTTTTTGGTCACCGGAGAAAAGAAACAACTTTGAAAGCTCACTGGTTCAAAATCTGCTCGAGAGGTTAGCTTAAGTGGTCGCAGTTTTTTCCGTTTCTGAGCTATATGAAGTCGTCTCCACCTCAAAAAGACTGTAGTCGACCTGATGTCAGAAAACAATCAGTAAACTATGTAAACCCATCATTTGATGCCACTTGTACATCTCCTCTACATCCATGGGCATTAATATGCTGCTACAACCCTCAACTCATCTGAACAGGCTGGCGATAAGGTTTCTGAATCTGTCAGATTTCCTTCAAAACTCGTAAACAAAGTGCCTTTATGAAGGGCACCTTACAAGGAACTCCACATGATAAAACAGGCTGACCTTGTTAGATTAACGATGTAGTATTTTAAATGTATGCAGCACAAAAAAGAAAGAGTTTCTACATTTTAAGAAATTGAAAAAACTATCTTGATATGATTTAATGACGAGGACAATAATGAAGAGCTAACTGTTAATGTGGATCAAAATAAGCACAATCAGAGAAGCAAATACAAAACCTACCGATCATAAATCTGCAAAAACAGGATAATCTGATCCATCTCTACTGATTGTACAATATTTTTAGTGCACCGTCTATGACTCCACATGCTTTAATAACACCGGCTGGAGTTTGCAGTAATGAAACAGGTTTAATGAATTGGATTCAAGTGTTTTTAATGTGGATTTTCCTCTTTTTTTTCTAGCTTTTTTAATGTCATTCCTTACAGCACGAACAACACAATTTGATCTATGACTCCACATGCTTTAATAACACCAGCACCAGTTTAATCCCATCAATCTGTGTATTTATAACAGGTTTTTTTTTCACTTTTAATGCTGTTCCTTATTACAGAAACAGCTGTGTTTTTCTTTTGTATGGAGAATATCTAGAATATGACAGTTTTAATCTGATAAAGTCAACATGTGCCATTATGTGGAGTTCCCTTTAAGGTTTAGTGAGTGTTTCCAAGTATTTTCCAGTTTCATCTGTCCACTAACTGTAGTTCGTTTCCACCACTTTCAGTCTCTCTGATAATGTGAAATATTCTGAAGTATTTGTTTGTCTACTGAAATACTCGTTTATGCCACTTTACTATTTGTGATGCCACTTTTTTTTACTTTTATGTGTAATCAATGGAAGAAATATCTTTTTTTTTTTACATCTATTAAGAAAAAGAAAAGTCACTGTCTCATTACTTATATTTGTCTGATTTTATTACGCTCTGTATGTCTTTGCATTTGTACCATTTTCTACGAACTGATTAAAAAATACTTCTGTTAAAGTTTTTTAATTTTACTGCAACAACCAACTAAGGTTGCACTGACCGTGATCTACTGTGGGCAATAAAGTACCTCACATGAAATAAACACCTCATTCAATCTCACTTTAAAAAACGCATACTATCCCTTTAAGGCGTGCAGGTGTGGCGAGGTGAGATGGGTCATGACATGTTATAAAACAGCCTTTGTAAATAAACAGCGTCACTCTGTCTGAGCGCTTTGAGATGAGTGTAGTCCAACAAGCTGCAGCTTCCCGCTGTGAACAGAAGTCCCTCTGATGATACGACCAGCAGGTTTTTATAAACAGGTCCTATTTACACCTGCACATGTACCTATATACATACAGAACTGCTCTCCCTGTGACACACACACACAGCAGATCTGTTTGCAGCGACTGTAGTGATGAAGGCCGTCGCTGTACAGGTCCATGAAGGAGCTATTTACTGTGTGTTTGTTCACGGTTGGGTTCTACAGGAAGGCAAAAACAAACTAAATGCCCGGTCTGTTCGTCCAGCGCCGAGGGTTTACCTCAAATTTAACAGCTCCGGGAAGGATGACGTTTCAAAAAGGGACAGAAAAATCTCAGTTTGAGATTCAACAGGAGCGAAGTACATCGCCAACATCGCTGAAGTTTGGATGGTGTGAAACATGTTGATAAAAACAGAATTTGATCATCAGTGTATCATTTAAACCCTATATTTTAAAATCAAATACAGCTAAATGTTGTTTAGAGAAAAAGTATGTCTTGTTTTTAATTTTTAAGCTGGACATTAATTTAAAAACAAGGTTGGGACAGGGAGAATAAAACATGAAAAATGTGGTTAATTTCCAACAGGTTAAAAAGTATAAAAAGGGCTCTGAAGAGAAGGTCAGTCTGGGGAAGAGATTCACCACTTTGTGAGAGACTGTGTCGGCAAACAGTTAAAGAATAGCAAATAATAATTGTCAGGAAAAGACACTGGGGAATTTCATCAACTGGAGAAGGGTTGGTGTTAGAAAAGATTTAGAGAACCGGAGAAACGTCTGTCCAGAAGATAATGTGTGATATCTTGAAATAAGCAGTTTTATGGATGTGGCTCAAATCGACCCTGAAAAGGAACTTTTCGAAGAGTAAATTGAGTGCTCATAGTCTTCAATGTGACAAATTAATTACACAACAAAACCTCCCATCAACTTCTGTGATGTTATTCCTACACTGATTAGGAAGACTGTGAATATGCACAACTCTGGAGTGGGCTGAGTGTCAATTAAAAACACAGTTTTACTGCTTTTAGGCTGAAACTGAAACATGACAAAAGGAAATCTATAATCACGTCACAGTTTTGTTGGAGCTGGGGTCACTCAGAGTCTGCAGCAGAGGTGCTAATAGACGACAGAGGTAGTTCTGCACACTGGGCCAGTAATTTAACAGAGACGGATGATTCCAAGTTTTATTTGGCACAGTACAGAATACTGTTTATTCACATCAGGTTTTCAGGATCCGAAAGTCAGGACAGAAGTGTCTGTGTGCAATATAACACAAAGTTTGGTCAATTTGTCGAGGAATGAGGATCTCACAAACACCGAAACAGATCACTGTTTGTCTTTTAAATATTTTTCCTTTTGGGTCTAATCCTCCGCTGATACCCAGAAACACTACATTTGTTTATTTAGGCACATAAAATGTGCAAATCTTTCATTTTGCATCATCTTTTATTTTCTCTGTTTTGTGACTGTTTGTGTCTGTTTTACAGTTTGTGAGTTCTTCTATGGAAGTCAGACATGGACACAAGTTTCAGCTCTGAGTTGAAGCAAATCTTGACCTTCAAAAAGGTCATGGTCAACACTTTATATCCTCGTTCCCCCTAGTCTCACCCTTTCTATAAGTTTCTACAGCTTTCACAGCTTCTTTCCCCTAAAATTGTTTTACCTCACTGAGAAAAAGCCGGAAACCTCCACAAAAACTCGAGAAAAATCAGCGAGTCTTCCTCTGAATTTCAGGCACACCCACATGATAAATAACGATAACTGCGCCGTACCTGTTATTGAAGCTAACGAGTGTCTGCTCTGTGTAAGTTATGGACAGATCCTGCTGTTCAGAGAGTATTTACAGTGAGAAACGAATCCTTTCAGTGAAGCCGATTCTCATACGATCCTCAGAGTTCACTTCAATTACTAACCCCAACCTGCAAAACTGGGCGTGCATACTCTGCGATAGATAACCCCAGAAAACATGGACGTCTGCACCCTTTTTTTTTTTTCGGTGCAGGATATGTGATTGTTTTAATTTAAGGTGCACTGGATTTATTTATAAATTACTGAAGGCTCCCAAAAGTGCATGAGTGCTGACTATTTCTGTCCAGGAAGTTGTAATGACTTTAACAAACTTGGATTTCTATCATTAAACTGAAGAGCACAATCATTTTATTACATGTGATTCTGTGCTGAAGCTGCTTCGTGCTTCTCAAACATGATCTGTTTTCACCCCCTTAGATTTGGATTTTAAGATAGTTGAAATAAGTCGAACCACTTCACTGATTTTTAGGGGGTCACAGCCGAAAAGCTCAAGAATCTCCGCCAACAACGCAAGAAAACTGCTCAGTTCGCCAGTCTGAGGCACACACTTACTGTCCTTAGAGTCTAACACCAAATAAAAGAAATAATTCAACAAAAACTAAGAAACACAGATCTAGAAAAATATCTAAAGTTCTATGAAACATTGTGTTTTACGTCAGAGAATCCAGCTGCATTTGAAAACACTCCTAACGGGGTGATTTTTGGACTTTGGGTGCCACTCTACAGCTTCATGTGTCTCTTTTTTTGACAGTTTTACCTACCTCTGTGTGTGCAGTGCTGGCAAATGATTGCAGGAAAGTTCAGCTTGGTTGTACAAATACTGAGTCACAGCTATAAATTAAACAGTATAAATACAAAGGAAACTAAAAAAAGAAGATGTAAAGTGACACTCAAAGGTCCAAAATGTGAGTCGACCTCTCTGTGACTGACTAAATGTGCTTTAACATGTGTGTGTGTTTGTGTGTTTGTGTGTACATGTTCGGGAATGTTATCTTTTTGGTCGGGCATTTGCATTGGTGTCCATGCCTCTTTATAAGAGGGGTCCTTTGTGGCTCTCTGCAGTGTGTCCTTTCATTCCCGCTCAGTGCAGCTTCCTCTGTTCCTGTTGGCTGCTGACACCTTTACTTCTCCTCCTGAGGGATCTTTTGTGTAGCCTGTTGCTGTTGGCTCCGGCTGGGAGAGAAAAGGTACGCATACTGATGAAATCATGTTCAAAAGTGCGACTACAGGACTGGGAAATTCAATCAAAGTCATTGTCGTGGCTAATAGATCCGGTGAATCCAGTTCAAAGACTAAACAGATGAAGAATTTTCCCTTATAACCATATTTAGGTGGCGGCTGTTTTCTTTGACAACGTGCACAGTGTGGAAAATCGCCATACCCACATGTATACGGATATTTCCGAAGACTGACAGACCAGTCTCTGAATGTACCCGACCTTTCCCTCTGGGTTATGCCAAAGTTTGTCTGGACTGAACTCACAATCAACACTATTCAATGTCTTTTCTTTGACTCCGCCAGTAGGGGGCCCCCAAGAGCAACAAAAAAATATATATATTTTATTTTTCGCATGCATGAGTGATGCTTTATGTATTATCAAATACATATTATTGTAAAAATAAAATAAAATAAAGTAAAAACATTTAAGTGCTGCTCCTGATGTAGGCCTATGATTCTTACTGCTGATATGTCAAAGCTCTGCTACCATTATGTGACCCCTGCTGTGCAATGTGCAATAAGCATCCAAAGCGCAGGTAGTTGTGGGGCAAAACAATGTCGCAAAAAAGGACATAACCTTCAGGGAAAAGAAAGAGGAAGAGGAGAAAAAACGCCAAGATAAAGGTTTGATTGTTTGTCATCGAATGTTAATCAAAGAGATTTGTGAAGGTCTGTGGATGATCAACAATCAATATTATTGGCAGAAAAAGAGGGCCCCAAAATCAAATTTTGCTTAGGGCGCCATTGAGGTTTGTCCTGGCTCTGCTCCCAACCCTGAGCATGATGTCAAAGGTTAAAGGTCACCGTGTAAATATGATCAATAATCTTACCTTCTGTACACTCCACTTGTGGCTGCTCCCACTGTCCATCTGGCAAACAGCGTATGACAGGCAGGTGGCGCTGTGTGTAGCCTGCATCACACTGATAGCGGACTATGGAGTTGACGGGGTAGCGCTCTCTTCTGCTGCCCATTGGACGACCGTACGCCACATTAGGGGGGGCTCCACACATGACTAGAATAAGACAAAACGTAAAAAACGAAGACGAGGAAATCAATCCAGAGTGTCACGGATCCATCCAAGGAGTTTTACAGAACCAGTGCCAATTTGCCCAGGACTTCGACCCAGTAAACGTACCTGGACCAGTCTTGCAGGTGAAGGGGAGGTGGTAGTTGCAGGGTACGTCGTTCCACTGTCCACCCTCATGCCAGATCATCACCACACAGTCCTCTCCAGAGTTGAAGTAGTTATCCGGCTGGTTGGGTCTCCAGTTCTCAAAGGTCTAAGAGAGTTAAAAGACGACATATGAAGACTGTGAGGGGAAATGTGGTCAACGTGGATTTGAAAAATTCCGGGTCAGGGAATAAGATCTTTCTTTATGACAGGGGCAGGTAGGAGATTTGTGAAGGACCAAACTCACCAGAGGACTGTGGTCTGTCCACCGGAACTCATTCTGCACATCTTTGTCATTGAGTCCGATCCACTGGTAGTCCTGACCGTGGGCTGCATTAAAAGTAGAATAGTTTCTCAGTTTTTTCCCATCAAAACTGGACAAACTTTAAATGGTTTTACAACCTTTTAAACTTTAAAAGCACTCAGACACACACAGATACTCACAGTTGATGAACTGCTGCTCCTCCTGAGAGCCGATGCTGACCAGGTGGGAGTTCAGCTCCTGACAGCGCTGCTCAGCCTCAGACCAGGTGTCTCTCTCGGCAAAGTGCAGGTAACAGTTTCCCATAAACTCCAACCAGCCGTCGGCACAGCCCTGCACACCTACACAAACAAACACACACATCTTTGGAATTACACTGACCGATTCCACGTACATAATTGACCACAAAGCAACAAGATTGAATATTTCCTGTTAAGTATCCCGCTTCTATTGTGTTTGGTGTGCAGACTTACGTGTTGAGCAGTCTTCCCCAGTGAAACCAGAGGGACACTGACACACAGCGATGTCTCCCTGGACAGTGCAGGTTCCTGATCTGCAGGGGTTTGGTTCGCAGGGATCCACAGAGGCTAACAGCAGAGAAACAGAAACGTTAGTCATTTTTGCACCGCCTGTTTAAGAGGGTCTGTTACACCTCTGCGGTGAAGCTGTTCTGGTCTGCTCTCTTGTGGCAGTGGCACAGAATGGCATGCAAAGGACTACAACTTGGATTATTCTGATAATATGAGGGATCAGGTTGTGCTCAGTCACAGCATGGTACTTCAGTGGACCACTTTGTGTATTTTGCAAACATGCAGATACAGAACAGTAAGAGTTAAAAACATCCAAACTCTGTACCTTCCACGACTTGAGGCTGCTCAACAACAGAAGGGGTTGCCAGTGAGACTGATGGTGCTGTGGTTGGGCTGGTGTAGGACGTATCAGGGGTCACAACATGATCTGTTGGTTCTGCATGCCTATCCTGACTGTCCTGGTCGGCTCCTGATTGGCCAGCACTGGTAATGTATTCAGAGTAGGCCACCTGGTCTCCACTTCCTGATTGACTCCACCTTTGGTCCAAAGTACCGCTGTATTCATGACGGATCCCCGAGCCGCTTCCTTCACCGCTCACCTCCACCACCCCCCTGCCCTGCTCAGGGTGGCGTACCTGTGGAGGTTCAGTCACTTCCATCAAGTCAATGTCTGTAAGGTAGATGACGTCACCACGCTGCTGGAAAGAGTCCCCAGAGGCTGAGCCGCTGATGGAGACACCAGATGGGAAACCACTTGGGAAGCCACTGTGGAAGGGGTGGTATCCAGACACCTCCTGCTCACCTGATGGCTGGACGGTCAGGTCAACAGCACTGTGGTCTATGAAGGAGATGCCAGAAAATCCAGAGTCAGTTCCGGACAGATCCCCTGATCCTGACGTGCCTGATCCAAAGAAAACTCCACTGGAGTCGATGCCTCCACGGCCCCACTCCTGCTCTGTGGGTTTATGTTCGGACCTGGGCACTTCCACCATCTTCCCGTCCACCATGATGATAACCGTTTCCCCGCTGCCACTGACATCTGCACTTCCGCTGATGTAACCTGATCCTGATACACCAAAACCAGAGTGGGGTCTGTGTGGCCTCTCCTCAAATCCAGATGCACTGCCCTGTTCTCCAGACGTGAAGATGACAGAACCCCCTTCTGCCTCCTGTGGACCACCAGACGCCGAATGATCTCCAGAGTAGATGTCTGTGCGTCCACTGAACAAGACATCTTCTCCTGATCCAGAGGCTTCTCCACTGGTGCTGGAGGTTATGGGCTCTCCTGAGATCTCTCCGCTGGCTGAATGATCGGCGGAACCAGAGCCGGACATATCAACATGGGTTGGTGGGAAAACGGTTTTGTCTGGTGAAAATATCAAGAGTACAGACAAGAAATGATTAGACTTAAGCTTGACTAAAATTAAGTCTCATCAACAGAAATTCACTCCGTTCTCTCCGGCTTTCTTACCCAGAACACCTTTTTCAGGGGTGATGATTGTCTCGTTGATATACTCCTCATGTCTGGTAAAATTAGTTTCAAACTCAGTTGCGTTGTAGTGCACAGTGGTTTCAACTAAAACAAATGAAAAAACAGAGATTTGGCTTCATAAGGACCATGAATAAACATCAAACTAATGAGACTAAGCCTCAAGGTCTTTACAAGGATTGAAGGAACAGAGTTTAAACGTCTGGGTCACCTGTTGGAGTCAAATGATCAACTGGGACTGTTGTCCTGTCGATAAAATCCACCGTCACTGTGGTCACATTCACCCTGGTTTCTGTTTCAATGGGTACAGTAGGTCTTTCAGCTGAAAAAGAAAAATCTGATCAAGCCGAGCCAGACTCACTTTTTGAGAAATAATGCAACTTTAACAGCACGAGAAATTGTACAATTACTATTAATGACAAAATAATTATAATTCCGGTGTTGTAGTAGTTCATACAGCAGTGTAATACAGAGCAGTTGTAATTCTCAACTTTTGTCGCCACAACCCTTTTAGACCCCAGCTAAGATGCTTGAATTTCTATATGCTATTTTACCTTTGCCGTTAGCTAGCGACATTAACCGTTTCTAGTTACTCGGGAAAAACCATACTTCCGTCATTATTGGCTTATAGTTGCAACCACTCCACTTGTATTTTTCTGTAAGTATCCTCAACCTTGCGAAAAAAGTACCTAAGCTTTGACTTAAAAACTCTTATCCAGCATTACCTGACTTGTATTAAAAGATATTTTCCCGTCTAAGTCAGAAATTTGGGAGATTTTCAACAATTCGCCAAACTCCTTCACTGAATGTCTGTCACAATCAAGCTACTATTATTGTGTTTTCTACCTTTGAAACAATAGGCATCATATCGTGAGTGCTCGTCAGGAAATCCCGTCTGGTTAGGATAAGCGTAGATGATTTGGACCCCAACCTGACCACCCCCACAGTGAGACCTGGGGGTAGTAATCGGGTAGCGTACACTGCGGTCCATCAGCCAGCCTGGACGGCACTTGTCAAGGCCTTTATTCCAGGCAGCGTACATCTGTCCGGTGTTGGCCAGGGTGGTGTTGAGTTTCTGACAGTGCTGCACGGCCTCTTCATAGGAGAAGCTGTCGTAGTCGCTGGTGAAGAAGACCTCACCTAAACAGAAATACAGAAGCATGAAGAACAATTTAGATACAGTCGATAAGAAGTGAGTTGGTATATTTATGCAAGTTGGCACAAATGGGCTTCTCACCTTGGAGACGTTCTACATAACAAAACACATCGTAACGTTCGCTGGCTGGTCTCAGGCCGTAAGACCTGACTCCAGGAAGGTGAGGCAGATTTCCAGCACAGTTTTCTCTGGGTGATACGATGGGATACCTGAGAATAGAGGTGTGTGTTGGAACAATGAGGAAGCAGCACTTTCAGCTCAGTATTACCTAATTTTCTCTACCTGTCCCCTCAGCTACCTCACCTGACGGTCTGGTCACGGAGCCAGCCGGCGTCACATTGGTGCAGACCTTTCTCAAAAGCTGCCTGCAGCTGCTGAGGACTGGCAATCATCGCCCCGATGCTCTGGCACATTCTGGCAGCCTCCAAAAAGGTCAGAGTGTAGCGACCAGTGATGGGTCTGTAGTGGAAGACCACACCTAGGAAGAGAGAGAGGAGGAAGCACTCAAGACATCAGGACATGAGGAGATTTAAGGTATTGATTAATAATGTCCTCTGTCTCTTCAAGCGTGTGTGTGCTTTATTGTACTTCTCTAAATTAAATCTATGGTTTATGTGTTGAAGTTCATATCAAACTTACCTGTAGGACCCATAGGAGCATAAATATCTGTCAGACCCAGTCCAGGCTCAGGCTTTATGGGAGTCACTCTGGTGGAAGTGTCCGTCACACTCGGTGGGACCGGCAGCGGGGAAAGGGTATCGACTTCGCCACCTTTGATCTCTTCCCCTCTTGGAGTGGGGACAACACCTGGGTACACACCTGGGGCAGGTGTGATTCGGATAATATCTGGGAAAGGGGTGGTCCTGACCGGCACGCTGCCTTCATCCTCACCAGCTGAGGAAACAAATGAAATAAGTCCTGGAGGAATTTTACATCTTTAAAGCCTCGTTAGCTAACTCTTGGTTTTTATTATGTTTTGTTGTTATATACTTTATTTCGTTTGCAGATGAATATGAAGTGACTTTTTAAGGTCTTCTTGATGATTTGTTAGAGCTCCCTGAAATACACTTAACATCACAAACTGGTACCACGTCATGCACAAGTATGTTAGAGTAGACTGATCCAAACGTGTCTATGAAGAATTCACCTCTGAAGCAGATAGCGTCATAGCGGGAATCTGGGTAGGGGTATCCTGTCTGGTTAGGGAACAGGTAGACGGTTCTCACTCCGAGGAGCCCCCCTCCACACTGAGGTCTGGCTATGTTGATGGGGTAACGCACACTCCTGTCTGCCAACCAGCCAGCGTTACACACATCCATGCCAGCTTTCCAGGCCAGGTACAGTTCTCCGGTGGTGGCAAGGCGAGCTCCGAGTTTGGCACACTGATCCCCGGCTTCATAGAAGGTGAATTTCTCCACGGACATGGAGTAGAAGACTCTGCCTGGGAGGAGAGAGGAGGAGGGTCAGAAACAACAGACATAGCGGCCAAAGATTTTGAGCTCTCTTGTTCTTCATCCTTGCTACCCTTGCATGAGGATTGTACCTGACATCTTCTCAGCAAAGCAGTACACGTCGTAGGTCTCGTTGACATCTCTCACGCCGTAAGTTCTCACACCAGGAAAGGTCTCCTTGTCACCATAGCATCGCTCTCGGGGCTCCTGGATGGGGTACCTCAAAACATCAAAGTGGATACCAGTTAGAAGATTAACTCAACTTTCTAAATCCACCTTCAGATGGGACCGTTTTTACTGGCTCCCTGTCCATATTGGTTGGACTTTACCTCACAGTCTGGTCAGAGAGCCATCCAGCATCACACTGGTGGTATCCATCATCGTAAGCGGCCTGGAGCTGGGCTGGAGTTGCAATAGTGGCACTGTTCTGGAGACAAGCTGCTTTGGCCTTCTCAAAGGTGAGGGTGTAGCGGGTGGAGATGGCTCGGTAGTGAAACACGATACCTGTGGGATAGAAAAAAATGGAAGGAACTTGACTATATATTTCCTGGATTATCCAAATTTGTGGCAAAGTATTTGGAGTTGTTCTTCTAAGCTTCAAGATAGTTACAAGGGTGCAAATATGCATCATTCATCAGGGAAATACAGAAACCTTTTTTGCAACCCTTAAACTGGAAGTGTACAAAGGTCATCCCAATAACCTTGAGTCTGGGAGAACCTTGGAGAAAGACTTGTTGGGTTTTCTTGCTGTAGATGCCAACAGTATTGGTGGTACCATGTGGTAAGCCAGTACCAACTGCAATAACTAAACTGTTAGTATCTCTGAAGCTTACCCTGAACCTGGATATCCACAGTGTCATAGTTGTCCTCGATGCCGTGCATCACCTCGCAGCGGTAGGTGCCAGAATCTCTGGACATGAGCTCCGTTATCTCAATGGTGGCGTCAGTGGATACCAGGGGGTAGTTGATCATCGTCACTCTGTCCAAATACGCTGTCTCCACTTGGACCTTCCCCTCTGTTGCCACCAGGATGGTGGTGACTTTCTCCTTGGTGACGTAGGTCCATTTGATGCGGTGGGAGAGCGGGGCGATGGTGGGGGCACCGGGATCGTTGACTGTGTTGTCCTGGAAGTAGCATGGAACCACTACCTTACTGCCGAGTAGAGGGCGGAGTGGCATCTCCATGGGGATGCTGACACGCAGTGTGCCATCCATGTCTGAAGGAAGACAAGTCAAAGACCACTTATCAGTACTTTCATCCAGGTCAAGGTTATCAAAGGCTTGATCCAGAGGGGCAACTTTAACCAAGTCCAGTTTTCTCCTTTTTGATCAAGCCTGACTGATTAAATTTTCTTGTTTGGGATAAAAGTTTCTTAATTTGGTTTTAATCATTTAACTATTAATCCTCATATCTAGTAGTAACCTTATCCCAGCTTTACAAAGTAACAGTGGTGGAGTGATGGCAAAGATTATGGAGTTCTGCTTTGAAGCCTCAGCATCAGAAAGACTTGAACTCTCTTTAGTAGACTCTTCTGAACCTGGATAACTTTGTTCTTATGCTGCTTGTCTTTGGGGTGATGCTGTGTCTTTGGATATGACCAAAAAAGGGCGAATCCAAAGAGACGGGAGAGAAATATTCTCCTCAGTTTGGCCCGTTCTATTTTAAACACATTTAGTTCTTTCCTGGTGAGATAGCAGACATCACAAAGACACAATCTGGGCTGAAATAAACTTTACATACTTCAGGTTTGACTCACTGATAATGGGAATAAGACCATTTCATGAACCATACTTACCATCCTGGTCTTCAAGTAATACAGTTGCGGAGATGAGGGGCAAGGACACACAAAGCAGAAGCAGGGGGGTCATGGTTACCTGAAAAACACATGAATGTTTCAACACAGAACAATGGGAATTTCCAGATGCTGAGAATCATGTTCGCTCTCCTTTTTTCCTTCTGCACACTGACTGAACAGTAAAGTGAGTGTTAGACTGAGCGGGCCGGTTTATCATCTTTTCCTCTAGCCCTGAATGCCGCTGTGTTCCCATGACTCCTGCACACTCTCAGCCATCTTCTGTGTGATTCAGGACCTTTAATGCGTTCGGGTGTTACGTCACCTTCATTAGCTGAAATGGAAAGTCAAGAGTCTCTAGTAGCTTTCAGAAATGCCGTACATGCCCACGGAGGAACTGAAAGCCCCTCTGTCTGTGGGAACAGGAAATGTCTTTGGTACTGAAATAACTTCAGACTCACTGAGACTCAAGAGTGTCATTCATTCATCTCAAATGATTTTCCATTTGTTGAACACTTATGCATAAAATAATTAACACAGGAAACTTTTCCACCTTTCCAACCGTTCTTTCACTGTTCGACAGCTTTGTGTTCACTGAAGACTGTGTACAGTCACTATTTATAGGGAAATGGATATGTTTAAAGATGCGTTGGTTATTCAGTCAAGTCTTTTACACACATCCATGTCGGCACGATAGTGATGACCCTGGAAACTCCTTTTTGGGGGTATCAGCTGATTATAATGTTGACTAAAACTAACGTCGCTGCTACTGAGACCATGTCTGACCAAGACCATCATAAAGACCTCAGCTACACAGTAAACAGTCTTTACATTGTACTTCAGGGTGACAGGAACACCAACACAAACCCACATTGGAGATAGATTTGCCAACTTTCCCAAACCGGATCTATCTACCAAGTTCTGGATATCTGTTGCATCAGAACTGGTCATAGATGTCAATCCAACATGGATTCACATTTATACAGGAAAATCAGTGTTTGGAGCATGACATTTTCTTCTGGTATTTCCTGAAAGACCTCAAGAAATCAGGACATATCTGGAGCTTGAAAACAGGATGGTCTGATTCAAGACAGGATGTCTGGTTATCGGAAGATACTAGATTAATTCAGGTCCAGATTTCTGTAAGAACAACTTCACTTGGATATTTGTGGGACAAAATCAGCAAAGCTCCAGGATCTACCTCTTCAAGCTCAAGCCAGAAGTTACATCAGGACGACTCTTAACACAACTTTTACAAAATTGTACACAATTTTCAACCTTTCAGGTCCTGATATTGTCTGGATTTTTCCTGTCACAAATTATCTTCATGTCAGGGACACTTTGCATCTGGAAATAGTCCGTTAGATGATGGGAGGAACTCAGGAGGAGGGGAAAAATATCGAGAAAGTGTCTCTGGATTGATAACATCATGAGACGTTCAAAGATGCTGAAACTAACTGGACATTAAATGGACTTTACACTGGGAGGCTGGCATGTTTAAGATCAAGTTTGTTGAGGTTAAATCCAAAATGTTTTCAGAAGTGAAAGGGGTTCGTTTCTAGTCTTTCTCGTTAAAAGTCGACTGTAAATTTCCATTTAAATACCAGTGATTCATGCTGAGCTGCGAACTCACACACAAAAGATTCATTATTCTGCTTCTTTTTAGAGTTTCATCTAATGTGAAAAGATCTGACCACAAACATCATCTAATAGCAGAAACTCAAAACTTCAACCCCCCAAACATCAACTCTGCTATCACAAAGCCACATCTGTCAGACTCTTATTGCGACATTGCTTATTTTCTCTTAGCTTTCCAGAGCTGTGACGTGCAGCAAAGTCAAACATACAAAAACGGTCGCAGGCACCAACTGAACTAAGTCATTGTGCTGCGTTCACAAGCCTCAGGACAGGCTGCAGAACGCTCCCAGTTCATTCAAAACAGCCACGCGGAGACATTTACAGCCAATAAACCTGAAGCTCACAGTCACAGAGCGTTTGCAGGAGCTGATGAGTGTTTGGCAGACAGAAAGGAAACCCAGCGACCTTTCAAAATAAGTGACTCAGCTTAATATTACAATCATGTCTTCACAGTAAAAGCCAGGACGACTTAAGGCTGATGGCAAACTGTGTGAATGAATGAATGAATGAGTGTGTGAATGAGTGTGTGTGTGGGCTGGAAGCATTCTCAGAGTTCCACATATCCCGGACATGCAGTACAGTAGGACTAATATTTGCTCTGCTGTCTAAGATCTGTCTGAGAGTGAATGTTGGCCCAGTTTGGACGGAAGGACAAAATACCACACAGCGGGTTAAGATGGACGGACAAATCCGCCCTGGATTTATCACACACTGTTCATGTATTTACACTCAGTCAAGTTTTGCCAAATCTCCAGAAACTCTCTCCAATTTGGGATCCTCACAAACTTTCCTGTGTTAGTACTTCCTGCTGAAGTTGGTGCAACAGTGAAGGCGTACCAAGTTTACCCACAGTCAGTCTGTTTACCTGGGAAAGAAGATGAAACCCTGATCCTACACGGTAAGCTGGATCCCTTTATCAGACTAAGGATCAGAATGATGTACTGCACATGGTCTGACTGTGTTATGGTTTTTTGTTTATTGTACCACTGTGGAGACAGCAGCATTCCAGCTAAACTAAAAATCATGACTTATAAGAGTTTAAAGGACATGAAAGTGTATGAAATCACATTTGACATTATGCTATTCCATACATCAGTCATATAAGTTATAAGGTATCATGTCTCATCAGAGCTTATCCTACTATATTGTATCATATCTTATGGCATCTTATCTTATTCAGCTTATCATATTTTACAGAATGTTGTCTTTGTCATAATCATAACTGTAACTGTAATCGTATGTTTGGTATCATATCATAATGTATCTTTTCATATCATTATGTATCGTATGATATCATAATATATCATATCATATCATATCATATCATATAATGTTTTGTATTATATGATATATCATATCATATCGTACCATAATGTCCTATTTTATAGCATATCAGAACATATCTTTTCTATCATATATTAAATATATTATATCATTTTTTATTGCATGCTATGGAATGGTATTGTGTGGTATCATGTTGTACTTAGTCATATCATATTGTATTTATCATATTACATATTTTATCATATCACAACCTATTAAAGTGTAACGTATCATATTGTATCAAATCATGACATATCATATCATATTGTATTGTTTTGTATCATACTCTATCATAAACCGTTTCATATTGCATCATCTCATCTCAACTTATTATACTGTCCTCTCTTGCCTGCTCTCACATTAGTTGATACATGTTGTATTATATTGTATTAAATCATGTCAAATTAGACTAAATGGAATCAGGCGTTTCTTTTCAAACTCCATATTGTCTTGTTTTGTCTCTTTCATTAGTCACCTTTAACATTAAATATCAATATCATAGTGGAGATGGATAAGTGTGTGCAGTATCAAATGGTATTGATTTGTATTATGTTGTGTTGTATTATATCAAACTGTATTGTATAATTCTGTTTTTAGCAAATTTGTTCATGACTTTTACATTTTCAGCTGTAGTTCCTAACATCAAATTCTGCACTTTTTCATCATGACTGATATTTAAAAAGTCCTGTGTGGAGATTTTAGGTTATCATGGAACATATCAAAATTGAAAAAATGAGTGTTAGCAAACCAAACCAGCAGGAACAAACCAGATTATTACTCTTGAGAAAATTTAACCCTTGAAACCACCTCAGTCTGGTGAATGATGGTAAGTTTTTTTAGATTCTTTTGGTTCATAATGAGACTTTAGAGAACAAAACTACTTTACCCACAAGGGGGCACCATAACCAACACAAACAAAATATTCCCTACAGTAGCTTTAATTCTCTTCATGGATATTTGTGAAACAAAGAAGCTTCACCAACCCAAACACAACCAGCCTCACAATGACCAACACGGAAAACCAAAAGTGTGACTCCTTATTGCTCAGAGTCCGAGTCACTGAGCAGATCCTCATCTCTCTCTCTCTCTCTCTCTCTCTCTCTCTCTCTCTCTCTAAATGCATCATTTAAACTGTGGCCACTTCATCGTTTTAACGCCAGACCCCCTCTCCACAGAGTGTCCATTCAGCCTGAGGGGCGGTTGCTGCTCCCCCGTTCGCTCGCTGTGGTATGTTCCGCTCCCAGCTGAGGTAGAGCGCAATAAGGCCTCGGTCTGTTCCAACAACGGACAGGAGCAGGGACGTTTTAGGGGGGGTGGAGGGGTAAAGGTGCCAAGGTAAACACAAGGCGGGCATCCAATTGAGCCCCCTCCTACTTTCACCACCACCTCCCACCTCCACACACTCTCCTCTGAAGCCTCCAGAGACCCCGAGCAGAGGAACAGAGTTGACATTGATACTGTACGCCGTGAGCAGAGTGTGTGCATGTGTCGGTGTGAAGCTCATACTGTAAGGCTTGTGTTTGAGGACACACACACACACACACACACACACACACTCACACACACACACTCACACACACACACGGTTGTACAGTAAAGTGGAAACATTCATGCTCACAGCTGCGACTGAGTGCATCAATACACGCCGACACGCTCAGCAGTCTGATGAAAGACACGCTCCGGCTGCACGTGCGCATTAGTTCAAACATGTCAAACATCAAACACAAGTTCTCCAATGTTGTGCGCCGCCATGATTACAGCGTCCGCTCAATGACATCGTCACATCAAGTTTCAGAGACGTCCAAAAACACATCACTGCAGTCAAACTCACAGACAAAACATCGGCAGATATTCATCTGAAGACAAAATCAAGGCTAATTAAAGGAACATGTTCATGATTTAAACACATTAAAGCTCCTCTGAGTGACTTTTGGATTATGTGATTATGATTATTTGGGTTATGTTATTAAATGTTTTTTTTTACCTGCTGCTTGGCTGACTCCTACCCCCTCACACAGCTCACAGGTATCAAAAATAAACTATCAATACTGTCTCTGATTCCCTTTTTTTAGTCTGAATATTATCAAAAGGCATCAAGAAGAATTTAAGCCCATTTCCTTCATGTCAAAAAACTCCTCACAGGAGCTTTAAATGCCATAAATCTCCAGGGGTCCCGGTCTAACTCATACATCTCCATAATCATGATGATGCACAACTCTCCAAAAACACAATCTCAGGTAGAAAAACGTCATTAAAGACCATCTAATTAGTCAAAATCTCCTTTTATAACTTCATCCTGCTGGTACTCTTGATTCTGGCAAAAATAAAAACTTTATTTTCCGACTAATAATTATGTTCGCTTTCTAAAACTGAACTATAACCTCTGCTTTTACATTTCACATCTGTCATGTGGAGTTTTTTAAATAACTTGATGCTGAAACATAAAAAAACCTGAAGGTGTACTCGTCTGATCTCCTGCCAAATATCTCATTCCACTTAAAGCTACAGTGAGGGATTTTCAACTGGTTATAAAACAGAGTAGAATTTTTCTTATTGCCTTTTTGAAACTAAACCATCAGCAGCAACAAGACCGGTGATTTCTGTGCTTCATTTTCGATCCGTCTGTGAGGGGGGTAGGTGTCACAGCACATTGAAATAACAAACATCCACTCAAACTAAAAGTTCCTCACAGGAGCTTTAATATGAGCCACCCTGACCAAATTAGTCTTCAAGATCTTAGGAGCTAAAAATGAGGGATTCATCGACTCTGATCAGCTCAAACTTTACTGATAATGAATAAAACATCTTTCTTAAATCAAGAGTAACTTTAGTTTACCTAAAACACCAGGATCTCTCACAGGTACGTTCACCTGTAGCTTTAGTGAGCAGCAGGTTTAAGGAGCTCCAGAGGAGGACTGTCTTATTAGTGATAACGACCTTTTTAGGGAAATATGCAGCTGATAAGAGTAAGGGTGAGAGTCTTAACGCTGTCTGCAGATACAACAATCGATTATCAGAGGAGCTCTGTGCAGCATCTCCTCACAGCTGACTTTTGGCTCTTTGCTGCATTTCATCTCCTTCACATCTGACTCACTCAGTTCAATCCCCGGCTCCTAACATCTACATGCTGGAGTGTCCTAAAGGAGGATTTTAAACCCCAAAGTTGCTCCTGAATGAGGATGATAAACTGATGAGCAGCTGCGCTCAGCATCCTCCGCCTCGAACGAGTGAACAGATAATGAAGCATGGGAAAAAAAGTGCACTTAAGTGGTTGGAAAAATAGAAACATGCAACAATAAATCTGTTGTTTTACGCTTTACTGGAAAATATATGAGTGCAGTTGAGGATTTTTCCCATCTGATGCCAAATTGTGTCATCGGAGTTTTCCAGACTGGACTTAGGAGCTCCTCAGGATATAAATCTGAGTCGTCTTAAGTTGTTCAGTAAACCCGAATATCAGGTTTTAACATGATCTGTCATGTTTTCTCCAGGAAAAATAGACTTATAATCGCCTTTTTCTCAACTGGCATCGGCTTTTTTAACAGCTCAGAGGAACATTTACTACATTTACATGTTGGCATCGTCCTCTTTAACCAGTTCAGCTGTTTTCTTACATCCTTTATGTCTTATTATTCCTGTTTGTCTCCAGTCGGCTGTAAAAAAAATCCTCAGGAATAATAAAGACGTCCTCAATTCTCAAATATTGCTGATTAATTTACATTTTCTGTCCCCTAAAATAACTTTAAAGATGAGGACAGTTACAGGAGATCAAGTTTTATAAAGAGAAAACTCCCACAAGAGCTCCTGTGAGCTGAGACGTGAGTCATGTGATGCTGGTTCATTCATTCTCTCCATCCAGAGAAGAGACCCAGAGCACGGACTCAACAATAAATACGACCTCTTTCTAAATACTTTTGTTCATCAACAACATAAAGGTGTTAAATTCAGAGATGTTAAAATAACAACAAAACACTAAAGACTCCATTCATCCCCCGCAGAAACCTCTCAAACTCCAAAAACCACCTCGAGTTCAATCTCAGCAGTTTAAATCTCTGTTATACCCGGTCTCATTAATGCTTTACCTCAACCAAACACCTGAGGATGAAGAGAAGTCAAAGTTATTTTCCCTTTTCTCTAATATTCCCGGTCAGGAGCTCCAGCAGAGACTCGTGTGAACGTACCGTTGATGCTCCAAAGTTCCCGGCGGCAGCGACTCCAGGGGCCTCTCACTCCTGCCTGCGTAGGAGAGCAGAAAGAAGCTTTATTCAAACTCCAGAGCACATTTAGATGTTGGAAAGAGAGCGAGGGACCCAGAGAGAGAGAGAGAGAGAGAGCGAGAGAGAGAGAGATGCGGTCCTCTCCTGCCAGGTGGTGAGGTCATACAAACAGCCTCAAATATCAGAGCAGAAATAGAGGATCAGAATAAAGCTGAAGAAAAGTCCTGACAATGGTCTCAGTCTGTCTGCTGTTTTCCTCTTTTAAACGATGGACACATGAAAATATGTATAACAGGAAAAAGCAACGGAGAATGTCCACAAACATTCACGGGACGGTAAATTAAACACTAAATGTATTTTGTTATGTTTTGCTCAAAGTCAAAGAGCAAAAAAGGAGCAGATTTCAACATCTACTTTGGATCATGTCGTTACGAGATTCAGAGAAAACTGAAAGAAACAATATCAGGCTTCAGTGTTAAAAACAGACGTGACTCTGTAGTGGAAATCACCGCATGGACTCAAATTACAGTTCATCGCTGCATCTTGAAACTGCTCTCTTCATGGGTGGGTCCTCTTCTGTAGAGAAAGGAGAGACCACCCTTCTTGTTATCAGCCAAGTATGTCGTGGAAAATCAACATCGACTCAGCAAAACAACAACCAGGAGACAGGATGAGATCTGAGGGGCAGCCTGGACGTCTTTATTGTCGAATCAGAGTCCAGATCAGACCAAACCAGAGGAGAGGAGCCCCGAGCTTTCTTCTCTCTCACACCTTGTCTATTGTATGGCGTAACAACTTTGTCACTCCATTGTGTGTGTGTGTGTGTGTAAGTGCACGCTTCCTGTCATAATTAATCAGATGGAGGTTGGGAGGTTGTCCAAGGACATGTCTCGATGTTCTGAAATTCACCCGTTATTCTTACTTTTTCCTGGAAATTAGCCTCAAGTGTTTCGACGGATCGATAAATTTTGTTCCCTACAGAGCAGCCTTGGTTACGTAACCTCAGGCTGCACAACCAGGCCAAGCCAACCCTTAATAAAAGATAATCACATATATTATATTAAACAGAAATCCCCCTTCACCTACAGTTCAAAAGGCTGCGTCCCTGATCATATCAGGTTGCACAAGTTCCTCTGGCGTGGCTAGTTTACACACCTGAGCAGGCTTCATTAACGCCGAACAACATATACAGGTTTCAGATCAGAACATCCACATGAAGGACGACCTTTATAAATCTGCAAGACAATAACCTTCTTTACATGTGCAAAATTTCATGATCCGATTAAAAATTTGAGGGATCGTATAATCTGAATTCATATGGGCACAAAATCAAATAATACGATCATGACGTGTGTATACATGCACCGAGTTTTATTCAGATTGGAAGCATTTGTACATGTTGTCTGATTTCGCTAAAACAACCACAGAAGAAGAAGAAGAAGAAGAGTTGTACTGACGCCTGTGCTGTCAACAAACCAACAAACGCAGTTGTGGCTCACTTCATCCAATTCAGGATTCTTCTCCCTGTTAAATGTTGTCACTAGATGGCGCCCTTGCGTACTTATTGTCCTGTTCTGTCAAAAGTTGCTCTGTGCGTGCAGATGTGACATCATTACGCTGTTTGTACGCCTTGTTATGTTATCGGAGGAGCAGACACGGCACCTGCAGTCAGAGAGTTAGTAATGAAACCTCCTGAACTGACCTCAATAAATAAAGAGTGAAGACCGAGTCAATTTAGAGAGTCATGATCGGAATAAGTGTTTACATGGACGCGTTTGGGAATAATGATCAACCCTCTTGATCGGTATATAATTTCTTTCTGATTGAGCCGAATTAGATCAGAATGTTTACATGATGCTTTTATTATTCCGATCATTTGTGCCAACATAAACGCAGCTACTGACAAACCACATCCTGCACAATTACAACAGCGTGGATCTGTAGTAGAAGAGTCCTACTGAGAAACTGGACTGATGCGGTCCTGATTTGTCCCTCATTAAGAACATCTGATGCACTGTCATCGTTGGGCGCCTTTACTTCTCCTCAGAGAAGATGACCTGTGATCTGTTGACCTGCTGTTGAGCTGAACGCAACCTCAAATTTGGAGTTCTTGCAGCTGGTTTGTGGAGTCTTTGAGTTAGGGTGACTGTTTTCCGAATCCCCAAAAAGAGGACATGACTACGTAGGGCGGAGTTGCGGAGTCAAGCGTTGTAAATTTTGAGAGTTTCTTGGGTTGGGTCGAGTGTTTTTAACTCAGTTAGTCCACGCTACACAATCTCAAAACTTCCATACAAAACCGGGACATTTGAAGGTTTTTATAAACTCCCCCAAAAAAGAGGACATGTCCGGGAAAGAGGACGTATGGTCACCCTACTTTAGTTTTGACTGCAGAGTTGAAAGTGCAGTAAAACAGACGTTCAGTGGTACACTAGTTTACAAGTTGCTTGTGCTTCTGTTTAGGTTATGGAGTCTGGTTTGCATTGTTTATTCTGCAAAAACGCTCAGCTGCTAAAGATATCAGCATACAGTAAATGCCTAAGTGTTGGTGTGATGGAGAGGAGTCAATTAAAAGGCCAAACTCATGAGTTATGTGGGTGTGAGCACGTGTTTGCACATTCACTGCCACATGTGTGTCTATTCAGTTTCAAGTCAAACATGCTAAAGTTGGCCTGAGGTTGGGGAAAGGCGTGTCTCCCGTCCGTCTCCCACCAAACACCATTCAGAGGTGTAAATACTGGCTGTGTGCTCGCCGCGCTCACTGACGCACGCTCGCCGTCTACATCTTCAAAGGGGAACGTATTAACGGGAGATTTCGTCTAATTCGGTGCTTATTTGCAGACTCCGTGTTTATCAAGCTGCTGCAGAGGGAGATGAAATGCTAACACCAGGTTTACCCTCCATCATTCATGTCAGTGCTGCTACATGCTAACATACCTGAGAGATCTTCTAATACCACGCCGCCTCCCAGCTTTACATTCACAGATTTATGAGTTTACACCTCTCAAATGAATCTTTTATAGCGAATCCAAAGTTTAATAGCATGATTAACCGCAGATTTCTGATGTTGGCAGCGGGGCTGAAGGGGAAGCTATTAAACAAAACGACTTAAACAGGAGTTTGTAAAGTTCAGTGAGTGTTTATAACTTTCCAACAAACAGACACAAGGAAAGAAAGTGACACTTCAGGAGCCCAGAGAAAAAGTTCCCAAATCCTGAACCAAAAAACAGAGTTAAAACACTTTTTTCTAATAAAGCCAGGTCGATTGTTGAGTCTTTAGTGGATTTTGGTAGATTTTTAGGGCTTTTCTACAAACAAATTTAGGACATAGCTCAGATTTCAGTGTGGCCATGCAGTGACTAAAGAGGCTTGAAATGCTAAATCGCTATTGAGTGCTGCAGATGAAATGTTTCCCATTAATCCAGAAAACTGAGATATACTTTTTGCATTTTTAAGTTGTTATTGTACCAAAGAGAGACAGAGAGACAAAAGGATTCCTATGCTGTTGAAAAAAATATGAAAGAGCTGCAGTTCCTAAAGTGTCCACTTGGGGCTGGCCCCAAAAGCCAAAGAAGCTTCATAAGGTCTCATGTTAAAATGCTGATTACATAAATTAAGAAAAACATCAACATATGGGACATTTTATTTACAAATACTATTCAGGGGAGTGACATGGAGGGTTACACTTATATTTATATAATTGGAGGCACTGTTGACTTGACCGACAGGCAGGTGCATTATGGGTAACTTTAAAATACTTGCGACTAAAAAAACAATAAACCTACAAGCCAAGACATGGCTGAAACCAGCTAAACATCGGAGTGACGCGTTCACAGGCCACTTGTCAGTAAAGAATTATAGTCCACGGGTCTGTCGCAAGAATAATCCACGGTTAATTTATTTACACCACACAAATTAGTTCCTATTAGTTCCTATGCTGAACATAATAACATAAAGGGGATACGTAATCTTTTGTTAGCATTTAAATATACTTCTATTTTTCCAAATTACTTGTTAGATCATTATAAGAGTTACCTCCAAGCATTTAACTATAGGGTCAAAGTCAATACCTATAAGAGTCAAAAGCTACAGTACCTCCGGTGGCCACTCGAGGCTGGCCCCAAAAGTGAGTCAACCCCCATTAACCTCCATGTTAAAATGTCCAACTTTACAGGAGGATAAAACATGTTTAAAGCCTGTTAAAAATAAACAAATTAAACAGTTTTTAGTCTTTTTATTCTAGGAAGCTCCAGGTCTAACGCCCCAACTTTAAACATCTCTATAACGGTGTAAGTTAATGCAGTAAATTTGAGTTTTTATGGATCAGTTTAGAAACAGAGTCTGAACAAGAGGATACGAGTAATTCTGACTGAACTGCTATTGAACTCATAGACCCTCCAGTATGTGACAGAATCAACAGGCTAAAACTGCACGCCTGTTGTTAAAACTGTAGAGTAAATAGACCTCCTGAATATGGGCTTTAAGCGTTGGGATGCCTATTTTGAGGCGGATAAACAGGCTTTAGATACAGGCAGGTAGGTCTGGGTCGTAAAGACGCTGTATGTAAGGCGACGGTTTTGAGCTGACTCACAAAACCAACACCATAACTCAGTGAAGGACTGTGAGTTCATCATACTGACTATTTTAAATGTTAGAGCACACTAACTTTACCAAAACTGTCACTTTCACTCTTAATTTCTGTCTTTTGTTCTTCCTAAATTGGTCTTTGTGTTCACTCATGGTTACACATGTTTCAGCTCATTAAAAGTCTCTGTGAGAGCAGACCTGACTTACAACCAGGGGCATTAGTCCACCTGAAAGACCTCTCAGAGTGGACCGGGGAGGTCAGCACAGAGCCGCCTGTGTTTCCTCTTTCCTCGGCTTCAAATGATCCAAATATGAGCGGCCACACGCTGGAAAGACGCTGGAAAACTGCTGACACAGAGAGTCAGACGGGCCGGACTGAAACCGGACTGAGGCTTTTTCTTCAGGGTGACAAATTTCA